TCAATGAAAAAAATCAACGATTTTAAAAGAAGTCAACGACTGTAAAAATATTATGTAGTTGCTAAAAAGAAAGCGAATTTTTTTTTTTGAAAAAAATGATTCGGAAAAATTAAGGAAGGGAAATAGAAATATTATTCAAATTTGAACGATTTTATTTTTATTTTATTTTTTAATTCTTGGACTTTAAAAAATATATATATATGAATAACGAAGCATATTGTAGTTGTTTTTACATGATTGAATGGAATATCAGGGTTTTTTTTTTGCGGCATACACTGCACATCGTTGGGCGGTACACACTCTACTTGATATCCCAGGGGCAATATGCCTCTGCACTTTTAGAGTTTTCCTAAATAAATCTACATATAACGTTCATGAAGTATACGGCTGCGCATATCAACATGGGTTTAAATCGTAAACAAGAACAATGGCTTTTTACCCCGAGGGGATATTTCGCATACCCTAATTAAGAATGGCCTTGTTTTTAGTAAACTGCAAAATGATTTGCAGGTCCCTCTCGTCATCATCATCATCATCATCATCAACATCAACCATCTTCATCTTCATCATCATTATTGTTATTACCTTCATCGTTAGGTCGCTCGTTTTATATATATTTGATTTAACCCCTAAGATTTTGATTTCAAATTTTAATTTTTGATTTTCTAATTTAAATTCAAATTTGAATGTGAATTCGTTCACTAATTTAAATTTTTGAAAAAAAATTTTTTTTACTGGTTTTCAGTCATTTTTTTCACTAAAAAATTTGGGAAAGGAAAAAATATTACTGAATCAAATAGTAATGTTTTACTAAAAATTAGTTAAAATTTTTTACTAATTTTTAGATTGTTTTCACTAATATTTAGTAAGAAAAAAAGAAAATAGTACTAAATTCAATAGTAATATTTTCAGAGTGTCTACTAGTCCTGGAAATGTCCTGGAATTTGAAAAAATGTCCTGGAATGTCCTTGAAAGTCCTGGAATTTGAATTTTTGTTCTTGAATTTTTTATATTTTGCTTTTAAATTTTCAAAAATTTATAATTTTGTCAATCAAGTTAAAAAAAAATTCATTAAATAAGTAAAATGAAAATTTACTTAAGTGATTAATTAATTTTTTAATAATTTCTGAAAACAATAGTTAAATTAAAAATTTTTTTATTCCTTAAGGTCATCCAATTTAATGTTCTGGAAAAATAAGAAATTTGTCCTGGAAAGTCCTGAAAAAGTCCTGGAATTTTAATTCAGATTTTTAGTAGACACACCCTGTTATTTTACTAAAAAATGGAAAATAAAGATTAGAAAATTTCTATTAATTTTTAGTCAGTTTTCTTTTCACTAAAACTTTAGTTAAAAAATATAGTATTAAATCAAATAATATTTTACAGGGCTGCCATACGGGTCAGAAAAATCAGGAAAAAGGTCAGGGAATTTTATTGAAAAGTATTTTAGAAAAATATCAAATTTCTAAAAATGCTACTAAAATTATAATTTTCAAAATTTTCAATTCAAACTTTTCCTCTCGCTTTTGCTTCCAAAAATTATTGTCTTTTTTTTATTATTGAAAACCATAAATATTTTAGAGTAAGGGAAAAAATTTAAATTCAGACTGGAAAGCAGGGAAAAATAAAATTTTTGTGACAATTCTATTTACTAAAAATTAAAATTAATTTCTACTAATTTTTAGTCATTTTTCACTAAAAGTTTAGTAAAAAAAAATATGTATATATATTTCTATCAAATAGTTTTACTGAAATAAATTTTACTAAAAATTATTGAAAATTTCTATATTAATATGAATTAGTTAAAAAATTATTTTATAAATCTTTTTTATTTGTATTTTTTATGATTGTAGTTATTTTTAATTTTTTTTTAAATATTTTTTTAATATTTGTTAAATTAATATTTTATTATTATAAAAATTGAAGAAAACGAAATAGTTTTTTATATTTGATAAACATATATAATAGTGGATTGACTTTTGTATGTATACAAGAAAAAGTTGATCCTCAATTTTGTGCAGGATACTCGGCGCGTTGAATGAAAATTGAGGATTGAAAAGGAAAGATGCGATTCACTCGAATAAAAGAAGCAAGAAAAAAATTGAGTGGAATAAGTGGAGAAACTATTTCCTTTTGCGCGGTGCTTTTTTTTCTTTTTTTTTTTTTTTTATAAAACTTATTAATTCGAGTGCTTTTCTATGATTTGAAAAAACTTATCTTAAGTTCTTTACTAAAATTTAAAAAATTAAAAAATTCTTCAAAAATTTACCCATAAAAAAGAGAACAAATATTTCCAGAGTCAAATTAATTTTTTTTTATTAGAGAAAAATTTTTTTGAAATATTTGAAAATTAATTTTTTTCGATTATTATTATTTATTATTTTTTTCTATTATTGGAGAGAAATTTTTGAAATGTTTGAAAATTAATTTTTTTTTGAGTGAATTTTAAAAGCGTAGAAAGAAAGGAAATTATTTTTTTTTCTTTTATTGGAGAGAGAAATTTTTGAAATGTTTGAAAATTAATTTTTTTTTTTAGTGAATTTTAAAAGCGTAAAGAAGGGAATTTTTTTTTTCATTTATTAGAGAGAAATTTTTGAAATGTTTGAAAATTAATTTTTTTTTGAATGAATTTTAAAAGCGTAAAGAAGGGAAAATTTTTTTTTTTTTTATTAAAGAGAAATTTTTGAAATGTTTGAAAATTAATTTTTAGTAAATTTTAAAAGCGTATAGAAAGAAAGGAAAAGGATTTCATCAAGTAAGGAGTGATTTTATATATTGTATATAAACCAAATACTCATACGTTTATGTAAATACAGATGTATGCCCAATTTGTTTGGCACGCGTTTCGTAAATAGAGCACACAAAAAAATTGCACACGCTCAAAATGCCTTGCGATGAAATCAGAGATGACATGAAGTGTCGACAGAATTCGTTAAAAATCACTCTCGTACATTTTTCTCATTAACATTTTTTATTTTGAAAAAAAAAATAAAACAAAAAATGAATTTATAAAAAAAAAAAATTTTTTTCTCTACTAAACAAAAAACCAATATTTAATTACAAAATTTTTTTTTTTGATAATATATTGGTAATATAATAGGAATTATTTTCCCTTGATGTGTACGCGATCTTGTAGAAATTTGAAGCTTCAAATCGATCGAGAAGCACACAGAGAGACTTTGCGAGGGTGACACAAAACCAAGAAAAGAAGAAAAAAAAAAAAAAAAGGGGTAAGTCGAGCTGTGTGCATAGTAGACTTTCTGTCCTCTTGGGAAAGGTAAGAGGTATATTATAGGGGTGCAGGGGGGGGGAGGATTAAAAAATATAAGGGGGTGGCAAAATACACGACACAATGGTTAAAAGCAACAGGAATAAAAAAAAAAAAAAAAAATCCATATTCAGATTCGATGGCTAAGATGAATGTTCTATTCATGAAAAATGTCCGTGTGCCGCCCATTATCATCGTTATATTGCGCAACCGATGATTATTATTATTATTATTATTTGAGGGTATCGCATTGCCCGTCATAACCACGTCAGAGGGAGCATTGTCCACGTGACAGCGATAAGGCCCATTTGCCGCAGTTTGAAGTATATTCAACTAAACCGCAAATATAATAGGGATAAAATTCCAAAAGCGTCCAACAATGGTCCTCGACGTACTGCCTTCAACCCCCCGAGAAGGGTAATTATAAAACCCGCGCTTTTTTTTTTTTTGTGAGAAACATATTAATTACACTTTAATGAATTTCATCAAGATCTTATTTCCGCGAAATCGACATAATTGGAAAAATTTTCTGTAATAAAAAAAAAAATATATTATTTTTGAAACAAATTTTTTTTAATTATGAAATTTGATAAAAAAGAATTCTTTTTTTTCTATTAAATTTCTGTTATATAAATTGTTGGTTACTTAATTAGGAAAGCTGTAATTAGGAAATGAATCGTAAATTTAGTTTAGGCCGCGGGTATCTATGAATAAAGTTGGTGGAACTAAAATTGGATGGAAAATTTTTTTTTTGAACTTTTGGAATATTAAAAAACGAGACGAAAAAATTAAAAAAGGAAATTTTAATTTAAAAAATGGTAATTTTTACTAAAAATAGTTTTTAATTTATTTTATGTTTTTTTTTTATTAATAAATTTGTATTTTATTTTGAAATTTTAATTTAAAAAATAGTAATTTTTACTAAAAAATAGTTTTTAATTTATTTTATGTTTTTTTTTTTTATTAATAAATTTGTATTTTATTTTGAAATTTTAATTTAAAAAATAGTAATTTTTACTAAAAATAGTTTTTAATTTATTTTATGTTTTTTTTTTATTAATAAATTTGTATTTTATTTTGAAATTTTAATTTAAAAAATAGTAATTTTTACTAAAAAATAGTTTTTAATTTATTTTATGTTTTTTTTTTTTATTAATAAATTTGTATTTTATTTTGAAATTTTAATTTAAAAAATAGTAATTTTTACTAAAAATAGTTTTTAATTTATTTTATGTTTTTTTATTAATAAATTTGTATTTTATTTTGATAGGAGAAATTGCAATCGAGGACCGGGATTTTCGAAGTGTTTCAATATCGTAGGGTCCACTCTCAGATATACAAAACTCGAATATATATTTGGCAAAGGGATAAGCCGTATCGTAAATACCACTTTTGAACAATACAAAAAGGAGAATATATATAATATTTATGTAGAATATTCGAAATTTAGCTTTGAGACAAGTGTCAAAATACTCAAAATATACAAAACTCATCCTCAAGAGGAAATTTTATTTGACGAACATTTCAAATTCTGTATTGCAATAAGTCAGAAATTTTTATATATTTTTATTTCAAAAGAAAATTTAAATTAAAAAATAGTAAAGATTCCAAATTTTGTCTAACAACTGAAACTGATAAAATTTAAGAGCAATAATGAAAAACAATTTTTTGCAAATTCTTTTTTTAAATATTCATTTTTTTTTTGAGATATTAATTTTTTATTGCATTTCAGGTTTTTGGGTATTGAACCAAGAACAAGTACATCACACGAAAATGGAGGAGAAGGACAGATTGGAGCCGGAGTAATTGGTCCAGCCAGTGCGGAAAAAAATTGCAGAAACTTACATCTTACTCCAAAACAGCAGGCGATATGTTTACGATCGCCACCTTCCCTGCAGGTGATTTCAATCATTAATTTAATTAAGATTCTTCTTTCATTTTTTTTTTTAAATCTCTTTTTTAAATTTAATATTTTTTAATTCAAATTTTTTTTTTACGAAAAATTTATTAATAATTAATTTTTTAATTCCAGGTTATTAAAATTAAAAGTAGTACTATTTTGTAATTATTATTATTTTTAAAAAAAATTTTTTTTATTGAGGATCAATATCTTTGTGATACGTATTGAATTATAGAAATTTTTTTTTCTCATCTCAGTTTTGGAAAGTGCGTTTACATTTCTTAATGCACAAATCTGGTGAGAATCTTTGGTCTAGACAAACTCGAGCCAAAAGTTGGTTCCTTTGACTATTGCCGACGCGCGCGAGAAGTGCAGACCGGTATATTGTAGAAGAAAAAATATTATATATTTATGAGAATCTTTTCTTTTTTTTTTTTCTTTTCAACACTTTAATTTAAAAATATTCTTCACGCTTAGATTCATTAGAAATTCGATTTTTTTGAGGGGAAAAAAATATGTTTGAATAGTAAATTTTACGAAATTAAATAAAAAAAATTACCGAAGAGTACAAAAAATTTGTAAAAATCAACTGCAGGATAATTTACGTTTAATTTAATTCAATTTATTAATTATTAATTATTAATTATTAATTGTAATAATTCAATTTATTTATTTAAAATTGGAGTTATTTAGTTAATTGAATTTCTTTAAATTTTAGTTTTATTTATTATTTTTTTATTTTATTTATTGTCAACTTGTAATTTACTTTATTTTTTATTTCAATTTTTTTTATCAATTCTTAGTTTTTTATTATAAGAGTTTATATAATGATCGCATTAATCTGCATATACATAAAATACAATTTGAAAGATTGAAACGCGCCTCGTGCAGATGCTTTATGCAATATCTGCAGAAGACATGTAATCGCTCATCTTGAAATTGAACATTAATCCTTAATATCCTTAATTGAGTTTATCGTACCTATTTAAATTCTTTAGAAATTGTTTTTGTTGTCCTTTTTAAAAATTGCAATATTTAATCAAAAATATATTTCTCAAATATTTATTTTATTTATTATTAATTTTTATTTGTATTGAAATTATTTTAATTTATTTAAACCAATAAATTATTTTCTAAAATAATTTTTACCAATAAAAATAAATTATTTAATTTTTTTTGTATTGTGAAAAATATTATTTCAGCTTCTGTATTTTGAGCGCCAATTTTTTTTTTTTTGCGAATAAATTTTAATTTATTTAAATTGTTTCAGGCAATCAGTGCAGGTGCAAGATTAGCGATAGAAGAATGCCAACATCAATTCAGATCGGCAAGGTGGAACTGTACCATTAATCCTGAAAATCCCGACAACATTTTTGGCGGTGTCATGCTAATCAGTGAGTCCAAAAACTAGTAATTTTTGCCTATTATTTTCTTATACCCACCATTAAAAATCGCATTTCTTAAGAAGCAATTTTCAACTTTCTCATTTTTCAAATATGAAAACAAGAAACTGACAAAGAGAAGCCTCTTTTTGTTCTTGTTCAGAAGAATTTTTTTTTTTTTTTTTTTTTTTTTTTTTTTTTCCTTTGAATATTCGCATAAAATATATTTGTAAAATTAAATAACAATTTTTATTCTTAGATGAATATTTTTTAAATTTGAAATTTAATTTTATGGAAACAATTTTTAAAAACCTCTTTTTTTGAATAATAAAAGAAATTTTTTTTTTTTTAAACAGATAGTCGAGAGGCTGCATTTATTTATGCGATATCAGCAGCGGGAATCGCTTATAGTGTGACGAGAGCTTGTTCACGAGGAGCTCTTACAGATTGTTCTTGTGATAACCGGGTGAGAGCGAGACATCCCAATCATTGGCAGTGGGGTGGCTGTAGCGAAGTAAGTGTATTAAATTTCAACCCTTTCATCTTCCTTGCGCGCATGTTTTTTGAAATGAAAATTTTTCTCTCCTTGAAAGACAAAAAAAAAAATGATTTATTCATTCGTAAATTTTTGTGAAAACTATAGCGGATTTTTGAATAATTGTCAAATAGAGATGGAGAATAAAGAAAAGTGATTTTTCTCTTTACAAAACAAAATAGCACTGTCATCATTATTTTGTATAGGGACGATGACTGAGGCTAGTGGAACATATTTTCTTTATTCTATCTGTAACGCTGAAGGGGTCGACCGCAGGTATTTCAGTTACGACAAGACGAAGCACGTAAACGGATGCATTTTGCGTGAACAGGTGACCCCTTGTAGACATTGCAAGCTTACAAGGGGATTAAGGGGACACTAAGCTTGTTAACTTGCAACAACCCCTCTTATTCACGAACCCATGCTTTGCCTATGAAACACGTTTCATCAACATAAAACCTAGAAACAACCCTCAAGATTCTCATTTCTCAATCCTGGACACAGTTTATAATTTTTCTTTCTTTAACTACTTTAATGAGTTGCAAAATTTCTTTTCTTTAACATTTATTGATTTCATAATTAATTTTATTATTTATTTTTTTCTAGACAAAAAATTTATCAGATTGTAAATTTGAAGAAAAAAAATATATATATAAACTAGATTTTTGTATTTTGTAAACGTGTGAAACAAGTTGACGTTAAAGTGAAGAATTTCTAGTGGACGACCTTAAAAACCCACGCGCTATTTAGATAAAGGATATAGAGACGTAAATAAATGCGGCTAACCATAGTAAAACCATAGTCAAGTTTTGTCCTTGCAATTTATAAACGAGAGAATATATATCCCCTTCGTTGAGGTCCTAGAACTGTCAGAAATACGCTTGATCTCAAGTAACAATGTTTGCACCTCACTTCCCTTTTTCAAAAATAAAATTCAAACACTCGAAGGTTTTTGCTTTTCAATACTTATTGCGTTCACCTCAAAAGGAATTAGGATCAACAACAGAGGAGATTATTTCTCTTGTTGGAAAAGCCATTTTACCTTTCACATTTAAAAAGGAATTTGCTGATGCAAATGTCCTTCGAATTATTTTCTATTAATATATACAAACATTGTCTTTTTTTGCGCAAAATTTTTTTCTATTTTTAATTTTAGTTTCTTTAAACAAATTTTAATTTAAAAATTTTTTTTTTAAAACTTAATTTTAAAAAATTAATTAAATAAAATTAATAATTAGTGGGATAAAGAAAAACGGAAACCAGTGTCAAAATTATAGTTTCATTTAAAATGAAGAGAAAAAGAAGTTATATTTCTTATGAATAAACATGACTTTGCTTTAATTAACTCACGAAACGGATACTTTGCTAATAAACTTATCTCTTATCGTCACAGAGTTTGAACATAAAAAACATGCAAATGTGAATCGGGACATGCTGATTTCATTGAAAATGTAACCATTAAATTTCAATTAGTTTTTGATCTGGGAGATTAAACTCATTATTCAGATGTACTTGACACACAGTAATATACAATATTCTTGAAAGAAAAATTTATTTAATATTTATTAAAATTATCTTGCTCACATATAAATTTATTTTTAAGGAATGTAAATGTGAAAGTTTACTATATTTATATATATTTTCATATTTCTCAAATGATATATATTTAAAATTTCAATTATTTCATGTTTCTGTAAAATTAACAGAAAATTTACAAAAAAAAATTTATTTGCAAGAATTTTTTTTTTAATATACTTTTGAAATACCTACTTTTAATCAGTTATAATAGTTTAATAATTATAAATAATTGTAAAATTATTCTATTGTAGAAGTTATTAAAAATAATTGAAAATTAATTTATTCAATGAATTTATTGACAGAAAATTTACAAATATTTGAAAAAAAAAATGTATTTGCAAGATTTTTTTTTTAAATATAATTTTGAAATACTTTTAATCAATTTGAACAATTATAAATAATTTGTAAAATTATTCACCTATTGTAGAAATAATTAAAAGTAATGGAAAATTAATTTATTCATTGTAAAGAGTAAAAAAAAAAAAATTGAAATTTCGCCTGACAGAAAATTGTTTTCAGGATATTCACTTTGGAGAAAAATTCTCTCGCGAATGGTCAGATGGAGGGGAAGAACCAGTAAAAGACGGTGTAGTTCAAGGCCCAGCTGGATTAGCAGGATTACTCATGAGAAAACATAATAGTGAAGCTGGAAGGCGAGCGATTCGCTCAAGGATGCAACGTGTCTGCAAGTGTCATGGTAAATTGCAAAAAAAAAAGAAGAAAAGAAAAAATCCTTTAAAAAGGAAAAAAAATGGTTTTTAATTAATTTAATGGCTTTTGTTAAGAAAATGATTATAATCTTTACTTTTCAGGTATGTCCGGTTCATGTAGTGTTCGTGTTTGCTGGCGGAAATTACCCACATTTAGGGTGGCAGGAGTGGCATTGGCAGCACTGCACGAGGGCGCAGCTTTAGTGCGTCTTGCTCAAAGGGGTGGCAAAAAACCAGCAAGATTAAGGCCGGCAAGACCTGACCTGAAACGGCCAAACAAAACCGACTTGGTTTACTTAGAAGATAGTCCTGATTATTGCGAACGAAATACCACGTACGATTTTTTTCTAAAAAGAAAATTTTATTTATTTTTAAATATTTATTTTTTAGCTTACCTTAATTTAAAAATAAAATTGTAATTGTATGTTTTTCAGTTTGGGAATTCCTGGCACGAGGGGAAGGATATGCAATCGAACATCATTAGGATTAGATGGATGTCGTCTGCTCTGCTGTGGCCGAGGATATCAAACACGAGTGCGAGATGTAACGGAAAAATGTAATTGCAAATTTGTCTGGTGCTGTGACGTAAAGTGCGAGCTCTGTCGAGAAAATCGTGAGGAGCATGTTTGCAATTAAAAAACAAAACAATGTTTTCACCAGAAGGCAAAATGGTACTTAGAAGAAAAAAACCTCAAAAGGTTTTATATTCAAAAGTATAAAGCGAAAAAGTAAGAAACATTTTTGACCCTCACTTCTTTGTTTTTTATTATTAATAATAATAAAGTGATAGACTTCATTTATCATGAGAAAATAGTCAAAAAAAAAAGTAATAAATCTACATAACATACGAGGCAGGGGGAATATTCCAATTATTATTTTTTTTTTTGAAGACGAATTCAAACTTGAAATTTATTTTTTTATTGTTGATTAATTTTAATAAATTCTTGAAAAGAGTGAATTTTTTTTTATTCTAATATTTGTGCGTAAAATTGACTCCCTGCCAGAGAAGAAGTTATTGAGATTTTTCGTAAAAAAAAGAAAAAAAAAAAAAAGCCGCCCGAAAATGTTTGACGCACGACGTACGCAAATTCGCGCTTCCAGTGCGTAAGCGCCAAGAGAGGCTACTTTTAAAAGATATTTATAATTTATGATTTCCCAAGAGCGTGAATGCCATAGCGAGTAAAATGTAAACGAGTTTGTAATGTTAAAAAATTGTAAACCGTTTTTCGTTAAGCTCTCGGCCCTTGGCTTTAAAAAAAAAAATTTTTTTTGGCGCTCAAGGATCATCAGAAATTGATTCCATTTAGGAAAGAAAAAAAAAGCGCCCATGCTCTCTAATGAGTATATAGTGATTTCAAATGACAACCCAACGACGCCTTCGGGCCGACCGAGAAGATTTTTCTCGTATGCCAATGAATGTACATACACGATTTTTTATTTTCTAACGTACTTAATACTTATCCTTACCGCTGTATATGTATATATATATAAAAATATGCGAGACACATTATTTCTCGTCCAATTCAATTTTTTGATTTTTTTTTTTAATTCAAATTTAAATTAAAGGTCGTTAATTTGCGACGAACTGACCATTCTGATTTTAATTTAGAAAAATCGAAAATTTCTATAAAAAAAGAAAGGACTATTTAAAAAATAGTTTTTTTAATTTTAAAAACAGAATTAAAATAAAATTGAAATTACATAAATAAAACTCAAGAGAATTTAAAAAAAAAATTGTTTCATCGAGAAATAAGTCAAGAATGTCGCAAATAAAATACCTTGGAGAATTTTTGATTCCATAATAAGAAATGGACGAAAAAATAATCAATTGCATATACATATTAAACGTACATAGTACTGATAATACGAAATCCAAGGCACTTTCATTCGAAAATTATTGAGCCGAGGATTCCGTCCACTAGTTTTGCCCATTCTCTGTGTTTTAAAAAATACTTTGTAAAAAAAAAAATTATTTCGATTCCAATTCCAAAAATCAAATTTTTCCTTTCTTTCGAAAATTTAATTTTCGAATATTTTTTTATTGAGGTGATAATTTTATTATTTTTTTTAAAAATGCACAATCCCATAATTTCAATATCCGTCGGGCAAAAAAAAATCGATAGGTTATAACCATATCGAAAGTTTAGAGAGTAATAAAAATGAAAAAAAAAAAAATGAAAAGCAAGGTTATTCTCTTGCTGTACAACAACGATATACAAAGCGCAGTATTGAAAGATTGTAATTTATTTTGTTTGAGATAATTTATATAAATATATATATATATATAAATATATAAATATATGTGTATATTCATACAGGGTAATTATCCAGTGATTTACATTGATTTGTGGTAAAAAAAAAAAATTGAAAAATCATCTAATTTTTTTTTTTTTTGTTTCATATATTTAATTATTGCACATGATTTTTGTAAATCATAAACTTCTTGGATAATTACCTTGTATATTTATATCGTAATCGCAACTTTTCTAACGTTACTTTTTCTCAAGTAACTGTTTGAAATATCGCATCACTCGATTAGCCTTAGGATACGGTAGTTTATAATATTTATATATGCATGACTTGTATCTTATACGTGTATTTATAAATACAAGATATAAAAAAATTTGATCACAATTGCTCAATTTTGTTTTTTTTTATAATTCGTTGTTTTTGTTTCATATTTCGTTGTTATGAATGTTTATGCAAAAATTTTATATGCATAATTTATTCTAAAGTTCTAAATGTTCACACGAACAAAATTTGTAATTTTAAAAATAAAAAATGAAAAATTGAAATTTGAAAACAGAAAACAATGTTCATTTGAACATTAAGAACTTGTATGAATTATTTACAATTAATTTGAAATATTGCCAAAAGTAAATTTAAAGTTTAATTTAAAAAAAAAATTATCTTTTATACTTTCCTTTTGATTTATTATGTTGACGTTCGTTCATTGCTGCGAAACGTGTGGCAAAATAAAGCATCGTAATGAAAATACTAAGTAGAGTGCCAACTGCAATACCATAGAGAAATTGCCATATTTCAGCGTAAGTATGAATATTTTTAACAGGTAAAAGAAAATTATCAGCTTCTGTTCTAATGCGTCCAATGTATTTAAGCCAAAAAACAAGTCTATCCATTGCAGGTGTTGGTCTATCTCTCAAGGAAAGTGAAATTTTTCTTGCATTTTCACGATACATAGCAGAATTGTGAATTTCATTCACAGCAGCGAGAATAGTTTCAATTGAAAAATCGCCTTCCGTCGAGTAAGCAAATCCTAATTTCAGAATGTGTAATGCATTTTTTTTCTCGTCGAAATTTCTCGGAAAACATATAACAGGCGTTCCATGAAATGCCGCCTCCAACAGTTCAGTTTCTTCACAATGACTCAATAAAACTCTCGTTCGCGGATAGCCTGTAAAATAATTTTCAAACTTAAAAAAAGAAGAAATTAAATCGTAAATTTAATCGATTTTAATTAAATCGTTATTAATCAATCGTACTATTCTAAAAATACTTAAGAGTAATAAATATATTTGTAAATAATACCTATAAGATCTTGACGATCGACTTTATCGTTAACAAAAAGATTTGTTGGTTGCGCTTCAAAAGTTACATTTTTTTGTCTCCAAACAAGAGCCTGTCCTTGTCTTCCCTGAGGTAATTTTTTTGCCAATTCTTCCATGAGACTTGAATGACTTTCATCTAACAATGAGACAATTGTTCCAGATCTTAATTCAACTAATTCTTTTTGAAGATTTTCAGGCAATGGTTCAACACCTCTACAATGGAAACATCCGACCTAAAAATTAAAAAATAATTTTCCTTATATCCTTTTTTTTTAATTATAATCAGTAAAAAAAAAAAATTATTCCTCACCTCTACAACTAATTGTGTCAAAGATGCAAAATTTGTACTAAAAACACTGTCACTTCCCCATAAAATTAATTCAACATCATTGTAAAGATTTTCCAATGTCACATCAATATTTGGAAGATATTTTGAGACTAATTTCAAAGCTGGATTAACGTAATTACTGCGAATTGATGAAATAAATAATTTATCTTTTACTGTTGAAATCATTGTCATCATAAATCCCTCAGTGTTTATCGGAATTGCCGATCCTGTTTGTATAAACGTATAAAGTTCTTCATTTGAACCTAGAGTCCAAATTACTGGAATTGATTTAATTGACTTCACCCAGGGAATTAAACAGGCATCGTGTCTGAAATATACAAGGTATTTTTTTATTAATAATTGCATGAAAATTAAATTAAATTAAAAAAAATATATATACCTAATAGAAGGAAATATTGTAAATGTGGGTTGAAGTTCACGAACTCTTTTTAAAATTGTTTTATCACTGAGAAGTTGTTCGCAGGCTTTGAGAGCTTTTGCTTCGACTTTAGTTTCTTCATTAAAAACTTTAAGCACTTCAACTTCAACTAAATTTTCATAAATATTCGCTGTCGAAGGAACAATTAAAGTTGTATCAATTCCCTGATCAGATAATGTATTTGCCAATAAAGAAAGATCATAGGTCTCTTCAAAGGCCACAATCAAAGCATTTTGTGGTGGAGTCGCTAGAAATGATGTTCTAGCTAAGGAAATAAATGCAAATAGTAAATTTATTATAATCTCTCTCTTCATTTTTTAACTTTTATTAATAGTCACTTTTTTTTAGAATTATTTTTAAAACCACACTTATAAATTTTATTTAAAAATATTTGTTAATTATAATACACTTTATAGCACTCTTTTTATCACAACTTATCACAGAATACTACTCCCACATGTATATTTTTAGTAAATCACCGAAAAAGGATATTCCTCCACGTGTACTTTTCTTTTTTTTAAAAAAAGTTTTATTTATAGTATTTTTAAAATACAATGTAAAACTAAATTTATCACAAATCCTTGACACACTTTTCAAAAAAAAAAAGAAAAAATAGTTTATTATTAATAAAAAATATTGACTTTTAAAAAGAAAAATAAAGTATAAACAAGCCGCAGAACTGCCAGGGAATGTTATCTGTCAACATAACCGCGATTTTTCAATTTTTCTTTATATTATTTAAAAATTAACAATTATTATTTGAGTTAATTCCTTTTTTACAGAAAATAACTATTTTGTCTTATTTTAATTCACAATATAAATATTAATATTTTTGACAGGTAAAAATAAACAATGCTTTTATTTACATATGTAAATATTAGGGCTGGTTCACACGTTATTTCTCGTAAAATTACGTATTGTACGTAAAGCAACTACCGTTCTTTGCTATTATTGCGTTAATTATTTCTCTACCTACTCATATCTGATTAAAGAAATTGACAAGTGTGTTTATCCTGTCATTTTGTAATTAAAATATTTCAGCTTTATTTAAAATATTAGTTAAAAAGTGCTTAAATATTTAAATAAACAACATTTTTATCTAGTTGATATTCACTTATTGACATAAGGGACATAAATAACATTACAAATTACTGTAAGTATAATATCTCATTCTTATTCGTAGTAGAATGTCAACTTTTTCATATAATTAAAATCTTCTCTTTTCTAATAATAGAAAAGATCCAAAATACAAAATAAATTGCCATTATAGTTTTTACAAAAAGAAAAATAGAGTTTATATGTTAGGATTTTTCTGAAATGTCAATATTCGTTGTTCTCTAACCTTGAAATTATGCGAAACATTATGGATTGTTATTTATTTTTTAGATAATAGTGCATTTCCAACAGGAGAACAAAATGGAAGAAAATAATGAGAAGGAAACAACTTATGCCCAGGAAGAGCCAACGACAACTGCAGGTCAACCGTTATCTGATTTTCTCCTTCAATTAGAAGATTATACCCCAACGGTACTTTTAACTTTTATTTTATTTGTATTCACTATCAAGTAAATTAAATTAATTTTGAATATTATAAAGTAATTATGAAACTTTTGCAGCTTCCTGATTCAATTACGGAACATTATCTGCGTACTGGAGGATTCAATACTACAGATGCAAGAATGTGAGTATTTTAAAAAGTAAAAGTATAATTATATTTTAAAATAATTCTATTCTTATTTTTAAATGTGTCAATAAAAAAATTCGACATTTTTTACAGTGTTCGTCTAGTTTCTTTGGCGGCACAGAAATTTATTTCCGAAATATCAAATGACGCTCTTCAACATTGCAAAACAAGAGGTGCGAATTTAAATACAAAAACCAAAATAAAAGATCGTCGTTATACATTAACTATGGAAGATTTAACTCCCGCCGTCGCAGAATATGGAATAATTGTCAAAAAACCACATTATTTTGTTTAATTTCCTTCTCTGTGTCTATAATAAATTAATTACACTCTTAGAATAATTATTTGTAACAATCATTGTTATTTTATTTTGTACTGAAAATCATCTAATGAATACTTTTATTTACACAACAATAATTTTATTTTTATTGCAAATTTTTTTTCTTTTAAATTATCAAAAAAAAAATATTTAAATTTTGTTTTATCATAAATTGAAATTTCGCGCCAAGCATTTATGCGCAGAATCGTGTGCGCGAGAAGGATGAGATTTTTGGAAATTCGATATTTTTTTTTTAACAATTTTTTTTGACTGCCGAACAACAAAAAAAAGGATTGTCATAATTATAATTCATTATTAAACAATTAACGAATTGGATAATTTGCAATAATTAAAATTTCAAGTGTTACACAACAATTTGTGTTCGTCGTTAGAAAGAACCATCAACAAAATCAAAGAAATTGGAAGCAATGAAAATGAAGCAAATGGTGATTGTATGACAATGGATTCAATGGATGCAAATGGAAACGGGAAGCGTGGTCTTCCCAAATTACGAGAAGTTTTTTACCGGCAAAGACAAGATTCTGATGTGAGTCATTTCTAATTAATTGTATATTCTCAGATCCCTGAGTGACCTCCATGGATTTTATCAGGCACTGATTATGGACCCGCTTCCTAACCTAATTTTTGACAGCTGAGCAAATTGTATTATATATATATATATAAAATATATAGAAATATCTGTGAATCGTTTCCTTAAAAAAATCACCAATTATCTAATAATGGTAGATCAATTTTTTATAAGCTTTTTTTAAAAAAAAATACTCACTTTAGCCTTTTTTTTGTCACGATTAGGGAACTCCTCGAAACATACGCTTTTTGGGGGTCTTTGATATGGCTCCAAAAGTAACATTTTTGTTTATAGATTTATTTAGAATATATAATTTACTATAATGAATTTTTGAAACATTAATTTTTTCCTATAAATGATTGAATGATTTTTTTTTATTTCAGTTACAGATTTTGTCAATATTGATTATATTATACAATCAGCAATATTATCATATTGCCAAATGATAATTGTATTATTTTTCAATCAATTGTTGAAGATTCCATTATTTTATCTTCATTATTATTCTTCTTTTGTTGCATTATAATAAAAGAGCTTCTTTATTGCATGACAAAAGTGTCAATAGCAATTTTGCTTCTAACCCTTTCAGACCCATTGGGAATTTTAGATTTTAAAGTAATTTAATAAAAATTTGTAGACAAAAACTTTTTTTTGTTTTTTTAATCACAAAATTGAATTTTCAGCATTTGGAGAAATTTTTGGGTATTAAAGGGTTAATTTTTACATTATTTTTAATAGCTTTGATGGTGTTAAATTTTGATTTTGAGAATTAATTTTAATGTGTAAATTTAATAGGATGGACAAGAATCTTCAATTTTGGATTTTGTCTACGATGACGCAGACACACATACAAATGAAATTGCAGAACTTTACAGTTACACCGAACATTATGAATTACAACTTAATCTTAAGGTTTGTTTTAATTTTTATATTAAAAAAAAAAAGTCAAATTTAATTTAAATAAAACACATAAATTTTAGGCGTTCGAGGATCAAATGGAAATTTACAATCTTCGACCGTTGTGGCAAAATTTATCAACAGAACAACAAAAGTCGATAATTCATAAATTATTAGATCAACTTGAATTATCAAATAAACAAACTAGAATGAAGGCAGCTCGTTGTATTTTATATATTGCTCAGGGTTGTTGGGCAGAAGTTCAGTCCGATAAAGAACAACAAGAATGGTCGAGAACAAATGTTATGTTACTTTATGAAACTGGTACTTTTGCTGCATTCGTTGAATTATTGAATATTGAAATCGAGTGGGTATTATATTTTATTTGAAATGGAATTATTCTTTATTGTTAAATTATTCTAATTAATTTTTTTTAAAACAGAGACAGCACAGCAGCTAATTCTGCAATGAGAAAATTGGCAGTCAGCCTCGCAGACTCTGTAGATATTCGATTAATTTTATCTGTTTTGTATATTATCACTGAAATAATGAGAGAGGAGTCAAAAAATTTAGAAGACAGTCCATATAAAGTGAATTTTGAAACGTTTAAAGAAGAACTCAGTGAGTAATTTATTGATTTATTTTTATTATAAAAATTAATTAAAATCGATTGATCATAAAAAATTTCATTACAGTGAATCCCTATGGCGATGAATTTTTGATAATCAAATTACTTGGAATGGTGACATGCTTCTGTAGTGGAAGTGCTCCTCATTTTCCAATGAAAAAAGTTTTACTATTCCTTTGGAAACTTATATTAGTTTCTTTAGGCGGTATTGAAGCTTTACGTGAATTGAAGAAAAAATATCGCGAGGAAGCAGGACTTCCTGTCGATCAAGAAGACACAATAGAGGTGACAAAAAATATGAGACCAAGCTCACCACCTACAAGTGCTGCTGATTTACTCGATTCGCAGAATCAAAAAAGGAATAATAGAGCTTTTCGAAGGGTTCGTTTTATTTTAATTTCTAACTTAAATTTTTGTTAATTTAAATAAAAAGGAAATCATTTTTTATTTTTAGAGTTTAATGAAGCAAAGTTCATTGGATGAACCATTATTGGGAATGGAATTTGAAGGTGGCGAAGGTGGAACAAATTCGGGAAATAATGAAGGTGACGGCGATATGGTATTGTATATGGATCAATCACAATGTCAGAATTATTATGAGGATCCAAGTAGTTTGGTTCAACCGAGACCAAGTACACCGCAGCCAGTGAAAGATAAGGGTTTACCATGGACTCCAAAAGTTAGGCAAAAGGACGTTGATATGTTCCTCGAGGGTTCAAGATTGAAATTTGTCGGTTATAAATTGCAAGGCGATCGAGAAAGTTTAGCGGGTCTACCTCAACCAATTCACGAAGGAGTCAATATTCTCAAACGAGTGAGTTTTTAAAAATAAAATTCTTTTTTTCTAATAACTAAATTATTTGTAAATTTTCAGCATATGTACACTTCATTAGCGGAAATACAAATTCAAAAAGAAGAGGAAATAGCTAGAAATCCAATGAGCACTGAGGAACCAACAATTCGTCAGACTCCAACAGAAATTTTATATCAAGCAATGCTACCCAATCTTCCTCAGTACATGATTGCCTTATTGAAAATCGTCCTTGCTGCTGCGCCAACAAGCAAAGCAAAGACTGAAAGCATTAATATTATGGCTGATGTTTTGCCTGAAGAAATGCCGTAAGTATTTTTTAATATCTATTGAAAAAACAAGCAGTTATTTTTGTTGAGAAAAAAAAATACACTAACAAATTTAATTGCAGAATGACAGTATTGCAGTCTATGGAATTAGGAATCGATGTTAATCGTCATAAGGAGATTATTATTAAAGCGGTTTCAGCAATTTTGCTTCTTTTATTGAAGCACTTTAAAATAAATCACATTTATCAATTTGAATTTATGTCACAACATCTTGTTTTTGCCAATTGTATACCTCTAGTTTTGAAGTTTCTTAATCAAAATATCCTCGCTTATATTGAAGCAAAAAATGTGTAAGTTTTCGAAAAAAATGTAAAACATCAATTTTCTGATTTATAATTTTTGTTTTTCTTTTCAGTATTTCAATGTTAGATTTTCCAATGTGTGTTATCGGTGATCAACCAAAAATAACAGTGGATGATCTCGAAATAAGAAGTACTCAGTATTACTGTTGGCGAAATGTATTCTCGTGCATTAATTTATTGAGGATTTTAAATAAATTGACAAAATGGAAACACAGCCGTGTAATGGTACGTTGAAATTAATTTTTGAATTAATTTTTTTTTCTAAATATTCTATAATTCACGAATTTACAGATGCTAGTTGTATTTAAATCAGCGCCGATATTAAAGCGAACATTAAAAGTGATGCACGCCATGATGCAATTGTATGTATTGAAATTATTGAAAATGCAAACAAAATATTTAGGCAGACAATGGCGCAAGACAAATATGAAAACAATTAGTGTTATTTATCAAAAAGTTCGACATCGCTTAAATGACGACTGGGCTTACGGCAATGGTGAGTGAATACCTTTTTTTCTATATACATAAATTATGTAAATTACAATTTAGAAAAAATAAGAAAAATAATTTTTGAAAGTAGATTTGGAAGCAAAACCATGGGATTTTCAAGGAGAAGAATGTGCTCTAAGAACTTGTGTTGATCAATTTAATAATCGTCGATATTCGACAGCAATTCGTGACGAGGAACTAGAACCAGTTGATACAAGTGTAACATCAGTTCTTGGAGTTAATGTCGAACTCACCGATGAATTTAAACAACACTATGAATTATGGTTACAGCAAGAAGTCTTTCAAACTAATATTAATTGGGACGAATTATTAGAAACAAATTGTGAAATCTAAGACGAAATCATGCTTTATTTAAAAAAAAAAAACGAAACAAACTAAAAAAAATAACAAACGAAACGAAAATGGAAAACTAAAAGTTTTATCAGGTTTCGTTAATAAAAACAAGAAAAATGTTCGAAGAACATGATTTTTACGTCTAATCGGACGGCGTTCATCAAAACGTAAATATTTGATGAAATTTATTCCTTTTTCGCATCGCCGATTTTACGTACATATAAATGTATTTTTTAAGTTTGTGCAATTTACCGGAACTAGCCATGTAATATTTATATAATCGATTTTTCTGGAGCAAGAAAAAAAAAAAAGAAATTCTTTGTACCTTTGTAAGTATCGTTTTTTAGTGTTAAAGAAGAAGAAAAAAAAATTAGGAGAAAAAAAAAAGAAATGAAATAATATCTTTGGTTCAAAATGGCGAATCGTTCCAAAGATCCGTTATTTACTCATCGAGATTAATTAGCAAAAATCCTGATGAATTATGATTAGAGTGTCGTACGTTCTAATTGTGATTTTCTCCCATTTACTAAACAAAAAATAATTAATTGAAACTTGTAAGCAATTTTTAATTTCGTATTTATAAATTTAAGAAAAATAATGACAAGAGGAACGCGAAAACGAACGACGTCACTTTTTATTGTACATTAATCATCGTGTATATTTATGAATTGTGCGCGTGAGATTATCAAGATTATTTTTTTTTTTTATTTGCGAGAAAATTATCAATACATTTTTTTTATGTGAATTTCCATACTTTTTTCTTTTTTTAAAACAAATTTTTTTGAACTATTTATATTTTAAATTTTGTATATGGAAAATTACATTTAAAAATTTTTTATTTAAGAAATTATACATTTTAAAACCTTTTTTCTGTGAATTAAATAAAATTTTGTCAAATGAAAATTTGTATTATAGGAAAAAAAAAAGTGATTTAGAATAGTCTTGATGATTTTACTTTTGTGTAGAGTAAAAACAAAAACTTTTTGTAGAAACAATAATAGACCAAGAAAAAGTTTTGAAAATTTTAATAGCTTTGCTTTGTCTTTTAGTGCAAAAGCATAATTATTACAAGAAAAAAAAAAAAAGAAAACCTGTAGAATTAGTTATTCTGAGGAAGAACAAAGAAGCGATGTAATGTGATTAATTTAAATGAAAATAAAATAATTTTTACCTTTCTTTTTTCTACTCAACTGCCAGATGCAATTGTTGAATAAGAAAAAAAAACAGCAGGAGCTGATGAACAAAATTTATTGAGAAAATATTTTCTTTGATGAAAAAATATTTTTATAGTTAAATAAGAGACTTTTAGCACTGCCTATTTATTATTTACAATTGTTAATAGAAAAATCAATGTTCTCAATTTTTATACCTTAAAAAACTTATTTTTTTATTTATATTTCAAAAAATTGTTCCTTCCATTTATCTTTAAAAATTCAATTGTTTTTAAATGTTTCTGTTTAAAAAAAAACAATTTTCAAGAAAAATTATTTTATTTTATTATGTGTAAATAAATAATTATAATTTAATTGAAAATATAATTGCAGTCTCTTGTATAAATAACATAGTAAAATAAAAAATAAAATCAATATTAAAAATTTTCATGATTTCTAAAATTTATTTTTCAACGATAAACTATCGTAGAATTTTTTTTTTATAATTGAAATGTATTAGATCGCAAATTAAATAGTAACTACAAGTATTTTTTCATCGAAAGAAATAAAAAACACTCAAGACCAGTATTCTCTGTATGCGTACAAACCTTTTATTAAATATTCGCAAAAAAAAAATTGACATATTAAATAAACATTATTAGAAAAATAACAACGTTTTTTTAATTATTCTTAATTTTTAAAAACAATAAATTTTTCTGTAACCTACAAGTACCTATAGTAAATATATTTTAAGACACAATGTGATTTCAATTGGATTATTTCACAAGGAAGAATATACAAATATCTTGCATAAATATCAAAAGTTGTACATCTTTTCAAAAAGGAAGACAGAAAAATACAATTAGTTAATAAGTATTTATTTTTTTTTTTAAAGGACTATTCAAAGCACGTTTGGGAATGTATTTGTCTTGATTTATTATTTTATAGCAGTCTCTCATTTCTATATTAAAAACGATTTAATTCCTATTTTTTTATCATTTTAATTAATTCAATCAAATTCAGAACAAATCGATATTGAAAAAAATATAAATAATTTAGCATGAAATCGGATTTGTCCTTTAATCTGCTTTCGAATATGGAGAAAAAATATTGTATATAAAAAACAATTCAAGAAATGAGAATTATTAATTTAAAAAGATTTTCTTTAAACAATTTCTCATAATTGGGTAATTTGCTATTATTTCTAAAAAATTTTCTAAGGAAATCTTAATTCTATGTTCTTTTGTTTCTGATTCGTATTTAAATAAAATCTAATAAATAAAAAACTTTAGGATCAAAAAATCAGTGATTGTGGGGATGTACCCATTTATATGATCCGTAATAAATAAAATTATTGTCTTTCGCCTTTTCATCGGCTTCTTTCGGTCCACGGGAACCATATCTAAAAAGAAAATAATATTTTTTAAGTATTTTCAATTTATAAATTAAAAAAATAATCTAATATTTGAAAAAAATTATAATTTTACTTAATTAATTAGATTACTTACTTTAATTAGATTTATAATTAAAATAATTTACATTGAATGAACAAAAGATTTTTAAAAAATATAAAAAAAGTACGACTTACTTATACGGAGTAGGACGGATTTTTTCTATTTGATGAAGAAGAGGAGTGAAAATTCTCCAAGCCTCCGAAAGTTCATCGCTTCGTACAAAGTGCATTTGTGATCCACAGAAAACATCCAAAATCAGTCTTTCATAAGCATCGGGAAGTTTTAGACCCTAAAGGAAAATTTTTTTATTATTTTAAAAAAATATAATTAAAAATAAGTTAACTTATTAAAATAAAAACTAAATTTTACCTTATATCTGCTAACATAACTGAGGTCCAATTCAGTTTCTTCCATGTCAAAAGTTATACCTGGAGATTTTGTCATCATTTTTATATAGATGGCCTCTCCAGGCTGAACTCTGATAACCAATTCATTTCTTTTTGCTTTTCCATCGAAAATATCACCAGGAACATCCTGATATTGAACTCGAATTTCCGCTTTGCGTTCATTTAACGCTTTACCGCATCGCAAAATAAAGGGAACACCGTCCCAACGTTCATTTAAAATTTTCAAAACCGCAAGAGCATAAGTTGGAGTATTAGAATTAGCAGGAACAGTTGAATCATCCAAATATCCCAATTTTCCCTCTTCGTCCTTAGCTTCTGGATCGCCGACATATTGACCAAGAACAACATCGTCAATTTCAACTGGTTTTATACACTTCAAAACTTTTACTTTTTCATTTCTGAAAATTAATTATATATTACCAAAAAAATAATTAATTACAATAACAAAAAAAAAAATGTTTTTTAATTTCAACCTTATATCGTCCGGATGACATGAAGCCGGTTTTTCCATTGCAAATAATGATAATATTTGCAATAAATGATTTTGCATGACATCGCGTATAATTCCAAATTCATCAAAATAACCACCTCTTCCTTGTGTTCCAAATGGTTCTTTAAAAGTAATTTGCACCGACGCAATACTATCTCGATTCCAAGTTGGACTGAAAATTCGATTTCCAAATCTCAATGTCATTAAATTTTGTACCATTTCTTTTCCAAGATAATGATCAATTCGATATAATTGATCTTCCCTGAAAAGACTCGCCAAATGATCGGATAACTGTTGAGAACTGACAAAATCTTTTCCAAATGGTTTTTCTATAATTATTCTCGTCCATCCTCTAAAATTAAAAAAAAAAATTTCAAATAAAAATTTAATTTAATATTTAATTAAATAATGTAATAAAAATAGACGTACTTTTGTCCCATACAAGTGTTTCTAATGTGAACTGTCACAGATTCAAAAACACTTGGTGGCAAAGCGAGATAAAATAATCTGTGTGCATTTTGTCCTTTTTCGTGTTTCTCAAGTTGCTGATTAAGTAATTCAAAATCCCTTCGTGTATTATAAGAACCAGCAACGTAGTGATTTAATTTCCAAAATTCCTCATATCTCTCTTCATCGCCTGGTTTTACTTTCATGTATTTTTCACATTTTTCCCGTAAATCTTGTACTGTTAAATTACTTCGTGCGTAACCGAAAAATGTAGTTGTTTTTGGCAGTAAATTATCTCGAAATAACCACCAGAGAGTTGGATAAATTTTCTTTTTCGCTAAATCACCCTTTGGAAAAATTTATAATCAAAAGTTAATTGTAAAATGTAAAAAAAAAAATTTTTTAAATAAACTTACGGAAGCACCGAGAGTAACGAACACATGAGGAAAAGAAGAATCAAAATGTGTTCCTTCTAAATGATCCATTTCTTCGGATTTCAAGGACTGCCTGATAAACATCAGACTGTCCTCTGTAGATCGTCCTGTAAAAAAAAATAAATTTCTTACATAATAATTTTTAAAGAAAATAAACATAAAATTAAAATTAATTTCTATTTTAGCCTTGAAAATTTCAGTCGCAATTCAATCATAATTAAGAAATAATTATTGTCATAAAAGACCTTGATATTTATCAAATCCTTTTCGAAAATTAAAATTTATTAATTTCATTATATTAAATTCATATTTAAAAGATATTTTTCATTAAATTATATTTTTTAATATATTTAAATTATTATGTATTTTTGATAAATTTTCATACGTAAAAAATATAATTTCATTTTTCTCCACATACAAAAATAATGTGCCATCTTCTTAAATTTACATTTGAAAAATCGCAATAAAATTTGTTTGTTTCACTGAAACATGTAATTTGCATATAGAATATTTTATCTAAAAAATTTCCGCTAAAATACTCGAAAAAAAAAAATAAATAACTTACGTTCCATGATGATGGTTGTTTAAATTTTAATTGAACAGGAAATCTAAATGTGAAAAATTAAAAAAAAAAAAAAAATACACAATAAAGATTTTAGAAAAATAATTAAAATAATAAATTTTTTAATTTTAACTCCGAATAGTTTGAAAGAAAAGTTCGAACTGCGGAGTCAATCGTATTCCGCATAGTCAGTGAATCGAGTTGAAAACCACGTGGATGGCTCACATACAAAAAAAAAAAAAAAAGCGGGGATACAAATACACTTATATACAATATTGTACAATTATATTACAAAATATTACGTCAATGTTCAATGACTGAAAATAGTTAATTATTTTCCAAGAATTAATTTTTTTTTTCCAATTTTTTTGTATACGTGTTTTTTTTTTTTTAATTGGAATTTAGAAATTTCAATTTGAATAAAAATTTAAATTTTAGAAATTCGTATAAATTATGATGAAAACTATAATTTCACATCTAATTAAAATTATAATTTAATTTTAATTAGAATAATTTTATTGAACCGAAAAGAATTATTTATAATTATTCTCTATCTATTGTCCCTTTTTGTAAATTTACAATTTAAATATAAAAATTTTAATTCTCTATATTTTTAGTGTAAATAAATTTTTTTTTTAAAACTCTGAATTCTAAGTAAATACAATGAACGTGAAATTAGCATTTTTAATTAATGTATTGGATTTGAATTTAACATTTTAACATTGTATTGAGAAAAATATTTTAGTTAGAAATCACAATGTAAGAGAAAAAAAAATAGTGTATAATCGTACAAGTTTTATCAATCATCGAATTATAAAAATCTGTTAATTTTTCTTTTTGTCAGTTGTTTGTAATATTCATCTGAGGGTCAAGGTTACTTTGCGTTTAAGATATTTTATGCAACTATGCTTATTACCTTCATTAATGAGCTTTTAGATATCCAGAATTTAACATTTTCTTTTTCTTTAATGTATATATACTTTTCAAATGAAATTGCGCAATTTTAAAGAATTAAATTTACATTTATAAAATTAAACTTTCTAGAAAAATTTTCTTCAAATACAAATACAAATACAAATATTTTATTTAACAATTTCATAATGTTTAAAAAAAATTAAACAAATATTTACATTTTAATTTTATTTTTGTTAATTAAAATTAAAAAATTAAAAACCTCAATCGAAATGTCACTGAACGATAAAAAAAAAAAAAATTGCATTGAAGACCTTTCAATGAATGGGAAAATCCGGAAGTAAATAATTCTTTCATTAACATGAATACGATTCAACTTATAAATATTCAATGAATTCTACTCACGTAAAAACCAAATTTCTTTTACTATTTACACAAAATTGGAATAAATTTTAAATATGCTTCAAAATGTGGAATTTTTTTTGAAAAATAAAAGAAATTCTTTGAAACGTAGAACAAATTAATTATGAAACGAAAGTATTTACTTATTTGAAAATTACAAATAAACTGACAATAAAGTATTTTTTTTACACCTGTTTTCTAACTAATAGAGAAACCATTGCATTTGAATTTATTTATGCATTATTACAAAAAAAAAGAGTGGGGTTAATCAGTTTTTTTCATATGAATGTATACTTAAAACATTGTAAAACGTTAATTTTATTCTATTTTGAAATTCTCATTATTTTTAATAATAGTCCTACATTGGAAATAACAATTAGAATGTTACATTAAAAAAACAAATTAGGAAAAAAAAATCAAAATTACGAACAAAATAATATTAAAATTTAATTATACATTTATCCAAGTATTTAAATTTTATTTAAAATTGTAAATTAAATTTACGTTTAGAATTATAATATTTAAATTTAAATTTATTTTCGTCAAAGGGTTTTTTTTTAAATTGAAAGATAGAAAAAAATAATTTAAAAATATATTCAACACGTGCTTTTAGATATTAGCTAATGCTTGATGTAAAACGTGACAATAATCTAATGACATCATAACAGTAATATCATCCGAGTCATTATTATCAATAAAATGTATTTTTGTTACATTAAATAAAAAATCGTGATTTATATTAGATTTGATAATTCAACAAATTATCACTGATAATAATTTGTTGGATAAATTGTAATACTAAATCAAAGATCATACAAAGTGCAATAAAAAAAAATTGAAAATAAAACATTTGCAATTAATCGCAATTTATATAAAAATAAAACAAAAAATGATTGTGCACTTTTAAAACATGCTGATCATTATCTTCTGATTTTTAATAGAAAATTTAAAAACAAAAAATTATTTAATATCAAGAACAAGGTCATTTGATAAAAAAATATCTTGACAAAATATTGTATAATTTAATGATTATAAAATTTAGAAAATAAATAATATTTAAAGAAACTCACGTCGTAAATTTAAGGAAGACATTTTTTTTTTTTTTGGTTAGGTTGCAACAGTTGAATTTTCCTTTGACTTCTATATAATAAATGAAAATGTGTATTTAAACACTGATCTATTGGATTAAATCTCTCTTCTTCAACAAATAATTAAGACTTTCTCTTTTGACCAAGGTTTAAAAACTGTAAAAAAAACTGTTTATTGTCCTTGAGTTGTGTGGTTTTCGAGACTTTAACGTTATAACCTGAAAAATATTCAATAACACAATAAATTCGAATTATTTTTATTAAATCAATTATTTATATATTTCACCAAATTTTCCATTTATAATCTTTCTTAAATTCTGATTATGACAATAAATAAACAAAGTACATATTTACCTCTGATTACACTTATACCGGATCACGTGATTCGCCATCAGCTGATTGTCAACATAACCTTAATTGTTTTTGTCTCCTCGTGCGTCGATTTTTTTCGGCTCCTTTTATTTCTAATTCCAGTGATTTTAATTTTGTAAGTATTTAAAAATATTGCATTACAAATATTCTTTCTTTATTATTTAAAAAAAAGCAATAGACATTTCTTTTATTTTATTCTAGAAATATTAAATTTTTACTAGACTATCTTAATTTTCATTCCTTCTAATTTCTTCAATAATTTACTATTATATAGAAAATGAGGGGTAGTCATTTATTAATGAGTATAGCAAACAAAAATCATCCAAGGGCTCAACAAAGAGAAACTAAAGTGACATTTAAGGCATTATTACCTCTTAAATTAAGAGATAGAGTCAGTGGAAAAGGTGACCTTCATAAAGGTAAATATTTAAAAATAAAATCATATGTATAAGTGAGAAAAATATCAAAACAAAAACAAATTAATTTATATTTTTTAGAAAAAGGTTGTCTTCATGAAATAACTCTTGCCATGGCTTGTCTTGCAAAACATAATTATGAAAACATACCATGCACAAAAGAATTGAATACTTTTAATGATTGTTATAATAAATATATAACGAAAAAAAATGCATTAAAGGAAAATCGAGAAAAGGGCATTCTCACACCAAATGCAAAAACATTAAATCACAATGAAGTTAATATTCTTCTTAAAAGATATCCCACTCAATAATGAACGTATGTAATTTTTTTTCTTCTTCTTTATATTATAATTTATTAAATAGAACAGAGATTTTATATCAAATGACTCCATTAATTAGTTTTTAAAAAAAAACCTATCTTGTAGTATCAAATTATTAAATATATATATAATAAAAAATAATTTGAAATTTAATTCATATTTACAATTATTAAATTTTATTTAACTTAATTTTTTGCTAATTATTATTTAATAGAAGTATTGTCAGCTGTTGTTGTCAAGCGTTTAATAGCCAAACGTTCAGAGAATCCTGTTAAAATTTTAACAATAATAAAACAATCAATAAATAAAATATTTTTCAACTAATGTAAAATATAAATTTAAAAAAATACTCACGAAGAACGTGTGTTGTTTTTATGGGTTTAAGTTCATTTAAATCTTGTAGTTGACTTTCAATACGCTGTAGGACTTTATAATTTTCCAAATGTTCATCTTTATATGAAAAATATGAATAAAATAGAGTCAAAAAACAAAGGAATAGTGAACATTTCCGAACCATCCAAGTTGAATGTAAAAGTTGTATCTATAAAAAATATATTAAATTAATAATCAGAGAAAATTGAAAATTAGTAATTAATGTAAATTAATGTAACCTTATCGTCGTGTAAATTATTTTCGTCATTAGCATAAAAATTAACAAGCATTCTTTCAATAATAATATTGAAACTCAATACTGTAAAGAGAGAAATTCGAGAATTTAATGTCTTTTTCGTTGCACTAAATAGAGCCGCAAAAATGCAAGAGATAATATAGTAAATAATTGACTGAAACCAAGACACTTCGCCGATAATCCAATTTTGAAATGTACGAATATAGGAAAATATTTGATACAACAATTCCTTTTGATCTCGAGCCGATTCTCTGCAAAAAAGAAATTTTTTTTAAATTCTCTTTATTTTCGATTTCAAAAAAAGAAAATTTCAAACTTACTTGAAATCACTGACAATATTGTTTACAGTTTCAGCTGAATTTTGTATAACACCCTCTAATTTAAGTCCATTGTCCAGAAGTTGATTTTGCATTTCTAATCCCTCTTTTTGTCTTTCTAAAACTACACTTTGCATTTTTGCAGCCTCGGAAATTTGCTCTTTCATGTGAGTTGATGCCTTATACAAGCTGCAGGAAAATATAAAAAAATTATTCAATTTTAATTGCATTTTAATAATAATTCAATTTATTATTTATAAAAATAAACAAACTGTTTTATTGTAGATTCCGTTTCCGCTTGCCAAATTTCATGACTCAAAAAGAAACAAACATGAGAAGTGTGAGTGTAAAATTCATTGTATACTCCAAAAGCACGATCGGTCATTTTATTAATGCACTTTCTGATGAAAAATAAAATTTATATAAAATATATTTGAAAAATAGGATTGAAAAAAAAATTGAAATTATTACCGTCTTTCGCTTCCAGTTTTGCTGAGATGACAAGAATATGTCACATGGCCAGAATCTTCTAAAAAGCAATTTGCTAAGTAAAGAGCTAATATTGAGTGTTCATGATCATTTAATTTTTCACAGTTTCCTTTGATGGCTTTTAATGCTTCATGCCAGCAAATGCCATGTTGTGGTAAAGTTGATTTCGCTTTAAATAATAATCATTAATTATAGAATAAATTAAAGTACATTTTTTTTTAAAATTAAAATAACAAATAATAAAAAGGTAAATAAACTAACCTTTTATAATATGATATTGTTCTTCTCCTAATTCTTTAATTTGTAAATCACCATTAAAAGCGGAAGTCAATAAAATACACTTGAATAAAAATAATAAGAATTTTAACATTTCTAGGTTAGAATTAAATAATCAAAACAAATGAATGTTGATAATTGTCAACAATTAAATTATTGTTAATCGTGATTAAAATAATAGATAACATTACGAGTTTTTAATTAACAATTCAAAAGGGTAATTACGAATTTCCCGATTGTGTTACCATTATTATAATGTCGTGTTACTAAAAAACAATACTTTGCTAATTTTTTTTTTCAAATTGTTTGAATTTCAAATCAAGACTCTAAAAACAAAAGTAAACAAAAACACAAGCGGACAAGTGTCAACCTCAACTGTCACTTTGTAGATGGCGCTATTCAAAATTTCACGGAATTTACGTAAATTGTCGTAATGTTTTAAAATAAAATGCCGCGAATTTCAAAAATGTTCTCTATTTTTTTAATTGATAATTTACAAATGTTAATTAATTTATATTTGTTCATTAAACAATTTTTTCTTTAATAAAATTAGTAATTAGTAATAATATTTAATAATAAAACGCTTAAATTATAATCGATTTATTATTTTATAAAATATTATGTAATTATACAATTTTTAACAACTTTCGAAAGTAAATATTTTTTTTTGTGATCTAACACAGATCTTATAATTAATTTAAAAACTATAATTTTCAACAAATTATAGCCTATAAAACCTAGTTTTTTTTCAGTCTGATTCGCATGTCAATTCATGCTCAAATATTAATATCACTGAACCAATTTGATTTCATAGAAAACAATAACAATGGTTCATATTAACATATTTTTTTAAACATTTTTTTTTTTTCAATTCTCATTCAAAAATAATATAAAAATTCATTTTTTAAATTAAAAATACATACAAATTTAATTTGACTGTTAATCTTATTTTTTTTTGATATCTAAAAATTATAAATAAAACTTATTCAAGGTGAAAACATTTTTGTACTAAAAGTAGAAAATTACATTTTCCATCTTTTACAATTGTGAACTTTTTTTTAAAGGAAAACGATTTTTTTTAATTCTATTAATAATGAGAGAATAGAAAGATTTTTAGTGAAATGAAGAAATATGAGTATAATCTTTTTTTTCTCTAATGGCATAAATAAAAATCTCACTTTCATTTGAGATATGTGGAAGTTCTTGAACTTCAAGAAAGAAATCAAATTACACATAATTTCTGATCTCATTGAGAGAGATCAAATTTTTGTGTAAAAAGAAGAAAAAATTATTGATCCCATGAAAAATATAATTTCAAATTAAATTATTATGTCACGATGGCTCTTTTTCTTGATTTGTATTATTTTCTACTTGATCATAATGACTAAGACATTGTTGATATGATACTGCACTGGCGTGTCCCGATCTTCCCGATGACATTGGAACACCCAATTCCCATTGATCTTTAGCGGGATCATAAATTTCTACTATATTTAAAAAGCAATTACCATTGTAACCTCCTGAAATTGTAAATATTTTTAATTAAAATTTAATTTATTTTTAATTTAATTAAAAAAAAACTATTGATTATTGAAAAAGTAATTACAGACCCATAGCATATAATTTTCCATCTAAAACAGTAACACTTAAGGCACTGCGAGCAACTGAAACGCTGCTTACTGTTTCCCAGACACTTGTCTCGGTATCGTATCTCTCGACTGATTTTAATTGACTTGTTCCATCGTATCCTCCAACTACGTAAATATATTGACCTAAACTAGCGACACCAGCTCCAGATCGACAGCACATCATTGACGAAACCATTGTCCAATTATCATTTTCCGGATGATAACATTCAACAGAACTTAGACGATATTTCCCATCAAATCCACCAACTGCATAGAGTAATCTAAACAAAGAAAAATTAATTTTTTAAATCACTTTTACTGAAATTTCAATTTTTTTAAAAATATATTTGCCTGTTTACAACCGCAACTCCAACACCCAATCTTTTAACATGCATTGATTTAATACTTGTCCATGAATCTTCCTCAGGATCATAACATTCCACAGTATTATGAAATTCTGGACCAGAACTTCCTCCGACTGCATATAATAATCCATCCATCACTGCTACGCCAACTCGATTTCTCGGCACAGACATTGGACTACAAGGTCTCCATTGATCCATTATTGGATTATATCTATCCACCCAATCGCTGTCAAATCTAAAAGAAAAATAAATTTTACAAAAATTAAAAAAAAATAACTAAATCAAAAAAATTTTCATTCACCTGCTATCTGGCGAATTATTTCGACCACCCACAGCATAAAACATTCCTTTAACAAAAGCACCACCTAATCCCGATCGTGGAACAAGTAAATTTGCATGTTTCGACCATGTTTTATCATCAACATTATAACCCTCCAATACATCTAATGAATGTTTCAAAAAACCACCGGCAATATAAATAATTCTCGGTGTATTTGGTGTTCTTTCTTTAACAATTGGCTTTTTATGTAGTGTTAATTCTTTAAATATTTGCGCAAGATATTCACGACATGCAGGTACTTTCTTTAAAACATCACAATTTATCATTTGATCCTTAAGAAAATTTGGTGTCAAATATTGACAACGTACTGCTTGCAATATATTCTCCATTTTTGGTCCTCTTGCCTCCTCATTATATTTCACCCATTTTAATACAGCATTATAAACCTCTCTCTCTTCTTGTACATTTAATTCATCTTTCCTCACAAGTGCAATTAATCGCATTGCTGACAATTGTAAAAATTCATCTTCCAAACAAATTTGTGTAAAATGTTGTAAAATATATTGATTTGCTTTATTTAATAATGTTTGACAGCCATGTTGCTCGGCAAAATTTGCTATTCCTATTGCATTCGTTGGATCAAGTTGTTTTTCCAAAAATGTACAACACGCCTCAATTACATTATTTACCTGCAATTTCAAACAATTAGTAAATTTTACAGAACTAAAAATAATTTATCCAAACAATATTTGGAAAATATTTTTTAAATTTAATTGAATTTTCAAAAGATTTAAAATTGAAATTTTTGAATTTAATTGAAACTTTCAAGTGTTTTGTAATTAAAATTTTAGATGATTTCACTAAAAATTTATTAGAAAATGAGGACAAAATACAATAATTTGAAAATCATTTTTAATTGAAAAATGGTTTCAGATAGTTGAAATTTCAAAGAATATTATTAAAATAGTTAAAAATAATTGAATTGAGTTATAATTGAAATTATTAAATTTCAAAAAAAAAATTTCGATGGCAAATTTTAGAAATAATTAAATTTTAGATGCTTTTAAATTCAATTAATTTTGAATTCAAATTTTTGAGAATAATTCAATTAATTTTGAATTCAAATTTTTGAGAATAATTCAATTAATTTTGAATTCAAATTTTTGAGAATAATTAAATTTTATTTAATTGTAAATTTGAAAAATAATTGAATTTCAGTTCATTTTGAATTGAAAATTTTGGGAAATAATTGAATTTTAATTGAAATTTTGGATAATAATTTAATTTAAGTTCATTTTTGATTGAAAATTTAAATAATTAATTTTGAATAGAAATTTTAGAAAATAATCGACTTTTATTTCATTTTAAATTGAAAACTTGGTAAATAATTAAATTTTAAATTGAAAATATTTGATAATTATTGAATTTTAATTGATTTTGAATTAAAATTTCTTGTAATAATTGAATTTTTGTTTATTTTGAATTGAAATTTTTAAAAAATAATTCAATTTTATTGTGATATTTTTTTTTAAATTATAAAGAATTGTTAAATTTCATAAAAATTTTAATTGAAAAATAATTTTGATATAATTGAATTTGTGTATTTTTTAAAAAAGTCGGAAAAAATCATATAATCATATTTTGCTAGTAAGAAAATAAATAAATATACCTGAAACATTGTCGCAGCTGGCAATAATGAACAGACAGTAACTTCAGTCACTCGAATTTGACCCGTGTACATAAAATACATTAATCTTGCCATTGCTGTTGGACATACACCGTGTAATTTAACTCTTGTCATTTCACATTCCTTCAAACCTCCAGTAAACATTGCCTAAATATAAAAATCAAATTTAAATTTTAAACTAAACATTTCTATATATAATTAAAAAATCAAATACCTTAAAATATGGACTCGCTGCTGCTAATATGACTTTATGAGCGTGAAATAATTCGGAACCAACTTCTAAAATAACATCAGTCAACATATGATGACTACGCATCATAAACATCATTTTCATAGCCTCTTTTAAATAATTTGCCATACAAAATGTCATGTCTCCAAGCTCATTGTGTTCTTCTGCATTTATACTACTGTCCAAGTCATTTTCTTCAATTGACGTTTCTGTTTTTCGTTTAAGAGGCTGGAATTGACATCCAGATCCTCTTTTTCTCCGTAAACTCTCCTCGTCATCCATTAAAGTAATCTGAAATTAAAAAGGATTAAATAACAAAAATAACCAAAATAATGTTTGAGAGTATTTAAAATTTTAAAAACAAATACTCTTGTCAACAATCACCGCACTAATGACAGGAATGGTAAAAAAAAAACACCGGTTCCATATCCGGTCAAAAAACCGGAAATACACGATTCTTTAAAATGATTTGCAATTTTTTTCGCGCGCTTTGTTAATATTGTCTTTGTCTAACTAGTTAGAAAAAGAGATTCAAGAAGACGCGTTAATAACCGTTAAAATCTAGTTTATTTAATAAATTCCTTAGTGATTAGTGCCATTAATTACGTAATTAATAAACAGGTTTATTTTAAAAAACATTTGTCTACTTATGTTAAATATTACAAAGTTGTATACTATTATCAACAAAGGCATATTTAATAACGAAAACAATATTTTTAGGTTAGGATTTCCAAACAAGATTCGAAATTACATTTTTAATGAAAATTCAAAAAATTTATAAAAAAATTGTAAAGAAGAGAGGTCAATGAGTTAATTTAGAAGCAGAAACAAGTTGCAAATTAAATATTCAAGGAAGAAAAAATACTGAGAAACATAACCTGAAAAAGATGAATACGAATATCTGACGTTTCTGCTGGAATTTAATTTACAATTTAAAAATTCTTTTCCGTAAGTTTTTAATTAATTTATTTATTATTTATTAATTAGTTTATTATATAAATTTATTTATATTTAAATTTTATGTTTAAATACGATTTTAATGAAAATGATTAAATTGAATCAAGTGAAATTTATGATTCTGTTTTTTAGTAAATATTTACATATTTATAAAAAAACAAATAGTTTTCCTTACCGATTTTTATCAAATAGAAAATGCAGATTCAATATTATAATATATTATAAACAGTTTGAACAGTCCATATTATTTCCAAATGAATTTTTTTTATATAATAAAAATAACTTAATCACCAAATAATTATCGATTTTGTGTCCTGAGGATCATTATTTACCGGACTTTTAGAGAATGATTCACGATATGACTTATCATTGATCATGAAGAAACAGACGTGAATATTATATTTGATGACAGGTTTATTTTTTTTTTTTTACTCAAGTTCTTTATAACTATTATAATTGTCTTGTATATACACTTTACACAACAACAACAAAAAAAACACTCAATTGTTTCTTCTTCAATGATGATATAGTTTTAATATTCCAACAGTATAACATCTGTGCTACATAATGCTGTCACAAAACACACCACATTACAAAACACACGGAAGTTGTGTGACGTCACGTTTGATCTATGTGTTAGAGTTATATAGATGGAAGATATCATGACTGACAGATTTATTTGTTTATATTTATGAAAGAATTTATTTTTATTTATAATTAACATAATTTAAATTCATAAAAATCGATTTTCGAAATTCCATTTTTTTTTATTTCATTTATAAAAAAATAATTTACTTTTTGTTTTTTTTTTAAATTTATTTGGAAAAATGAAAGAAAAATGTTATTTTAATTAAATTATTAATTATTTTAATGTAAAATATTTAATATGAACTTTAAACAATTTAGATTTGACAATCTTTTGTAGATGAAAATTTTCGTTATCAGATATACCTTTTTATTTTGTTATTTAATCTGTAAGCTCTTTCTCTCATTTGTTTCTCTAATATATCACATAAATAAATAAGAGTATACCAAGTTACACTAAATGATAATAATTTAAGATAAACTGAGAGAGCTTAAATGATTAATAACTTTTCTTTTCTTTTTTTTTTTCTGTTAGTGTGTGAATCTATATAAATTTGTTTTATAGAAATGAAGACTACAGAGTATGAAACGTACAGAACGCGAAACCACGAATGACTTGCATTATTTTCTATACAATACGTTAAAAGTTCTTTTGCTGACGTTTCGTTTTATTTACTTTTAAAGTTCTTGTGTAATTTTTCTATGAATATTAAATTTATTTATTTAATGGGCTTTTATAGAAAAAATATTTCAAAAATCAAGTGCAAATTTTTTTTATTAATTCATATGTGATATCAAAAAAAAAAAAAAAAGCTCAAAACAAAAGACTTTTTTTGATAAGTCATTCTGAGATTGCACTTTCACTTAAATGTCACGCGCGTTTATTGTAATTCACTGTTAAATTTGCTTTTAAAAACAAACAAGGCTAATTAAAGTTTATTATCTCGTTGAGATTACGTTGTCAAGTTCATATATAGTAATGATAAATTTAAACATTTTCTTTTTGGCATTAATATATCGTTTTTATAATTTATATTGTCAATTTTAAATTTAGAAAAATTATTTTAATTGAAAAAAATTGTATTTAAAAAAAAAGATTTTTGGATATTTTTGTGAATATGAATAAGAAATCAATTTTATATTGAGACAATATATTTATTTTTTCTTATAATGTGGAGTTTTCATCAACAATAACAGTATAGTTAGTAGGCGCGTATAACAAGAGAATTTGCACGCCAACAAGTCACCACAGCATTATTATTTTTTATAATGATCTTCAAAACGTTCGATCCTTGATGAAAATTGACATTAAGGCTCTACAATATGATTTAAATTTTCTTTTCTTTTTTTTTTAGTCAGTTTTGATCCAATTTCAATTTTCAATCAAGATCATATTCACATCTCCTGTTACTAATATTATTATTATTATTATATATTTCTCCATTATGTTTTTAAAAAGATCTTTGTTGATCCTCCGATTTCATTCGAGCATCACATTTTTATTTCTTTTTTTTGTTGTTTTTACGTAGGTAATTAATATCTTTTTTTTCTCTGACAAAAATGCGACACTAATTTATTCCTATGACTAATTAAAAGATTGTTTTTTTTTTTTAATATCAGACTAAAAATATTTGTTTTTCAATTTTATAACGTCATATTTATATGTCAATGTTCTATTTTCTATGAAACATATAAATAAAAAGAGGTATTACGATTGTTAATACTGTACGTTTCAGAAACGGCAATTGTTTTTTTTTTTACTTTCGGGAAATTTAGCGAAACGCAAGATTTCACGAAAGTGAATATTGATAATTATTTATACGGTTTTATAACTTACAATTACATGACTAAAACTCCAATGAAAAGAGACTTCGTTTTTTTAAAAAGAAGATTATCTTCTATTTCGCAGTGATTTTTTTTTTTTTTTTTTTTTTTTATTCGTGAATGTACTTTCTACAGTTTTATGTCTTTATGAATTTATATTTCTTATTATTTAAATGAAACTAATGATTTTTTAACTTTTACGACTGACAATAGTTGACAAATTACGGCAGTGCTTAGAATAATATTTATTCCCTTCGATGATTTAACACACATTTTGCGATAGTTTTTCCTTTTTTTTATTTTTTTTTTGACTCCAGGGAATAAATTGAATCGCAATCGTTGTCCTTATGAAGTTAATGAATTTATCGATTCATAAAGCTTAAGGCTATATAGTGAGTCACAAATGAATTTTGTTCATGAAGTTGATTTTTTGTTTTAAAAGAAATAATAAAATGAGTTAAGTTATGGACAGCTTGCTTTGTGCATCATGGTTTTTTTTTTTTTTTTTATAAATTATCTTTTCGTACTTTTTTATTGCATGTATACATAGCGACGAAAAATCCAAGATTTTTCTTTTCTTTCTTTTTTTTTTTTTGGCGAGAGTTAATGGCGGTTAAAGATTTTTTAGAAAAAGTTATCAGACAACAATTTATAAATAATTATGGTCAAAAAATATCCAAGTAATCGAAGACAGATTTTTTTTTTTTTCAAAATTTCAACACTTGGATATTTTTTGTAACTCTCAAAATTATATATTGATATTAATAGTATATACAGAAATAGATAATGAAATGATAGACTAGGCCGCCATTTCTCAAGGCCTAACAGGCACTACGATAGTTTTTTTTTTTTTTTTTTTTTTTTTTTTTTTTTTAGTATTAACGATTATTTATAATTAAAATTTTTTTTTGAGGAGAGGAGAAAAATAAAAGGGAAGATGTTCTTGTTGGCGCACAGAGACGGTGTGTGGTGAGATCAACCTCTGATTCAGGCAATCTCGATAATTAATAATTTTTTTTTTTTATAATTTTTATATATATATATATATATGCATTTATATACAGGGGATTTTCTCGTGATGTCGTTATATGCAGAGTCTTCAGTAACTTTGTCATTTAATAATAAATTCTTTTTTTTAATTACAAACCAAAATCTAAAAATAGCAACTTAACTAAATCACAGATAGATCCCGCCTGACCAAGATTTAGACATAAAATTAATCTCTAGTAAGTTTATCTTTGATTTTTTTAGGCTCGGGTGACTCTTTGGCCCCCTATAATTTGTATTTTGATCACTCGTTAATTAATTGCATTATTCTATGTATTTTTTCATTTCTATTAATTCACTTTTTTTTTTTTTAAATATTAGACGAATACGCAATATATTTTTTTCTCGAAAAAAATTTTTGGGGAATGATCAAGGCATTCATTTTATTTCTCTCAGGAAAGGCAAATTTTTGTTATATTTTTAATTTTCTTTTTCAAAAACGAATATTGCCAATATTTTTGTGATAAAATTCTACCTTGATCGTACCCCGTGAGTTTGAATCTAATTTTTCGTCAGACGAGCTCACAATTATTGACAATAGTCTATTGATATATTTTTTTTTTGGTAATTTGCAGGATAAGGTAAAATGCGACTGATACGCACACAACGTTTTTGAGAAACATTTTGCATTATATACTGATAATCAGAAAAGAGAGGAAGAGATAGAGATAGAGAGAGAGAGAGAGCTTCAGCAAGTGCAAACGCTCAGGACTTTCAAAGATGTCAGTCATGTTTTTTCTAACGTGCAATCTGGACGTAGGATATAACGCTTTTTAAAATTCGCTAATACAATAGGAACAGTGATGACTCTTCCATTTTTGGAAATCAAGACATTCTGGCAAATATACCCGAATTTTTATAATATATACAGTCATGAGTGAGTATTCTAACTTTTAATAATAAATTTTTTTGTAATACCAAAAAATTCAATTTAATTTCAATTGAAAATATAATTTTTTTTGATTATAATTTTCATTTTAAAAAATGGATTTTCACTTTGTTTTTCAGAAATCAAAACATTTTGTACTGTAAAATACAATTGGAATAAAATTTTTGGAAATAAATGAGGAATCTTCGGAATTTTAAAAAATCCTATAAAAATATTGCCCATGACTGATAAAAAAGGATTTTGTTCAATTAAAAAATAAATTGACACAATTCACATTAAAGAGGATCTACCGCATAAAATTTGTTCATCAATCGCAATATTAGATTTTCAACAGTCAACTATATAAACTATGAAACTAAATTTCTATAACTACTTAATATAATGTAGAGAAATCTTCCAATAGAGTAGGTAGGTACTTATACATAATTCAACTATCAAAGTATTGGGCGGATACCGGCTACATCTAAGGCCTCGCTCATGAATCATTTAAAATTAATAAGTATTTAATTTAGTCCCATACATTCATTCTAACAGCTTAATCGAACAGTATTTAGAAGAAATAAAACAATTGTATTTGTCACTTTCATTCGATCGAAAGGATTCCGGTGTGGATGACAGGATTTTTTTCAAAAAAAAAAAAAAAACAAGCTTTCTTCTTTCAATTCCAATAAAATTGATTGTTGGTAAGCAATTCCCGCAAATAGTTTTTTTTTGTAATTGAATATAGATATTTATATCAGTCTCAGCATTAATGGCGAAATGAATATTGAATCGTCCTTAATATTGTACTTATATTGTAATTGCAATTTTTTTTTATCGACATCCTTTTTTGAAAAAATTGAATCCCAACAATCGTCACGAAAATGACATTTTTCTAAAATGCCATTTCTATTTTTTTTTTTTTGCTTCGCATTAATTTAAGAGATCACGCGTATTATAAGTGGTCATTCTACGCCGAGAAACCTACAAACGTGAGCCTCTCTTTCCGTAATAGGAAATGTAGATATATTTAAATTGTTAAGGGATTTTTTTTTTTTGCAAAACTTGGAATAAAATTAAAACAAACCCTTATTGTCAGTACTGGTCAAGTCAAAAAACACAGATTTTTTTTTTCGAAATAGACTTGTACAGTTCTGCAAACACGAGGTCACTTGTCAATTCCCTAAATTTTTTTTAAAATCTACAAAACTACATCTATACACTCTATATACTACTTGACATTAATGAATCGCAACTTTAGAATTATGTAAGAAAATGTTATAATAAAAATTGGCAGCGTTTTTTTTGAATTTTACGCACTTATTTATCAATTAATAGATATTACAATATATTTCTATAAAGTTCTAAAATTTTTTTTATTACGATAGACAATTTCGCTTTTGCACCTACGGTAAATAATTTGTTTAAAATTTTCTATTACAATGGAAAGAGAGACTCACCCGGGCCCACGGTTAGTGTAGAGTTAAAATGCCAACAAGAAAATATTTTAATATTTTCACAAGTGCTATTTTTTTTTTTTCCTTTTTTAAGACACGTCTACCAAAAATTGATAGAATTATTATTTTTTTTTTCTATTAAGTATATATTAATATAGCTTATTTCTTTTTATCTCTCTTTTTGTTTATTAATGTACATAACAACATGCGAACAAATTTGTTCGACCTGAATATTTTTTTTTAACTCCATTCTCATTTACGAAATACTATATATTAATGCAATATTCAGTCCTCTGAAATTGCATTCTTTTAAAAATTTTTTTTATTTTCAGTTTCTTCTATAAATTGACCTATAAATCTGATATTGCTTATGTCAATCAAAGCCCCTCAGAGGCGACGATCATTATTATTAAAGCTGGCTGCTTTCTATTTAAGAATCTCTCTCTTTTTTATTTTTTTACGGGAATATCACGATCTATCAAGGGGGATCGAGTAATTCGCGATGATGCGCTCGCGCTGTTAATATTGCTTTCAATTCCGATTCCAATTGTTTTTTCGTTCGTTCATTCATCAATTTACCACCCACAACGGGTTGGGCATTTAATCTTGGTGACTGTAGGTCACTCATCGATTTGCCCGTGTCCTTATTCTCATGACTTCTTGCACGGCGAATCGGCTTTTTCAATGAAAGTATATCCTCTTGACTTTTTTTACGACGTGAACCCTCCTCACCGGGAATCAATGTTGATTCTTGATTCAATGTATAGGTTGAACATGATCCAATTGCTTCTGATGATCTTGTTATATCGAATATACCAGAGCCCCATTCACGCGATAATTTACGACCTATTATCGAGGTCAATTCATTGTTTGGCGAGAGTAATGGACTTTTGCATGCCTGCGAATGATGATGATGATGACTTGATTGTGGTGTGCGTAATGTTGCAAAAGCTGGAAACGATTGTCCTCTTTTTGCTGGACTTCGTGAATATTTAGGTGGTTGTGTACAACTTGCACCTGATAATGATTCACCACGTGGCGGTGCAATTGGACGTAAATTTGCACTACCACCAAAATTTGAACCAGGATATGGCGGCGGTGAATCACCTTCACCATGACTTAATCTACGACCCACTGTTTCCAATGGACTTCGTGCACGAAGATTTGTGCTACTTAATGTAAATTCACGTGGTTTCATTGTATCTAAACTGATTGGCGATAAACCCAATCTTGAACTTGATAAATTTGTCGAACTCGTACATTTCTCGGATCTTTTTGGACTCCTCAACATCAATGGACTCTTACTTCGACTTCGATCACGTCCCTGTTTCTCTTCTTTTTTACCTGCACGCTGTATCTCTTCCTTTGGCGCTGCATCCACCTTCTCTTCCTGTTGCACTCTGTTGAAATAATTTTTTCCAAATTTTTATTTAGCCAATTTTATTTTCCCCTATTTTTTTTTTTTTTGATCTCTATTTAGTTTTTTTTGATATTTTACTTTTTCAGTACCTTCGGATTTCCTGAATCATTTCAAAAAATTGTGCTTTACTTTTGCGACGACGTCGTTGCTCATATTCCTTCTGGAACACAGATGTGGTTTGAAATCGTGTGCAAAATTAATTTTTTTATCAACAATAATTAATTTATATTCTTTATGGAAAAAAGTTAACTTACCCGTTTCACGCTCTTTTGAAATAACGATGTAATTTGTCCCTGACGAACAGTGTGTACCAATTCACGTGCAGCATGATGTGGCGATACCAATTCAACACAATTAATAAATCGATAGAGTTTTTGTGAGAAAAACATGACATTTCGATTTCGCCACATTGATGTTTTTGGACGATGACGTAATTTTGGTAGTGTATATTTGTAAAACAAATGCTCGGCAGCGAGAATAATTGTTCCTAATAGCATTCCCAATCCAAGGAGGCAAAATACACCGGCAACTGATGCAACACCAAGTGGTCGTGGTTGTCCACCGTGCTCGCGATCGATCCCCAATTCACCATCTCGCATGCATGGTAAACCGCCGTACCTGAATTTAAATTAGTCTAATTTAAAGGTTTCCTTTTTTATTTGCTACTCTCGAGATATAAATTTTTTATAACCACTGAATAAATTTTACTATTCTCCATAAAAAAACAAAAAAAAAAGGAAATTTCTATTTTCCGCTAAACAAATTTTTATCTTTTTAAATTAAATTAGAAAATAAATTGTCTTTTTTTTTGAAAGAAATTTTTATATTTTCTAATTCTGTTTTATTTTTTTTAAGGTAATATTGATCTCGTACCATTTTTCCTGCAAGATATCCAAGAATCCATTGCTCGTGTAATTGGCTATTACTTTGGAAATTGTTCCCGTGAGAGGATGTCCTTTAGACAAGGCGATGGCATATGTGTCGGCATTCATGATGGTATCGCCATTTTTTTGCAAACTACAACCATTGTCCGTGCCTCGATAATAATCCAAAATAGGAGTATCAGCTATGAGAATATCAAGACTTCCATTTCTTAGTCTCTCAACACCTTCGGCAACATCAGACAATGAGTATTTAATAATATGCGACCACAATTCTTTATGATATTGTTGCACATAATACTCGGCAGCTGATGCTTTTGGAACTCCAACACGTTGTGATAATAACTGTAACAAAATTTATTTTTGTTAAATATTTTCCAATTCTTAATTATATTTCAAAATCTAATTTTTTTTAAATTAATTTAGAACTTACACTTCGATGAGTGGTGACGGACGAATGAAAAAAGAGACCAGCAATTAAAGCCGCTATATTGGCAGTATAGGAAGCGACAAATATAACGGAAAATCCACCCCAGACGTTGATCAAAAATTTATTAGGCCATGATTTGGGAGCTTTGAATGCAACAAGATGACCACATAGAAGACCCCACATCACCCATAATGCTGAGGCTATTGAAAAATTTTTACTACGCTGTCGTCCCCATGGATTTAAGCCAAATGGACTGAACCATTCATAAACAGCAACTGCAACAGCTGTTATATTTAACGAGGTAAATACCGCTATCCAAAGTTGTGGACTAAATGGCTGTAGAAAGGCAAGTAGTGGAATTTCCGAACGATGTTTTGGCGCTGATAAAAAACTAACGCCACTATAAAAATACGGAGTTGTAAAATCAACCACCTCAGCACGTTTCTTTGATACGCTCAAAGGAGCAAATGCTAATTGAGCATGACCCGTAACAAGTTCGCCAATAACTCCATTCCATGTGCCATCGCGTCCAATTTTTCTTCCAAAAAAGCCATCCTTTACAATATAGAGATTAAAACGAAATTCCAATTCTTTGGACATTTGTGCCAATAAATCAATTGTATAGCCATAGCAACATTTTGTAATTTCATCCTGATGACATGTTAATCCTCTCAAACATTGTCCCTCTTGTAAATTTGTCGCCATTGTAAATGGTGGTGCAAGTGCAGTTACAATACGATACAATGGCATTCCAATTTTTTCACCACCTTGCTCAAGATAAGCTGGCATAATTCCACCACCTGGCCAAATAATTGTATCCAATCGAACACTTTTACCACCCTTGATATTGCCCACTTTGGTCCATCTGAAAAAAAACAATATTTTTATTCCATCCTTAATTGTGCCAAAATATTATTAACTTACTTCAATAGTGTTCTATTTCCAGCAAATGTAACGCCTTGTAAATTTAATAATTGAAATTCAGCTTTATTTTTTGAAATTTCATCCATTGAATTACGTAATTTTGCTGTTAATATTCTCGACATATTTTCACGATATTCATTAAATGTGAATTTTGCTTGACTATGAGCGAGGCATTCAGGTATAAAATAATCCTTTAATTGAGGATCACGAATTCGCGCAAGTTTTGGTTTTAATTGAGCGATTGATTCTTCTAATGCCTGTGATGTTGCACGCAACATACTTGGCAATATATCTTCACCACTCATAAGGCGTCTTGTTGATGCTCTTGAATCATCACCACTTGTCAGATGTAAATTAGAAGGCGTCAATGCAAGCATTCCAACTGGCATAAAATTTTTAGAATTTAATTTTTTATTTATAATTTTCTCATCGTCATTGTCATCAATATTATTAATAAAATGTGCCGATTTATCTTGACGTTTACGTTTAATAAATATTTCGCTTGCCCATCGATATTCATGTAAATGTTGTATGTCATTCGCTAAATTAGGTAATAAATCTAAATTTATTTCGTTATCGGGAACAAGATTAATATTACGTTCCATTGTTTCTAATGGCGGTAAATTATCATTTGTTGTTATTCCAACACGCGATGATGATGATGTGCCATGTAAAATTTGTGAATCAATTAAATTTGGTTCATTTGAACGTAATTCTTCTTTTAAATCGAGCCACAACCACAAAAATCGTCCTGTGAGCATTTCAAATTTACTCGCTGCCATTATTATTTTACGTGCGTTGTATAAATCGCAACCCATTACAAGAACACCGCCACTTCCACCTTCTTCGGATAATCTACGAAGTCTTAGTCTTAATGTTTTGTCGTTGGTTGGAAGATGAATTATCGTTTTGGGTGTTAAATTCATTCGATGTTTCTGTAGAAGATGATGCACGGGAAGTAATGTTGTATCAATGAATAGAGTGAATGCATGCCAATTGGCCTTGTGCATTAAAGCGGCGGCCGCTGCTCCAACTTCCTCTGGACTTGAGCCTAAACGACTTTCAAATCGTGCTTTCTGCCCCTGAAAAAAAATTCCAAATAATATTTTCTGTTTTTTGGTAAAATATATTTTAATTTCTTTTTTGTTGCAACAAACCTGTTGGAGAAAATCGCGATAGGTGAATGGCAGCCAAAGAGTTGGTAAATTGAGAGATGATGCTGCGGATACGAGAAATCTGGCTGCGGGACCACCGCCAATAACAATGCTCAATATTGTCTTGCCATTTTCGATGTCGAGGCAAAATTTATTTAAAAGTGACAATGGATAGGATAATGAATCGGTGACGGGTGTTTCACGTGCTTCAACATATGACAATTCAATGTCCTCCAATGATGCATCAGCTCGTGTCTTCTCCCATGCCGATTGTATATCATTTTTATAATTTGTCGCTGTATGAATAACACGTCCATGTGATTGTGTAAACGATACAACTAAACGCCATGATGACGATCTAAGGCGATTTTTCAATGATCTTACTGATTTGTCACTTTCAGCTGCGCAAGATAATTGCCAACAAATCACAACTCCAATTATTATAATAACAAGTCTTCCCCAAGAGGAGCCGCTCATCTTTCAACCTCCTCTTCTATTTCACCTTCTTCAAATTTTGTAATCTACATTGTCCTCTGCTTTCTGTAGTCTAAAAAACAAATTTTAAATCAAAAAAAATTTCCCTAAAAAGTTAATTAATTACCATGTTTACTCAAGTTGGAAAATATTTTTCCAGAATTAGGACAAAAAATTCAATTACGAAAATTAGCAAGCTAAGCAAAAAAAATTGCATAAACGAAATAATTATCGATTTAATTAGATTCTAAAACAAGTATTAATTAATTTCTATTTTTTTCCCCTTACCTTTGAGAAGAATTAAGGGTTGACGGCGACGAGGGTGACGACGCGTCTAGAGAATACCTCCAAATACCGCGAGGTATGCTTCTGAGGCACGACAACATAATCAAATTAATGATTAAATAAATAACATTAGAATTTGTCCGCAAAAAAAATAAATTTTTTTTCAAACTTCTTGTTTTTGTTTATTGGAAGACAAAAAACAAAAATAAGCCGTCACTTGTTCTCTTGAGAATATCTTGTTCCTTGCGTGACAGCCATTTTCGGGCTCCACCCCATACAAACACCCACCTACGTTCTATACATGTGACGTGAGCGCTTGAACCAACTTAAACGAAACGCAATGACAGAGGGTGCGCTCTTGAAAAATATTTCAAAAAAGAAAGAAAAAAAATTGATGCGCAACAACAATGTTTGTCATATCAATTTTTAATTTTTTTTCGCGAAATAGATTTAAAGGCGTTAAAGTATTTTTTTTTTAATTTTTTGAAACATTTACACGTAATATACAAAACTCGCAAAATATTTTGACACTAATATGGTTTTATAGGTCGAATAATCATCAGGAATCTCTCGTACATAAGATACTTGTGATTGATTTTCTTTTTATGAAAGACACAATAGGGTAAAAGAAAGAAAATGTGTCGCCCTCCCTTCAAACGATTAAGATCAAAAAAGATTTTTAACGAGATAACGCCTCACTTTTTATATATCCATTTTTTTTCTCATTTTGCTTTTATTTGCTTTTTTAATATTTTTTGCTGTAAATTTTTTCTACTTTTATATTCAATTATTTCTTTTTTGCAAAATTTGCATTTTTACAGAGTAAAAAAAAGGAACAATAATCTGTGAGGGAATATAACTTTAGAATTTATTTTTAAAAACAAAAATTTGGTAAATTATATAATTTTTAAATTTTCTATTTATAATATTGAGATTAATTTGTTGAGATGAAAATAAAAAATATTTATATTTATTAATAGCTATTAAATGCTCTTTAAATTGAATTAATAAACGATATTTGAGTAATTATATACAATGTTATCGATATATGAGTATTTATCGTGGACTCTAAGAATATAAATGTGATTTTCTGCAAATATATATGTATCTGTGATTAAAATGTAACAAACAGCAAAACACATCCTTTTAACTACTTTTCATATTTTTATTCTCCGATTGTGATTATATATATATATATGTGAGACGCGAAAATATATACAAGTGCAATATGAAAAGAGCTGACAGATCACGTTTTACTTTCAACATATAATAATTCATGCAGATTTATAAATATTTATAATTACTAAAATTTTCCATATTTTACAATTTAAACATAATTCCATTGAAAACGATTTTTTCTCATGTAATATTATTTTTATAATTTTTTAATATTGACTTATTTAAAAAAAAAATATTTTTTAATTTATTACAATATTTATAATAATTATATTTATTAATATTTTTCTTAATTGTTTATTTAATTTTCAAATTATTTCCATTTTTTTTAATTCTCCCTAATGCATGATTAAAAAAGAAAATTTGTTTATAAATAATATATTGTAAGTTTAATTGTAAACAATTAGTTAATAATAATAATTTTTGTTTACAGATTGGTTTTTGGTGAATTGTCGGCGACTTGAATTTGCCGCTGAACTTGCGTACTAATAAAATCAATGCGACTGAATTGTGGCGAGTGCAGTGAATGGTGTCAGTCAGAACAATTCCTTAAATTAGAGGTATTCTCCTATTTTGCAAAGGAACAAAAGATTGGCAAAAAAATAATGTACAAAAATGCCAGGTCAAGAGGATATTGATCTTTACACGGACAAAGTCCTGTCGAAAACCAGGATATTACTAGAATTGACAAAAGCAATTAAATTGGTAAGGACATGTCTGTACTGCATGATTGGGGGGATATAAGGATTGTAAATTCACTTTATTTTATTTAATTTAAAATTATTTTTTGTTTTTCAAATATCATTTGTGTAATTGAAATTATTCATTTTTATTTTTGCAAATTTTTGCATAAAATGGATTTATAAGTAATTTTTATATCACAAATTTTTTTATTTCATTTTATTTATTTTAATATTTTAATATTTTAATATTGTAATTATTTTACATTTTATATATTTTTTCTTTTTATTTTATAATATTTTGGTTTTTATTTCTTTTTTTTTCCAAATGTCATATATCGATCACTTTTTCTTTGTCATTGTCAAGTTTGAATAAATCGTCATATCTAAATTTACTTTCATTGGTCCATTTCGAAATAAAGTCCTCTAATTTTATATCTTTATATCTTTGACAATTTATTCAATAATCACATATATATATATATATATTCTTAATCTGCTTTATTAAAACTGTGTTTTTTTTCTGTAATTATCAGCTGCTTTCATTTCTTGCCGTCAAATACGCATTTAACTTTATAATACTAACTTATTTCATGAAAAAAAAAAAAATTTATGGAAAGAGAAACTTAGAAAAAGGTCGAGGACTAATCATTATTTTCTCTTCCAATATACATATAGTATTGACATGCCATTGTAGAAAACTTTTTAATTTCATAATCTTTTGTTTTTATTGTTAAAAATTGTTCATTTTAATTAAAATGTCAAGACTTTATCTTGTTACCTTGGGGGAATTTATTATTTTATTTAAAAGTTAATTTTTATATTTTACTATTTGCATTTATTAAAATTTTTATTTCAAATTTTAATGAAAAAAAAAAAAATTATTATTTTTAAATAAATATATAAAAATGATTGAAAATTGATATTTTTGGAAAAATTAGGTTTATGCTCAAAGCCTTCATGGCTCGGTTGTATTGGATGGAGATTCTTGGTTAGTTTATTGGTTAGATCGAGCCTTAAGACATGGTTTACGTATAGAAAGGCATGGATATTGGGGCACGGCACGAGAGCTTAGCCACCAAGATGTCGTTGTTGTAATTCACGCATTAGGAAATGTATTAACATCCATTGGAAAAGGTATTTTTCTCTCTTTCTCTCTCTCTTTCTCTGCATCTGCATTTATAATCAAAGTAGATTTTCTCGCAACTAATTCTCTCCTATATAAATATTAATCGAAACCGCTTGAACTCAAATATGCATTCAAAACAAATTCTTTACAGGATTATATTGATACTCTATTCAAAAAAAAGAAAGAAATATTAATTACAAAATAAGTAATTCAATTGTTACAAATTTTTCTAATCTTAATTATATCAAAAAATATTTTGTAAATTAAATAAAAAAAAATTTATTTTATTTCAGGTCGAGCTTGGCTGTATCATACTTTGAGTGAAGGAAGTTTTGAAAGTTATTTAGCTTGTCTTCTACGAGATACACATACTTTAAAAAAACAGTATTTTCCTCATGCGCTTGTTAGGAATCCTGACAAAACCAATCAGCTCATTAATTTATTAGTTGGTCTAGAAAATCTTTCTTTTACATTGCAATTGGTAAGCAAATATTTTTTTTAATTCCCGCTTTTTAAAAATAATTTCCATACCTGGTGTGTGTCGATAAAAAAAATTATTCTCATTTCAATGCAACGATAAGAAATAAAAATGAGTCATATGTTTTTGTATTTTAAAAAAGAAGCTGGATAATTGCATATTTTTCCATTTAATTTTTATTCTAATTAAATTAGAATAAATAATGAAGTAAAATGAAAAAGAAACATTTTTTAAAAAAAAAATTGAATTTACTTCCTTTTTCATTTTACATTATAAGTAGAAGTATCACCCCCCGGTTACAATTATCACGACTAATAAATAACATCCGTCCTATAATGAAACATAAAGATAAATATGTTTTCGTGACAAGCAAGAGCAATATGTTATCGCAATGTGTACCTTCTTTTTTGAGGATTATATATCGCTGAAAGATTTGCGTGGAAAATTTTGCTAACTATTAATTCATTAATCACATATGTCTCTCATGGACTTTTATCAATATTGTTTCTTTATAACAATAAAACAATAAAAAATGTTTCATATCAACTTGTTATTTTTTTTTAGGATGTTACATATTTGGATATTGTTAATTATATGCCTCAACGTCCTATGAGTGGATCACCATCTGGTACAGCTTTGACATTGCATCTGAGATCATCGAGTTTTTCACCGAGTTTAGTTTCACCCGGTGACAGTGGTGTTGCACTCGATAGCGATATGGATCTTTCAAATGAAACCGATGGCAGTAGTTGTCGAGAGGTAATTTTTCCGAAAATTTTCTAAAAAGTACATTACTTATAGAGAAATTATTTAAATTACAGGATTCGTCAATTGAAGATATTCCAAGATATCGCAACAGCAAATACAAGACAATTTTGAGTAATTGTACAAAAGATATGAAAAATATGGATCGTTCATTTTCATCGAGTGATTCGAGTGAAGATGGAAAAACGACAAAATTTCAAAAAACTTTGGTAACAACAAGTGATATTGTTAATCAAAATTTCCCACAAAAACTCGATGACAATGAAATAATTGGCTCGAGTTTGGATACATTGAAAGATTATTCGTACTATAGTAAAAGTCTCGAGGAGTCAAAGGTTAATAATGATTTTGACAATATTGGCAGTAACAGATACAGCTACTATGGCGATAATGCTTCATACAGTTTCAAAAAAAATATCGATCCACGCAATTCGTATGTCATTAATAATGATACAAATTTATTGGAACTTAGCATGACAATCTCGGACTGTGATAGTACCGAAGCACCGTACAGTATTTTAAATACTATCAATATGGTTGATACCAGCATTCTATCGACATCGAGTTCAGAAACAGTTGTACAACGTCGACAACGTAAAAAGAAACGTGGCGAGGGTAAAAAACGTGTTAGCTTTCACGAGGATATTTTTAAAATGATGAAACTCGATGACGATGAGAATTATGAGGATTTCTCAATGAATTATCGTTCACCTTATCAAAATCAAAAGAAAAAGGATGTTCAACAAGAACGTTATAGTTGGTGCGCCAATGGTGATTCACCATACATTAAAGAGACAATAGACACAAGAAATGCATATTCGGAATATTATTCATCAAGTTCATCGTTAAGTACCCACGATAGTGAAAATGAAAGACGATTAACGACAAAACTTTGCAATCATCCTGTTTGTCAAAAAAATTATCGTTGCACATGTCTCTCAATATCAGAACGCGGTGTACCCGAGGGTCAAGAGGATCCACAAATTAATGCTCGACCAAAAATGGAAATTGATCTCAAGGATAATGAAGCACAGGAAGCCTATATTGTTGAAAAAGAATATGGAAATATTATTGAAGATCCACCAGTTAAATTAGAAATGCCAAATAAATTACCAAATACAAAATCAGATTGGTCAGATGTTGATTCAGTTACAACATGTGATTCAGATGATAGAAAAAATCGTCATTTAGCATCACCACAAAAAAAACGCAATATGACGGCAATTTTATCAGGTGAAAATAGTAAATTACTTATTCCACCTTTACGTCAAGTACCATCAAAAACATCACTATTGAATCGATTTCTTCGTTCAATTACCGAGAGAAAATTTGATGTGAAAAAAAATAAAAAACCAAAATCAAATCAACTTTACATTAAATGCGCAAAAGTTGATCAAGATTCATTTAAAGAATTTAATCGTGAACTCGAAAAGGAAATACAAGATAATCAAGATCCCGATAAACGACGATTTAGCGGTGAAAAAATAAGTTTTCAACAAAAAGAAATTTTTAAACACAGTATTTATAGAGATAAAACAGAACAATTGTACAAGGTTTATAAAGTTCGTAGTTCCTACATGACAAATGGCGAAAGTAAACCAATGCTCGCACTTTTAACTGATAAAACTCTCTATTTAACAAGTTCAAAATCTGATCACACCTATCGAAATCAGTTTGTTATTCCTTATAATGAACTCGATGTTATTATGGTAAGTTGATAAAATTTAATTCAATGACAAAAATTTTGTTAATTTAATTTATTTCAGCTTGGACCGAATGCACAAACAATATTAATATCAAACGCTGACAATGAAATGCAATATTTATTTTCAACTGGAAGTGCTGAAACCACTTGGGAACTTATTGCTCATTTAGAAATGGCTATGAGAAGATCACCATCAAAGCCAAGATTACCAGCAGTCAGAGAATTAAGTTACGATGATATGCATTCATTGAGACATTCTATTTTAGCCGAAACGGCAGTAAATCTAGTAAGTTAAATAAATAACAAAAAAGAACTAATTCATTATATTTTTATAATTTAAAATTTTCTAAAGAAAAATAAAAAACATGTATTTTTTTTTTAAGGAGGAAAAAATTGAGCACTACAATATTATTTACATGGAGGATGAGCATATATCACCGCCAAGTACACCTTGCGGTCCAACAAAAGAGGGAGATTTAATGTTTCGCCCACACACTTATCAATCACAATATCCAAATGCACCAACAAATGCATGGGAGGCGGGATATTTTGTTTTAAAAGGCGGTGTTGTTTATATGTTCACTGATTCTAGTCAAAGACTTCCAAAACGTGCGATTCCATTGAAAGGTGGCCTTTGTCAAGGATGCCGACGAATACCAAATTCACATCGACCACATACATTTGAAATTCTTCTCAAGTCAAATAAATCATTTCAATTTGCTGCACCCGATGAATATGTTGCTTCAGAATGGTTACAAAGTTTTATTCAAAGTGCATCGGGATTATTTGATTCATGCGAAAAACGTGAACCATTGCCATGTAGTTTGGTTGTATCGTCGAGGCATTTAATTGCAATAAATGAAGTTTTTCCAGGAACGCAACGAGGACAAATTTTATCTTGTGCATCGATACAGGATTTAACTGCTCTTCGAATGCCTTTAACGAATCAGTCGTGGTGCGTTTTGGTAAGTTATTTTTTTTCTATTATTCTGTGTTAGAGAAAAATCATTTTTTTTTGGCTTTAATTTTCAAGTTCTATTTTTGTATTTTTCTCTTTAATATTATAATTTTTACTGAAAATGAATTTAGAAAATTAAAATAGCTTTTTCGGAATTGAATTAATATTTTCAGAATTCATTTTTGGTTGGATAAAAAAAAATGCATGTAAATTTTAATTCTTTTTTTTTAAATTAGGAATTTGCGTGTCGTGAAGTTCACGAAAGTAACGGAGATTGGGTAGTTTACTTCACTAACTACGCAGAATTCTGTACTTTTAGAAAAATCTTAGAAACCCTCTGGAACAACGTTCATGAGGTAAATATGGTTTTAATTTTTACTTTTTTTTTTTTACTTAATAGATAGAATTTTTATCTTACTTCTTTACTTTTTGTTAATGAAAATATTTAATAGTTTATTATAATTATAAATTATTAATTTTTCTATTATAATATAAATATTTTTTTGTTAATATTATGAAAAAATGGTCATTAAAAATTGTAAATTATATAAATAATAAAATTAATTACAGGAGGATTTTCCAGTGATAACAATTCAGCCTGAAGATAAACTTAATCAGCGATGTACGGAAGTTAGTAAAGACTTAGAAAATGCCTGGCAATATTTGTTACCTATAGCACCTGAATAGTGGTTAGTAAATGGTACATTAAAACAGCATAATCAGTCCTTTATTCCTATTGTCGATAGTTGCAAAGGTATTCTTGAAAAATCTAAATCATTTATTGCAATGAAAAAGCAAATGCTATCTTATCAGCTTTTCAAGATCGTCTAGCAATGTTCTTAAAGTTCACAAAATTCACATGATTCGAATTTATTTTCCACGAATATATTTTCAGTAAACAATAAATGGAAAATTTCTATAAAGGAACATAATAATTGATAAAAATTAATTTAATTTTTAAATAACACTATATTATAAAAAATTTATTTTTAATATTTTTAAAAACAATGTGAAAATTTTGAACTTTATGAATCATTGTTAAGTACCAAATATTATAACGTTTGGATCAGTTATTTTCATTGACAAGAAAATAATAAACTAGTAGAATAAAAAAAAAGAAAACCGATAAATACTCAATGCAACTCTGCTAGAGATTAAAATGATAATTTTTTTCGACTGAAATAACACTTAAGCAAGTGCAATAATTTTTTGAAATATTTGCTAATAAGTACACAACACTGTTATTACCACTCACAATTATAGAAACAACTAATATATATATATTATATATATCTATAATTGAAACTAATGTGAAACTAATTATGTGAGTGTCTGTATATTCGCATTTACCAAAGATTATATATATATATTAGTGAAAAATATAAAATGCGACCTAATTTTTAAATTCATTATAAAACCGCCTTTATTATCAAATTAAAATCAAGAAAAAATAGTACTTTCAAAGTATTTAAAAAATTTAGTTTCTTTAGCTAATTTTTATTAGTCATTGTTTATTGTAAAAAAAAGATAAATATTTGTTTGACTTGTGGTGCTTTGCTTAAGATTCGCATAATAATTAATTATTAAATGTTGTAATTATTATTAAGTATACACATAAGAATCAATTAGCTTTATTTCAATTCTTTATTAATGAAAAATTTCATCATAAATTACTTTTGTATAAAATACTTTATATAATATATAAATATATTTTCTCGCATTTTAGATGCATATTTTTTTTCTAGTAATTTCGAAAGAGTAGAGAAATTTGTATTATTTGTAAAAAAAAAAAAAATTTAATTTCCTTTATTATATTTGTTGCTTATGCCACGTAATTGTGACGATAAAATGAATTGTGATAGAATTAATAGTAAATAATTTAATTATGAACTGATTTTTATGAATAATACATTCCAAAAAATGAAGTTTTGTGCAAATATTGTTTTAGCGATTCGAACAAGGTATAAATTTTATACTGCTGAAAAGAAATACTTGCTAATATTATGCCTTTGTACTTATCGCGTACAGTCTACAAAAATTGTAGCTCTTCATCCCCCAAACAAAATGTAATACTTATACGGAAATTAATAAAAATTACTTCAATGAATTAGTTGACTTTTTTTTAAAATTCTAACTTTTATTTAGCTTTTTGTGTATAATAAATGTTTTTAAAAAAATTTATAGTAATAAAGAAAATATATTTTAATACCTAATTTATTGATTATGAGAATCCCACCAAGATGGAATAAAATGTCCTTGAGAACTTCTATTCTTTTTTCTTAAAACTTTAGCTATATCAACTTTTGGATATTTTGCTTTGATTGCTTCCATATCTGGATTAGGGAAATTGCGTAAAATGCATGCAACTTGATTTTCCTCGTAACTGAAAAGAAAAAAAAATATTACAAATAGTAATTTTTCTTAGGAAAATTCAAATAAAAGTTCAAAACATACTTTCTAAATTTTCGCCTTTGATTATGAAATTTCTCCTGATATAATCTCAAGAATTTTGCTACTGCTATGCCTCTATTACTATGTATATGTTCTTTTTTCCATTTTGTATTGACAAATTTCGGAATTGAATATTGACGAAAACGATAAACAAATGGTATGCCTGTAAGAAAAATTCAAAAATTATAAAATTGTATTAAAAAATAAAAGAAACAAAATTTTAATTAATACCAACCAATTGCATTTCTCACGACATTTGCTGGTCTTTCGCCTGATTTTCCAGTTTCAAGTAAATGATAAGCTTTATTTCTTTCTCGAACAACAGTTTCTAAATTTTCCATACTTATTTCAATTTTATCCATTCGTTCATCATTGGGAAAAATTTCATATTTTATTTTATACAATTCTTCCATTGTTAATAACATATTTCGTTCCTTTAGCAAAATATACCTAAAATATTTTTCTCTAGTAAAATTTAGAAAATAATTTAATAAAAATATTTTTTTTTTTTTAATGAATTACCATAATTTATGAAGATCTTCATTACTCTTTATTCTTAATTCATCAAGTTTCCATGCACGTCCAACTTGTACTTTACGTTTTCCCCAATTTTTTTCATCATCAAAAAATTCCATTAAATTTTTTGCATCATTATGCTTTGACGTTGTATGTATAAAAGAAGATTTATTAAAAGATCTAAAAATAATGTAAAATATTTTACTAAACAATAAAACTAACCTCTAAATTTTTTATTACAGTATTAATCCAATTTTTGATAAGAAAGATGAAATATTAAATTAAAGAAAAAATATACCATGCGAGAATAAATTTAACAGTAAAAATAAATAGTAAAATAAATAAATAAAGCAAAAAAAAACAATTGTTACATGAGTAACATGTGAAAATACTTCTTTTAAATAAGTGTTTCTTCTAATGACAATAATTATAATTTATATACTTACATCAAATTACAAGTAGGGATTGCAACTGATATTGTTTCAGTTTTAATAGATAAATTTGTTAATAATTTAACTACATTATTTAATTTACTACCGTATATCACTTTAGTTAACGCCGCCATTTTTATTGACTTTGATTTCAAGTTGGTACTACTAGCTCTTGTTTTTTTTAAATTGTCCGTCAGATGGCGAAATTATCGATTTTTTCGTTTTACAATATTGGTAAAATAATTACCGGTATAATAATATTACCGGTAAAATGACATATAACCTAAAAAAAATATTTAACACAACATGTCTTGTATAAAAGTAGTAAGTAAATAAACATTTTACATAAAAAATAATAATTTTTATAATAATAATTTAATAAATTTATTTTATAATTTTTATTATTACAGTCAGTTCCACAAATTGATTTTTCAAGTACATCCAGATCATCAAATGATGATTTATTATCTATTCAAAATAAATATAATGAATTAATAAAAGCTGCAAAAAAAGTTTTTGGTAGTGGTTGGAGCCATTCAGTAACAAATAGTACAATTGGTAAGATATTTATATATATAATAGTCTAAATCAAAATAATGTTTTGTTTTTCATAACCTGTAAATAATTTTTTTTAGATTTCATTGATCAAAATGGAACAAATTTCTCAGTGGGATGTTATTCATCATTAAAAGTGATACTGCCTAATGGAATATTTCACGAAGATTCCGGTTATTCTAACATAGAAGGAACGACAAAAGGATTATCCATTGAAAAAGCAAGAGTAGTAAGTATTTTCAATTACATTTTTCTTTAAATAAATATTTTCACCTATTTTTTTTGTTTGTTTTACAGACTTCAATGACGAATGCTCTTGCCAAAGTTTTATCCTGTTTTACGGAAATGGATAGAGAATTAGAAAATTTCAATCAAACATTAAATGTTTCTGCTATTCCAAAAACAAAATTTCCATTAAAGCGGCCAATTTCACCACCACCACCGCCAGCTCAATCAACACCTAAAGTCTCAAGAGGTCCTGCTATTTTTGATATGACAACATTTAAAGAACCCGAATCACATTCTAAAGCTGTAAAAGAAAATGTTATTGATTTCAACGATATTTTTGACTCTGTTCCAACATTAGGTTCTTCTGTTACCACCTGTGAGTATTATTATTTATTTTAACAATTCTCTAATTGAAATAGCAATTAATTAAAAAAAAAAAAAAATCTTTTTTCAAAGCTGTAACTCTAACAGAAGAGGAAATGCGTCTTGAAAGATTACGTAAACAGCGTGAAAAACAAGAAGAATATAAAAGAATAATGAGAGAGAAAGAAGAAAAACGAAAATTTGAATTACAAAAGCCAAATTCTAAATTTTAAGTTAAAATTCAAGTTTATAAATTCGAATGAAAACTTGTAAAGATAATGTTAAATTGTATAGATTTATTTATTATTTAAGACTTTTTTTTTTGTTTTCCATGAATATTCTGGAAAAATATTCATGCAGTGTATAAAAGTTTATAGAAATAGGATTCATTAAAAATTATTATTATGCCTGAAAAAAATAAAGTTCCTAAAAGTTTGTAATTAAAAAAAAAAACACTTATTCATCATCGTCATTATAAATTACGATTTAACCCTTTTTTTCAAAGAAAATATAATTAAACAAAAAATAAAAATTTCTCTACATTGAATAATAAATTTTACAATATATTTTCATAAATAGAGAATATTAAATTCTCTCATTGATTTATTAATTAATTACGATAAGCTACAAGCACTTTTCATATTTTTTTTTTTTTTTTTTTTTTTTTTTTTTCATTTAAATTCATTTTTTCGTCCTTCCCGCATTCATCGGTATTAATTTTTAATAATTTAATAATAAACTAACAATAATTATTCATAGACAATAATATCTGTTTACTATTTGCGAATTTAATTACAATCGTTAATTAATAGTACTCTTCTCCGTTAAAATTATTTAACCATTTAAGCGTTACTTTTGAGTAGTAAAACTCGATTACATTCACATATAACGATAGTTTTTTTTTTTCCCGTATCTATCATTGTAAGCGGAGAAGATACAATATTTATAGTATCGTAAATCATTTTTTATTTGATTACGTTATGTACAGGAACCTATGATGGAGCTTTTCTTTCATTCTCATTTTTTCTAATTTTTTTTTTTTTGTTAATTTGCTCTTTTGGGCGGTTTTTATTTTTATTCAACGGAATGCAACATTTCTTTAAAAATCGGTGAATTATTCCTCGCTGAATTTTATTATAAATCGATTTCTTTTCATTGAGAAAAGCAATTCCATTTAAATAATCTGATAATTTTTTTTTTATTATCCAAACTTTGATAATTAAAAATAAATAAAATTTGTAATTAAAAATTATTTAAACGTAAAATAAAATTAATATAATTGAAATTAACATTAAATAAAAATATTAAAGACTTTTAAATAAAAAAAAGTAAATATTTATATTCCTTACAAAGTAAATAATTAAAAATGAATTTGTTAAAAGTTTTTTTTTAACACTAAAAAAAAAAAAAAATAGAGAAGCTGCCATAAATTTGTTTATAGGAAAAAAAAATCAGATCACAGTTGGAATTACTTTAAGTGTAACTCTATAAAATTTGCAACTATATCGATTGCAAAGTCGTGAAAAGTCTCCATAAAAGCGAGTTGCTAATTCATAATTACGTGATATTTCTTTCATATAACAATACTGCTTTAGTCGCTAATTAATTATTATTTTTATATAAATATTTGATAATTTGGCATATAGTACATTAGAAATAGTTCCTTTGTTCACAATATTTTTTTTGTGTGATAGAGATATATTGCACTAATTTCAAAAAAAAAAAAAAACTAATCTAATACTGACGAAAAATTTTTTGTACGTCAATATTATATTTTTCATTAAATGAAAAATAAAATTTCAAAAAAAAATATATATATATAAAAAAAATTCAAAATAAAAGTATTTCAAGATATAAAATTATATTTCTTGTTTTATATAATTTTTTTGCGATAATTATAATAAATAAATTTTTTGTATTAAACCAAGTCCACTTCTGGGCCGAAAGGCTGAAGCTTAATTAATAAATAAATAATAAATAAATTCTTCGACGACTTATAAAGCATTTTTCAATGGCACAAACAACTTGGAAATGGATTTCGAAAAATTGCTTATTTTAACAGTGATTTTCTTTTTAGAAAAGAAAAAAATAAATAAATAAACGAAAATCTTAGTAGAATAAATTTTACGTAAAAAGAATCATGAAAAAAATAATTATAAAAATAAATATGTTTTAGAAAGAAAAAAATACAATAAAAAATAATTTTTCCAGAACTGTTAATATTTTTTCGAAATTCCAAATCTAAGTGTTTACAAAATATAAGAAAAATTAAATCCTCTTTTAACAAGTCAGCTGGTTTTTTTTTCTTACATTTACACGCAGCGATGGTAAATCGAAAATAAATATTCAAAAAAATAAAAATAACGTAAAAAATTAAATAGCAAATAATTTAGGGCCACGCCTCGCGCAATTGCAACAAAGTGACTAGTTTTTTTTTTTTTTTCTTTTTTCGTCTCTACTTCACTTTCACTTTATTATGAGATTATGTAATTGTAGGGAATCTAGCTGACTAGTCTTAAATATCACTGAATTTACCGAATTACATTATACAATAATTATAAATACTCGAAAACCAGCACTTTTTATACGACGGAACATAATTACTATATTCATTGCCCACTGATTATTTTCATAGTCATTTTAAAGGGCTACTAGTGTGCATGAATTTTTTTTTGAGAATTTTGTTTTTCCATTACAATTCGTTGTTTTACAAGTTCTTTTTTTTTCAAGAATTATCATTATGTATATATTTTACATAGTTGAACGTTATTTCTTTCTTTTTTTTCGCTTGTAATTGAATTACAGTTTATTGAACCGGGGTGTAGTAAATTCTAAAACTTTCTACGGGAAAATTGTTGCATTCTGTTGATTTCCTTTTTTTTTTTTGGCAGAGACTAGCACACTCGCCCCCGATCCGACTACATAAAAATTATCATCTAAGATAATCCCTTTCCATCAACAAATAGAATTTAGATATCCTGTAATTTCACCTATCTGTACAGTAACCGCTTTTTTTTTGTGAATTCGGTACTTATTTATATTCTTTTGGAATATAGAAAATAATAAATAAATATTCGCGACTGGAGATCAGCGTCGCTCGTTGGTTCCCATAAATTTTTCTCGAAGAACACAAACGAGACGGGATATAATTATAATATATATATATAATATATATATAATTTAAAAAGAAAAACAAAATAGAATTTTTTTTTGAAATGCCAATTGTTTTTTTCGTCAGTGTACAAACAGTTAAAAAATTATGAGTTTCTCACAATTTACTTCGTTTAAAAATGAAAAAATTGTGCTTACAATTTTTCTATATATAGATTTAGAAAAATAATATCACAAGCGGAATTAGAAAAAAAGAATTAATATATGAGTTTTTTTTTTCACATCTACAAATATTTGTTCCATCTAAAATACAAAGGATACATTAGTGCAGACACGATTACAAAGTGCAATGTCGCGTTTACAAAAGCACACATTATTGTTTAAATATTAATTGAGTCAAGAGTATGATAATATAGATATTATATTATAGAATAACTGAGATCAATTATATGTGACCATTTTTTTTTTTTTTTTTTTTTTTTTCTTTGGTCATTATCATTAATATTAATAAAGAGTCTAGGTATAATTTTTTTTTTTCAACTTGTCAAAAAAACAAGTTTAGTCTTTAAAGACTTGGAAGTATTTTTTTCACTGATTGTACACTGAGGAGAATATTTGTACGATCTTGGTTAACGTATTTTGTAAATAAAATTTAAATACGTTGAGAATGAAAAAAATGCCTTCTTCAAATAGAATATATATATATAATATATAGAAAAAAAAAACAAAGATCGTACCTATAAAAAAAAATCCCTTGAGAAGCCTTAAAAATTAGTGAATCACGTCTTCACTTTATTTTTCGCTCTTTACGTCATACGTAGGGAATACGTTTCCCCCCCTCCCTTTCACGGATTAAAGTCTTCAATATTTTTTTTTTTATAAGGAGTGTCCATTGGTTTAACTAGAAAGGTTTTTTTGCTTACTAATTTGATCCAAAAAGGTATCACATTCCTAGTTGGCTGTAGTTCAATAAATTCTCCTCACTCGAGTTGAATTAAACATTTCCCACATATAGTTGAATGTCGCAGCCTCACGTTTCACGTCCAATCACTGTACTTTCCGGCATTGGTCTAAATCTGCGGCATCTAAAATTAGTTTCTTTATTGGACAAATAATAATTTCGAAAAAAAAAAAACTAAAAGCAGTAAAAATAAAATTGGCATCTAATTAGTTTGTTTGGGACAAATAAACAAAAAATAATTCACACCTTGCATTATTTTCTCCGATGTGAGGTGGCAAAGATGAAGGTGGTGGTGGAGGTTGAGAATTCGCTGCTCCACTGCTGTTTGAATCATTGTCACTGCTCTCTTCGGTTCTCTTGCCAGCTTCTCCTAGAAGATGAGAAGGTACACCTCTCGGATACCATCTAGATATTACCTCAGATATTGGTCTTGTTCTACCTTGTGGTCTTTGAAAACGTAAATTAAGTTGACTTGCGTCGGTCACATATTTTTCGCTAAGCCTGCGACGACGCAATGCCGGTGTGCAGCCAGTTAAATTCTCGTCTTCAGTGGAACTTGTCGAAGTTAATGGCGCCACATTTGGCCTTGCATCGGGTAATGTTGCGCAACGTCTCAACGCTGGTGCTTCCGCATGAATTGTCAATGGCTTACCTTTAGTGACTAAATACAAATGAATGTGTTTTGTTAGTTTATGATTGATTAATTGCAAAAAAAATAGAAGCTGTTAAGAAAAATAAAAAAGAAAACAAAAAGATATATTAATTAACAAATCAACTAACCCGAGTCTTTTGATTGAGAATTTTGAGCCGCAGATTCACTTCCTGTTCTCGTTGTTGTTGTATTTGTTTCTGGTGTTGATTCTGATAAGGAACATCGGGGACTTTTTACCGGAACTGGAATTTTACTGTATGTACTGTGTGGCCTGTAGGAATTTTCTCTGTCTTTATGTTCTCGAAGTTGAACACTCGATGGTACAGTGGTCGACGCTGTTGTCACGGGATTTTTATTTGGCATATTGTTTGCGCAAACACGATTTTCAGTTGTGTCGTAATAGACGGAAGAATCTTGCTGACCGGCTGGACTTCCAGCTGTGCCATTCGTTAATTTTTCTGCAAAAAAAAAGATAATTTTGAATTTAAAATCAAAATTTTAAATAATTTGAAAAAAAAGAAATGTCCTTACTACTTTGTAATGGTTCTTTATCGGCGCTTGTTTGGACAACAGTAGCGCCTCCAGTTCCATCGACAACTCTTATTTCAAGTCTTCCAGCGACCGCTTGTTCCTCTTCATCACCGGCTGGTGTTGTTGGAACTGTATTTGTTGGCGAAAACGTAACTGCAGGAACACTCGCACGTCTACGTGGTGGACTTTCTCTTGGCTCATCGTGTCGCGTTGCAATATTCCTCATAACATCGACTTCGTACAATAAATCATCAAATGCAGCCTGTTGGACCTATCAAAACGAATTAAAAATATAAATTTTCGATAATTTTAAAAAGCAGATTGAAACGTACCAGAGGAGCTTCTAAATAATCGCGAACGTGCGGCGCCAGCGCCGGTACACTCCATGCTCTCGGTAATGCTCTCTGTAATTCCGGATATTTTTCAATTCCGGCAATATTTAAACACCTGTGCCGACCAGCAGCACGCGGTGAATCCTCACTTATTCGCGAAAGTGCAGTTTGAACAGCCGATAAACTCTGTTGTTGTGATGAAGTTGGCAACACCGACACGTGCACCTTTCCTTCCTGAGATGTCGTTCCCGCCACTACTTCATTACCGATCTAAAATAGAAAAAAAAATGCATAAAGATCTCAAAATTCTATTTATAAATTTCTATTCATAGATATTTTTTTTTTGTCAAACCTTCTTTTCTAAATTCTATGACACAATCGAAAATAGAATATATATAAATAGAATTTCCGAGAACTATAAAATTCCAAATTTGAATTGAAAATAATCTCACTTGTGGTACAATGGATGGTGGGTGACCTCCTTTATGTTCCGGACTTTGTAGATTGTCGCCTTTCCATTCATTGTCTGTTTCCTCGGAATCGTCAAACTGTGATTTCCACTGTGATGCCAATGTCAATCCACCGCCACCTTTTGTGACTTGTTGTAAAGCTGAGACATTATCATCATCTATTTGTGCGAATTGAGTAATGGAACAATCTCTAAACGCTGAACGACCACTTCGTGACTGATGACGTCCATCGACTCTCTTTTTTGGTTCTCTTCTCAAAGGTTCCCTCTGCTCTGTTACCTGTTATAAAATAATAATAATATTAATATTAAACACCAAAAAAAATTTTAAATTCAGAGAGACGAAGACAATTCACGTTAAAAAAACGTTTCACGAACCAAAGTTTATTTCTTCTTTCATAAGGACTAATTCACAAAATTATTTCTCAAACACTACTACTAAACACTGTTTTTATACCTTAAAATTTTATAAATCAAAAAATTGAAAATGTTTTCAATTTTGCTTCTTCGTCAACTCTATACACGATTCTTCACTGACGTTATCAATACTCTTCGTTGAAATTTCCTGAAATATTTCATTCAAATAAAAGGAGAATAAAATCAAAAAGAAATTTCCATCCAATATTATGTCTGCTTTCAAAAAAATTTAGGAATTTAGGAATATTTTAAAAATGAGATAATGAGGGGAGAAAAAATGAAATACTTACTGGACTTTGGTTTCCGACATTTTTTGCATTAGTAACGTCGTACGAACAATACGAGGCATCGACGTCAGTTTGTATTCGAGGACTTGGTGGTTCACCAGATGTTTGTTCTGGCGCAGCAACAACTCGTAAACGTGCAAAAGTTGCACCGCTCGCCGATTTACGAAGAGGCACAGAAACATTTGTATTCGATTTAGTACGTGGGACTTCTGATGCTGAACGTGCAGACGCAACCATTTCATCTGCCTCGGTGTCAATTTGCTTTTCCACCGGTGGCGTTTGACATTGTGGTTCGACTGCCATTGAAACTGCGCGTCTCTTCTTCGGAGAAACTGCAAAAATTTCGTTTATTTTTTTTTATTAAATAATTTATTAATCAAGATAAAACTCATAATAAGCTATAAAATTCCATTTCTTACATAGTTGCAAAAACTGAAAGTATTTTTTTGCATAAATTTTCGAACCTTGCACAGGTAGTGAAACAGCGACTTGACCCCCTTGAGGATTTGTATTGTCCGTAACAGGTAACGTAGCATTGCAATTTTTATCCCGGCCATGATTGCTAATTGCTGCTGTTAACGGAATTGTTGATCCTTCTATTGTACACTGTCGACTTCTCCTGCATATACTTTCATAATCCAATTGAGCCTTTAAAAGAAATATTTTTAATTATAAATCAAAATTGTTTAAATAAAAAAAATGAAATTTTGAAAAATTAAATAAACTTACATCTAATTCTTTTCTGTTGTCGGGCTCGACATTCTCTTGATTATTAGTATCTACATTTGGTGTGGTTTGCAATTGATTAATTGTCGTCGCTGTTGTATGTGTTGGCGGTAGTGGAACAGTGGGTAACGATCTGGTGGTTGGTAAACCTTCATTAACAATTATAGGTCTTTCCCAGTCGTAGGGGTCACTCGCCTTCACACCACGACGTCTCATACACCTTTCAAGTAAACCACTCAACATTGCATAATCTGGTTTATCCGCATAGCTCAAACTCTAAAAAATAAATTCAAGGTAAAAATAAAAATTAATAAATACAAAATTAATCGAAAAAATTAGAAAAAAAATTTTGTACTGAATTTGAATACAAAATATAAACAAACGTTTATAGAATAAGTTTAGGTACATTTTGTAGAATGCCAAATATTTCTCTTCGATGCAACGATAATACGTAAAGAAACTTTGTCAACAAGCCAAAAAAGTGTTATAGATATTTGTAACATAATTATATCATTTTCAGTAAAGTATTTTTCAATAAGCTTAAAAAAAAATGATGTAATATGTTAAAAATAATATTTTTATTATTTTAATTAATTTACAAAAAGTATAGTAAAAGTATAGTTACCTGAATGTGTTCTAAGAAAAGACGGAAATCCGAAGGAAGATGCTTCAGCAGTAATCGATAATCATATTTTTCTTTCAATAATCCTACCTGATTGATTGAAAAAAAAAGAAATTAAAATTACATTTTTAAAATAAAATTATAAATATATTTAGAAAAATTTAGAAGACTTACTTGTTCCTTGTCTTTGAGTTTACGCCAAGGAAGTGAACCATTAACGAATTCTATCAACATATAAAAAAGGGACCACAAATCGTCGTGTCGTCCCATTTCTTTGTTCTTGTGAGCATTGATAGACGCATACCGGACGGTACCTCTGAATCCTGCCGCTGCACGAGGAGGTCGAACTTCTCCATTTCCCGTTGTAAATTGACGAGCCAGTCCAAAATCCAGCATAAAAACCAATCTGCAATTATTGGACTGACGACCAATTGAAAAATTTGACTGCAAAATAATTAGAAATTTTTAGAAAATCCTCGTTTTAAAAATTGGTAAATTATTTTTTAAAATCTTAACTATTCCGTAAAAAAACAAAAAAACTCACTGGCTTAATATCTCTGTGAAGGAAGCCAACTTGATGTATATTTTCTATTGCTTTTAAAATTTGAATTCCAAGTCTCAATGTTGTGGATAGAGAAAAAGAACCTCTCGGTTGCGCACGTCGTAATTCTGCCAAATTTTTTCCTTGAAGTTGCATTACTACATAATTGAATCTATCATTTCGTCCACAGCCTATAAATCTACAGACATTTTCTTTACCTGAAAAGAAAAATTCCTTAATAACCTTTTGAATTAAATAGAAAATTTCTAAAAATTTACACAATAAAATTTGAAGGCTTTCATAAACATTCGTTTTGTAATTCAATTTTATTAAAAAAAAACATTTGCCAAAAAATTTAAATAAATGTATCTTAACAATTACCACCTTGAAGCTTTTTAAGAACAGCCACTTCCATTTTAAGAACTTGTTTTGGTTGACGAGCTGATTCCACTTTAAGGGCGACATTTTCCTTTGAGACTAAATCTAGGCCTTCATAGATTTCCCCAAATCCACCACCGCCAATTTTTTTCGTCTATTTTGTAATAAAAAAAAAAATAAGTAATTACAAGAAATCATAAAAATTACAAAAGGAACAATAATCAAAAAAAAAAAAAATTCTCAAAGAAAAGGAGAGTTCGTGGATGAACTGTACCTTTTATTTTTTACAATTGCATCAATTAGAAAAATATTATTCCGTTATGAAAATTATTTTGATTAAAAAAAAACTATTTTTCTCCCGTCAAAGAATCTTATCATTTTATGAATCATTATACATGCATTATTAAACAATGTGTTGCATTATTGAAAACACTATATTATTCGAGAAAAAAAAAATATCTAATGATTCATTCATAGAATCAAAACACTTATATAACAATAATAATTTGCAAGAAACATGCTGTTTTGTTGTTTAAAATAAAACACTACCTGCAGTTACTTTTAAACTCATGATCAATACAAGATTTTCAATAAAATATTAACTTCTCTCTCTAAACCTCAAGCTCCATTAGTTAGAATTTAATAATGACTTCCAAAAAAAGACTTGAAAATTAAATCAAGAAATACATTTTTAAACGATACAAATATACATTTTTATAATATTGATTATATTATAACAAGAAGAATAAGTAAAAGAAGAAATAAATAAAATAAAATAAACTTTAATAAAATTACTATCAAGCACTAAATTCTAAAAATTCATTTTGTTATCCAACTTGAAATTTACATCAGAGATGTGAATGAAAGATTCACATTAGATTCAAAGCCAAAATCAATAGTTTTGGAGTAAGTTTCTCCTAGAATGACAAGAATTAATAATAATGAAAAATTATGAATTGACTTGATTAATTATCGTCGAGTGTTGATATGAAAATTTTTTAAATTCTCAAGGTCAAAATAAATTAGATTTTTTTAAAATACCAGTAAAATTGATGTAGAAATATAAATTCAATAGAGAAAACTTATCGAATCGTGTAATTTGATACTCGACGTAGTCTATAAATTCATGAGTTTAAAGTTCAGCTCATTCACAAAAGCAGAAATAATACACACACACATGGAAAAAAGCCAAAAGTAGGTAAGAAAAATAGTGGAAAAAATTGATAAAAATAAAACTAAGACAAAAAAAAAAAAAAAAAAAACATGTCGCTTACCACTTTCCATCTTTCTTTAACCACATGGCCGGGTTGCAGAAGATTTTCACTCGTCATGGTGATGTTATTATTCTGATCCGTGCTTTCATCGCCTACATGTCTCGAGATGAGTTTTTCCGGATGATTGGGATGCCTAGAAAATGGAACCAACCCCTTAATGCGGTTGCCATGGTTCTCGACAACGATTGCACACTAATTTAAAAACCGCGAGTTTAATCTCGCGACAGGGACACTTGACACGCCCAGTAGCCCACACACAAAAAATACAATTTATTTATTTTTATTTTTTTTAGTTCGTAACCTATAAAGAAATAATCGAAGAAAAATTCTTGGTACGCGCCCCGTGTTAGGCAGCCATGATTGCGTTTAAGCAAAGGGTCAGCTATTCCAAGGGGATGACTTTGCCCCCTTTCCCTCCGACGATAAGTCACCACACAACCGGCGCACAAAAAAAAAAGAAGACAATAATGTCCCTTGTCTCAATGAAAATGTTAAATGACTAATAAGAACCTCAAATTCAAGAATATTTTTCTTATTTAATGTAATATGAAGATTCGTTCCTTTTTATCTCCCACGCATTTAGGAGTGATCCAAATATATGACATTTATTTTTACTTAAAACGAACGTCGTCTGCTATTGTAAAATGAATTGAATGTTGTCACTTTCACAATTGATAATGTTGTCTTAAAATTATTGGAATAGATTTTTGGAATTGGCAGCTTTTCTTTTTCAATTATTAATCACGATAAATTAAAAGGAATTAATTAGAACACTCGCGAAATAATTCGTCGTACGCCGATGATGGCTCCACCATTTTTCAACCAAAAGTCTTTTTAGTTTAATTGATTCACCGCTAGGAGCGCGAGAGATGTGTTTTAAGAGCGCGACATTCAAATACTAAAATATTTAAACTTGAAAAAGCTCTAAGCACATATCATCAGACTTTGAGCTTTCACAAGAGACAAATGTTAAGAAACAACTGATGATAATAATAATAAAGCTGAAGCATAAGTTATAAGAGTTTATTTTGAAACGGAATCAGATAAACTTCAACGTAGAAAGGGACATCATTCAACAGGGGCATTTTAAGGAACTTTTTATATTTTTGCTTCATAAATAAATAAATACATAAATAATTTATAAACTATAATTATTTATGTATAAATTTTATTATTTCTCAAATAGAAAATAATTAATTGACAAATAATGTACGTATAAAAAAATAGAAATTTTTCTTATAAAACTTAAGAAATTGTTTTTTAATGAAATTATAAAATTAATTTATTGTAAAATATGCAGTTTATGTATTACAAAGCGTGTAAGAAAGAAAGTTTCATAGAATGAAATTACATTAAAAGGAAATTATTTCATTCGTGCGAATTACGATAATTCAGAGCGTTGACCGTGCCCCATTAATTTTCAACACATTAACCCGTTCTCTGAAAATAGCTGAGATCTCGGATCCTTATTCAGATTGAGCTATAAGTTTTAAGTTATCCACTCTTCTTGAAAGTGGCCAGAAAGTCATTCAAGTAATTATAAAAATTATTTTTAAATATTTACAAAAAAAAAAAAAAAATTTACTCATATTTGTAAAATAATTATTAATTAATATATTAATTAAAAAGAAATAATTTTCCTTCTATATAAAGGAAGGAAAAATTCTATTTTTAAATACTCATTAAAAAGTCTTTTGTTTTAATTAAATAGTAGAGAGTTTAATGACTTGATTTAAATTTCTTTCCTTCAATGACAAAATCATTAAAATTTATTTTTCAACTAATCAATTTTTACTATTATTTTTATTTCATTTTCAAATTTCTTTTTCTCTTTTTTTTTGTTATAAAAATTAATTTATTAAAGTTATTTTTTAAAGGTGCAAAATTTTTAAATTGAAATACATTTTGTTAATATTGTTTGACATTCGTTTTGATATTTGAAGGTTTTTAAACATTGAGAGAAAAAAAATAAAGTTTCTCGCTTCTTAGTTTGTCAAAGTGAAATGTTTTTGTGCAGAACTGTGTAAAAAAAAAATGTTGAAAATTTAAAATTAGATGCGATTGAATTCATTTTTTGTTTTTTTAAAAAAATCAATGTTCACATAAATCGTATCAAAAGAATTACGTAACGTTTGAAAAAATTTATATGGTATAATAATTGCAAACCGATTATTATAGATTACAATGTTATAACAATAAAAATTGCAAAAAAAAAAATTTATTTTGATTATTTTAATTAATTTTTAAAAAATATGCAAGAATAAAATAATAAAAATAGAATTTTTAATTAATTATTTACAGTAAAATAATTTAAATTAAAAACTAATTAATAATTATTATTATCAAAAGATTAATTAAAAGAGAAAATGAAAAAAAAAATGTTGATATAATCAAAAAGTAACGACAAGTAAATTTAATTTTTCTTCAAAAATAACGAGAAAATAATCATTTCCCACGACATAAATGTGATTGGAAGTAATAAAATAAAATATAAAGCTACTGAGAATCGCGGAAAAGACGCGCGCAATTTTTATTGAAACATTTCTGTCAAAACTTCTTGGAAAAAAATTAGCAAAAGTAAAAAAAAAAAAAAGAGAGAGAAAGAAATGAAGAGAAACACATGAGGAAAAAACAAATATCTCTTTTGAAAGAGAAAAAATGCAGAAGAAAAATTCAAAAATACAACCACAGTGCAAGCATCTGGGTGCTATGATTAAATTCGGAGTTTGCTCTGGTTATTTTACGCTCTCGAGTCTGTTTCCTCTATTATGTATAGTTTGCACTCATAAGAAGAAGAAGAAGAAGAAGGAGAACAAAGCCCAAAAAGTTACACCTTTTTGAGATAATTTATAATTACTTCTACCGGCTATTTACGATTCCTTTCTATATAAATTATATAGGTACGAATATTCCCATATGATTATCGATTATACACGAAATGTCTGATATTTTTAGACGATATTTGGATTTCTCTAAACACTGACTGGTACAATAATTTGCATTCAAGGCTGGAATTTATTTATTTTTATCGAATTTATAAAAAGAGTCTCCCTTTGAATTAAATATCCCTCTAAATTTCATCGAGAAAAATATTTTTCCCTATATACCTAAAAAAAAATAATTTTTAAGTTATTAATTTATTTAAATAAAATTAAAAATAAAACTAATTAATGCTAATTATGATAAATCATTGTTAAATAATATTCTTTGAAATATTTTTAATTAGGTACTTAAAAATAGATGTTAAAAAAAAAATTAATTTTATGAAAAAAAAAAAATTAATCTAAAATAGTAAAAACTGATTATCAAAATGATGGAAATTTATTGCTCTCTACAACTAACTCTAGGCTTGTTAAATTATTGTTGATGCCAATTGATGTCATACTAGATAGAGCATGTTTATTATTCTGGTTCATAAGATTTTGCAAAACACTCATGTTTTAATATATATATAAAATAAAAAATTTTTAAATTATTAATTATTTTCTCGAAATACATGAAACTATTTGGACAATAAACAAAAAGCAAATGACGTTTTTCTTTGTTAACTTTCTAATTTTTTTTTTTTTTTGTTTAAAAATAATGATAAAAAAATCATCAAATTATAATTTATATCACATTATCATAATAAATATTATTTAAAACAAAATAATTTTCTTTATCTATAAATAGAATTTTAAGTTCAATGTTCGATCTTGAATTATAACAAAGGAGAATTTTCCGTAAAATTGAAAGAATAAAAAAATTTTTTTTAAACTTTTTTTACCCTCACTTTTATTGCAAATTACAAGAAAGAGAGAGAGAGGGCAAAATTATGTTATACGAGATAGTAAATTTGCGAGAGAGTGTATATTATCTTTCTTTTCTCCACTTTGCTTATAAAGTTTTGTCCACGAAAGACAGAAAGGTTTATACTAATATACTCTCTTCTTCAACAGAGAGAAATAATTTAAGTTTAAACATCTATTTTTAAGCAGCCCCATTCTGTTTATGATACCAGAGTTAGACTCCTATTTCCGCACGAAAAAAACATTTTTTTTGTTTTATTTTATTTTTTTTATATTTCGATTATGTATATAGTACTCGAATGATTCCTAGGTCAAGATATCATGAATTTATTATCTTACTCTATTAATAATGAACCGATTTTCAAAATGAATTTTTTTTTTACTTTTTAATTACTAAACACAAAAAAAATTGGGTCTATTATTTCGTAAACGAAAAATATTTTTGAACAATTTTTTTTTTTTTATTTCTACACATTTTTTTTCGTTTTGCTTTCGTTTTCTTGATTTTGTAATTAGGACAACGTGTACAAATGACTTGAAATGTAAACGTAATCCTTAAAACTTCATTTATGGCAATTGGGTCAGTATATTGAAAAAAAAAGCAGTTTGTTCTACACATCATTAATCGATAGATTCTTCCAATATAAATTGAGTAACATTATATGGCATTCAAGTTTAGAAAAAAAATTAATAAATTAAAAAAAAATATTTAAAATTTATATTAATTATTTAAAAAATTGGATATTTTAATTTATAAACTATATTTACTCCGATTCAAATGAATTTTTCCTCGATCGTTAAAAAAAAGAAACAAAGAGAAAATTAATGATAGAGCAATTTTTATTTCGATTCTAAAAAAAAGTAATTTTTATTTTGTTCTATATTATCTAATTTATTCTTAACTTCTCGTCTATCTAGAAACACGTGTCCTCTCACATTAAAACGTGTCGTTGAAAACTAACTTGTCAATTATTTTCAAATTGATGAAAAAAACAAAACAATGATTAATTAATTATATTCTTTCTTACTTTTTATTATTACAATAATTACTACTAATTAGAAGAATAAAATTTTAAAAATATTATTTTTTTATTTTACTATATAGTGTTATAAATAATTTAAAAAATAACGGAAAAATAATATCTATCGATTAATGATTTTATGTTTAAAAAAAAAGCCATAAAAAATGTTTTCCTTTGACCTTTTAAATTTGAAAATATTATTTTTGAAATTTATTAACCACAGTAGCATTTCTAAAAACGATTTTACAATTCAATAAAACATCGGCAAAACAATCAGATTTGCGAGAAATATTATTATTATCATGACCTTTGTAGAAAAAAAATATTATTGATTTTAAACATTAAATTGAAGGAAGTCACGAAATTTTGACGAAAAGTTCAATTATTTTTAACGAGCTTTTTACAGGCGAAAATAAAATTTCAATTGAAATTTTCTTTTTTTTTTTTTTGAAGCAAATGCGAAATGTTAAAAATAAATATTTCAAATTAAATATAGTAATAAAGAAAGAAAGCTAAGCTTATATGTATATGAATATTGAAAGCACATGATGTTCATAATTAGCATTATTAATTGTCAGATAAATCGATTTCCTTAGAGTTTTTCAAGCAAAAATAGTTATAAGAAATTTTTTTTCACATCTCATTAATTATGAATATAGAATTTATTATAATCTTTAGAAAATAAAATAACCTTTTTGTTAAAATATTTAAATAATGGAACTAAAGAAAAATATTTTTTTTTATACACTGTAAAAATAAAAAACCCAATTTTTTAAAAAATAAATATTGTAATGAATTAATTAATAATTAATAAAATATTTCTTTTTCACAGTGTATAAAAAAATGTTCCATTCATAAACACATAAAATGATCAAACAAAACATCATCGTTTACACATACCTTCTGTGGGGTAAAAATTAATCATATTAATTATTTAACGTTTTCCGCAACAAATATTCTAAACAACTCATTAATTTTCAATTATGTAAAACTAAAAAGACACTGTTTTCACACATACCACTTCATGGCCTCCAATTAGAAGGTATCACCAGTAACAATTGGAATATTTTTGAGTTCTTGATTTAAAAAATTTGATTGAAAATAATTATAACAATTAGAAGGTGAGAGTGAGACGATATATAACTTTTGAGAGAGAGAAAGAGAGAGAGAGGACCTTCGCGCGCCGATTCATCCAAAACTCTGATCTGAAAACTAGAGCCGGCAAAGCTACACGAGCCAAAACCAAGTCGTTGCCGTTCAAATGGCATTGGAATAAGATGCCAAATTTCCACCATTTAGGACCCTCCCTCATTTTTAGGCTCATTGTCCTCCCACATCACCTGAAAAAAGACAATAACATTAATCAAAGTGTTTTGACAATTTAGAATCAATTTTTAGAAGAATTAACAGAGTATTTTTAATTAATTTGCCAAACATTTTCACGTAGATAAAAAATAAATTTTTTATTTTAATTCAATTAAATAATTTAAAATAATTATTTTATTTACTTTTCCCAGACTTTTAGTATAAAAATAAAAAAAGAAATAGTTAATTTTTTTTTTGAGGTAAAGGAAAAAAAATTATGACAATTGGAAAAACCCAAGAATATATAATATTGGGGTCAAAGAGAGAAAATAGTAAAAAAAAAAAGAAAAGAAAGAAGATAATTTTGTGAGTTATTTTTTTTCTCAACAAGTCGTTAAGCAAAAAAGTCTTGGCAAAAGAATGGTGAATTTAATGTCTACAGTCATGATTGGCAAACCACTTGCTAATTAACGAAGGTCCTCATATAAGAATAATTATAGAATGCTAGGACAAATGTGTTATCTAATTACATATATGTTTATCAAGATAAAACAACACTTTCTCTATCAAAACAAAAAGAGAGTAAATTTTTTCTATTTTCAAATTTTCCCTCAAGTAATTTAAAAATCAATTCTTTTTCAAACTACAAAAAAAAAAATTACTAAATATAATAATTATTATAATTAATCAGAAATAAATTAATAATTACTAAAAATAGAGTGAATAAAAATTTTTTAAAAAATTTAATTTTTTTTTAGAAACTATCATCATAGGTAAAAAAAAAGAAGAGCGGAAGCAGTGGTTTTTTTTAATACGAAAATCAAAAATCTTTCGGCCAACGCATTTCACGAGGTTAACTATTTTCGTAATCTTGACACATGTATAATAATTTCACGTAGAATTATTATATGGTTTAATTTAATATGAATTAAATAAAAAAATTATATTTCACTTATTTCTCTAAAAAACAATATAATAAGTAAATAAAAACAATAAAAATGAACAATTCTAAATTTTTCGTCTGTCTGTCTGTCTGGTAGACACAACTTATCTTGCTATTTAGTGAAAAATGAGTTTTCCAACATTTCTGAACATTCACTATAACTTCTTTCATTGACATACAATTTGGCATATGATCAAAGGGATATTTGTCCGGTTGTTGTTAATATCAACGTGAATTTTACTCTATTTTTAGATTTATTAACAAGCAACAGGTTAATAAACTCGATAAAGAATTTTCAAAAAAAAAAATTGTAATTGTCTTTAACTAAAAAAATATATAAATTTATGATTCTGTATATTCCTAAATTTGAATTATAGCTATTAAACTAATTTAATTACCAAAAATTTCAGTTACATTTACATATCAAGTATAATTAAATTAACAATTAAAAATAGCCAAACATAACAAAATTGAACTTAATTTTAGGTTATGTTGACATTAATTTTAAAATTTTATCCTTAATTTTATATATTTCAAACAAAAACAAAATAAAATCAACTGTCTATACATTCTTGACTAATAATTTTTAATTGTTTACGAAAACTAATTATTTTTCATTAATTAAAATATAGTATAAACAAAAAGTTACCGTTAAGATTTGACATTGAAAATTTTGACTATAATTTAGATTTAAATAAAATATGTGACACTTACTCATTTTTTTAAATTATTTATTTGGATTGTTATTATTCTCAATAAATTACTTTAATTATCCTCTCTTTAAATTGAAATTAAATTAGAAACTGATTATAAATTTTGAAAACTTCGTGTTATTGTTATCGTTAAACTGATATGAATGACTGATATACAGATAAGAATTGAAATAGACATTAAACAGGGGCCGATTTTCAAAAGTCCCGCTCTAAAATAAGTCGATAGGTGTCGCTCTATTTGTGCGTCGTCTGCTAAAGCATGTTTATTAAAGATCACAAGAAGACAATTATGATTTATTTTCTTTATTTGTTGAATTAATTATTCACCGGTTGATTTATTGAAGAGGACACGTTAATTAGATATAAAACAGTAATTAAACGTTATAAAGGTAACTATATTATTATATACAATCTTAAAACTCAATGTAATTGCAACCCATAGTACCAATTCGCTCTGCGAAGTAAATTTGATAAATTTAGTCACCGAAAAATTAGATTACGGATCTAAATTTACGATTTAATACTATAAAATAAACTTTTTTTTTCTGTCCTATTAATGATTATCAGGTACAGAAGTTCTGGCTAAATAATGGACGCAAAACGTAACGGGTTTCATGACTATAAATTAAAGACGCGAAATAACTTTACGGAGAGTTAGATCCTTGACATACATCATACTTAATAATGCCTCTCACCAATTATTTTGCAAGAAAATTTCTTCAATCTGAATACAAATTACACGAAAATTATAACACAAAATTTCGCTTTTTTTGTGAAAGTAATCTACTCGTGTGTAATAAGAGTGTGAGACAATATTTATTTTGATATATAAACTCTGATATATTTTCAAAGAATATTATCTCTCAATTGAAAATATATTATTCTTTACTATTTCTTTTTTTTTAAGTTTCAAATTATAATTTATTATAATAACATAAAAATGATTTTGAAAATAAAAACCGGTTTATCGAAATTTGCTGATTAACGACATTAATTTTGAGAAATCCATTATAGAAATGATTTAAAAATAATCGAAATTATATTTTGTTTATAAGAAAAATATAGCGAATTATGAAAATAAAAAAAATTTACATATTTAATGATTCTATTACTCACGCGGTGTGTGAAAATTATACAAGTATTTAATATGAAAGATTTGCAATAATTATGACAGAAATTTAATGAGAAGTTTATAATTTATTGAACATTAAATTTGAAATTAATTTGAAATGCAAGTGCAAAAAAAAGAAAAAGAAAGAGCAAAAAATACTTTGGGAAACTTTAATCATGGAGCCGTTACTGGCTGTTCTCCTGTCACTAAAAATTGTTCTCTCTTCAACACATTTGGATTTAGTATAGATCTTTTCTCTTTTCTCCATTAGTCCATTCCAACCAATCTTTCCCACTCTCGTGAGAAGTCGACTCTCGTGTGACGTAGCTCCTCGTGTTTTAAGATTATTTGGATTTGATTCCTTTTTCACCATTACAGTTTGAGTTACGTTTTGCGTCGGATTTGTTTCTCATAATCATATTGTTTATTCGCAATTGACAATTTTAATGTTATTTTCTTTTTAATTTTTCTTTACCAGAGAAAGGTGAATTAATTTATAAAAAAAAAAATTAAATAGAGCGCAATGGCAACTTCAGAGGTAGCTAATTTTTTCCAAGATAAAAACGTGTTCATTACTGGTGGTACCGGCTTCCTTGGAATTTGTGTTATCGAGAAATTACTACGATGCTGTCCGGATGTTAATAATATTTACGTTCTAATTCGTCCAAAAAAAGGGAAAGAAATTCAAGATAGACTAGAAGAATTGACGAAAAATTCCGTAAGTTATAGAAATTTTTTTTTTTAAATTATTATAATTAAATAAATTTTAATTTGTAATTAAATACGGCGCACCTCTTCCCACTACAATATCAAAGTTCAATGGCATTAATTATTACTCAATCTCTATTTATTATTTTCTCGCTCTAATCAATTCAATCTCTAGGTCAATGTTAATTTCATTAATAAAAGATTTTCTTGTTTTATAAATTAGTGATGGTTTTTTTTTTTTCGATTTTTAATTTTGAAGATTCAATTATTTTTTTTGTATATTTAAAATTTTGAAATTTCACAGGTATTCGAGAAAATTAGGAAAGAAAATAAAGAGGATCTTTTTAAAAAATTAATCGCTGTCGCCGGTGATGTTGGTGAGGAGAATTTGGCCCTTTCTGCTAATGATAGATTGACATTAGTGGAACATGTCAATATTGTTATTCATTGTGCAGCATCATTGGACTTTGAAGCCGATTTAAAGAGTACTGTCAATATTAATTTATTAGGTACTCGACGTGTTGTACTCATCTCTCAAGAAATTCGTGATCTTAAGGTTGTTTTTTTTAAATATTCTAATAATTTTAATTTTTTTACATTTTTTGTATTCTCAAGATTTTATTTATTTTAATCTATTAAATATTTATAGTGAATTTATTTTTAAATATTACATAAAATTTTCATTTTCTATTCAGGTGTTGGTTCATATTTCAAGTGCATATGTCAATTCAGTACTTCATGACGTTCAGGAGAAACTTTATCCTCCTCCAACCGAAGTAAAAGAATTTTTGAAAATGGTCGAAAGAACGGATGAACAAATTTTGAAGGAAGAAACAAGAAATATTATTAAAGATCATCCCAATCCGTACACTTTCACGAAACATTTAGCTGAACATGAAATTGCAAATTCAAATCTTCCCGTTACGATCATACGTCCCTCAATGAGTAAATTTTTCTCTTTTTTTGAAAAATAGTAATAATTTTAAATATTTAAAAAAAAATTATTATTGCAGTTACTGCAGCGTGGAATGAACCCATGCCAGGATGGACAATTTCAAAGAATGGACCGCAAGGATTTTTGATGGGAGCAAGCAGAGGAGTCGTGAGACGTTTACCAATTGCACAAGAGCTCATTTACGACTACATTCCTGTTGATATTGTCGTAAATACTATTCTTGTTGGTGCCTACAGTGTTGGCCGAGAAAAGTAATTAAATATTATCTCAATTTCACGACATACCTAAGTATTTAAATGTTAATTATATTTAAAATTATTCATGACAGAACTTGAAAAGAATTACAAAAAAAAAAATATAATTGTTACTTTCTTATTTATATTCTGTGGTCATCGTTAATCAATGGGTTATTTTGTTTTTTTTTTCTCTAAAGAATAATTCAATTTTGTTTTTATTTAAATTTTTATAATTTTAGAATTTAAAAAATTATTTTTAATTGTTTGAAGCAATTTGAAAAAAAAATACTTTAAGAGTTTGTGTTTTCTTATGGAAATGAATGATGATTTTTTATTTTAGGAGTAAAGAATTGAAAATTTATCATTGCACATCGAGCACATGCAATCCATTTAAATGGGAAATGGTATCTCCGAAAATTGATGAATTTCTACACAAATATCCACTTCGCGGCGCAGTTTGGTATCCAACATTGAAATTTTTGCCATCACTCTTTTGGTTCAGAATTTCCGCCTTTTTTTTGCATATGATTCCAGCTTATATTTTAGACACTGTGACAAAAGTGTCCGGCGGTAGACCAATGTAAGTTCAAAAATTTAGTTATTTTTAAATAGAATAAAAATTAAATTCATTTTTGTGTCTTATAACACATTTTTATTTATTTCAAAGTATTGAGAAATAAATTTATTGAGAATAAGACATTAAATTGAATATCTAAAATGTAAATTTCTTAATTTACTTTTTTATGTATTTTATTTAAATATCTATTTAATTAAAATAAATAAGAATAAGAATTAATTGAATAGGAAAAATATGAATTATAAAAAAATTTGAACTTATTTTTCATTGGAAATTTAATTACAGTTTAGTTCGTCTACACACGAATGTAAATAAATCACTTGATCTTTTGGAAAAGTTTATCTTCACTGAATGGAAGTTTGACAATTCACGTACTCTTGAATTGCACGAATCTCTTTCAAATGAGGACAAAAGTCTTTTTACAATGGACATAAGACCATTAAATTGGGAATATTATTTTCTGGATTTAGTTCAAGGTGTTAGACACTATCTCTCCAAGGAGAATCCCAAAAATTTGGAAAAGGCTCGATCAAAGGATAAAATGTAAGTAATTTTTTTTTTAATTAACATTAATAACAATTCATTATTAATTATTCATTATTGTTATTGCGAGTTCGTAAATAGTTTTTTTCAACCAATTTCAAAGATACTCAAAGCAGGGTGTCTACTAGTCCTGGATGTCCTGGAAATGTCCTTGAAAGTCCTGGAATTTTAAATTTTGTCCTTGAATTTTTTATATTTTGCTTTTAAATTTTCAAAAATTTCTAATTTTGTCAATCAAGTTAAAAAAAATTCATTAAATAAGTAAAATGAAAATTTACTTAAGTAATTAATTAATTTTTTAATAATTTCTGAAAACAATAGTTAAACTAAAAATTTTTTTATTCCTTAAAGTCATCCAATTTAATGTCCTGGAAAAATAAGAAATTTGTCCTGGAAAAGTCCTGGAATTTTAATTCAGATTTTTAGTAGACACCCTGTCAAAGTGAAACAAAAATACATTTTATTTTTCTCGAAAACTAATATAAATATTTTTTTTGCCAAAAAACTAAAGTTCGAAATTTAAATTTAAAATCAAAAAAAGTAACCAATTATTTTCTTCTGTAATTAAAAAAGTTCAATATAGTAAAAGAAATCGAATAATAATTTTTCTCGAAAACTAATATAAATATTTTTTTTTGCCAGAAAACTAAAGTTCGAAATTTAAATTTAAAATCAAAAAAAGTAACCAATTATTATCATCTGTAATTAAAAATGTGCAATATAGTAAAAGAAATCGAATAATAATTAATGTAGAGAGTAATTGTCATGAATTCATTATTATTAATGAATTTATTTATATTTAGGTTGATGGTGATTCACTTAATTCTGCAAGCAGCTTTATTAGCACTTGTTTGGTGGATTACCAAATCTGTTCTTGGATCAACTTGGACGAAAACTGGTTTAATAGTGCCTTTGATCTATGTTCTCTTTAATCAGCTCTAATTTTTTTTTTTTTTACAGTTTATTAATCACAAAAGTGGCATTAACGAAAATCGTGAAATTTGATGAAAAGAAGGTTTTTTAAAATACTTTCGATTATCAATTTATAATATACGTTTGGGGTGCTAATACGTTAACGTTATAAAAAGAAGTATTCCTCTTAAAAAGGAATAGATTAAAGAATTAAAATTTAATAATTATTCCAAGAAATTGACAAAAAAGATTTTCTTTTTGCTTTTTCTCTACTTATTTTTAAATTTCTTATTTGTTAAAGAAACCTTACATTAAAGGTACGAGCAATTACTTTATATATGTTATAAAGGTGACGGTAATCGATTTTCTTTAGTAATGCACAAATAATATCCATTAATGTTTTTTTTCAGAGATTTAAGATTGAAAACAGATTCTCTTACATAGTATTTGACTTGCATTTATTTTGTCAATAAGTTTAATTTTATTGCATAAACATTCCAATATTTAAAAAAAAAAAATTCTCAAAATTATTCTGATAAATAGTAAACATAAAGCACCAAGTATAATATATTTTAAGAACTATAACTAAAAAAATGTCATCATTGATAGTTAAAGTATATTTATTCGTGAAATAGTTTAAAGCTTTAATGATTGTTTATTTAATTTCTACGTTTGCCATTAGTGTGTCTGAGTGTGGGTTGTTGGTGTAATTTACACATTGAAATAATAAAGTAGCTTGTACTTTTTCATACAATTTTCTTAATTCAATTTTTTCTCAAATGATATTTAAATAATTGTTTCATTAAAATATAACATTTTTACAATATAAAGAAAACATTAATTAAATACAATTTCATTTTTTAATTTGTAAAATAGTGTTGTTTAACTAAGAAACGTTTTCAATTCAATTACAATTGAAATTTATTTTTAAAAATTAGTAAATTTTCCATGTATATTAAAGTCTTTTCTTTTTCTTCTTTTTTTATAAAAATATCTCAGGAAATTGCATTCTAATATTTTACAACTAGTTTTTTAATGACAACAGAAGTAAGTAGTTAGGGAAAAAAAAGTATTTTAAACAATTGAATCGGTTAATAAAAAAAAATACTTGTCTATTGTTTTCGCAAATTGTTTTCATTTCAAACATTTCCTTGAAGATTAAAGAGACGTTAGAAATTTAAAAAAAAGGAAGAATATTTTCGAAGAGAAATTAATTTTTCTAAGTATCGATTCAATTAGTTTATTAAAATTTTTATTATTATTTAATTCTTTATTATTTTAGGCAAAAATTTTTGATTGAATTTTCCTTCAAAAAAGAGTTGAAAATATTAGTTAAGAAGAGTTTGAAAAATAAAAATATTTTTTTTTTTTGAAGAAAAATGATTATTTATTAAAGGTAAAGTATCAAATGGAAATAATGAGATATAAAAAAATGTGATTTATCTTATTTTACATTTATTATAATAAATTTCTTGTGGGGAGATTTTTTTCAGACAATCACAGTATTGAATATCCATCGACCCTAACGCATGGATGCAAGCAAGATTAAAATGTGAAGGTATACATAAAAGCGTTCTCCGATCAGAGAATGGTAGTCAGTCGGCTCAATAAGTCACTTTAAATCTGGACTCCCTGAAGAGAACCTCCGACAACGTCGTTTAATTTGTTAAGTCTTAGTCATCAATTGGCAAATCAATCAGTCTTACAGGATTCAACTTTAAATTTCACATTAAAAAAGGTCAGTTTCTGTGTTATAAATATTTTTTAATTAATTTATTTATTCATATTAAATTCATTAAATTTGTTGTTTAATTTTTTTATTCATTTAATATTCCTCAGTTTTCAAATTTTTATTATTTTCGTTATTTTCAATTTTTAAGATTAAAATTTTTTTGAATTTTAATATTTTATAATTTATTGAAATTTATTTTTTAATAAAAAAGGTATTTTTTCAATATAAACTTTTCTTATTTTATGAAATCATTTTAATTAACTTCATTCATTATTTTATGAATTTCTTTTAAATATGAACTAAATTAAAATTTATTTTAATAATTAAAGGTTTCTTATTTTTTTAATTGAAAAAAATTGGTATAACAATAATAAATAATAGACAATAATAAAAATTTATTATGACAATAATTATTTTCTAAAAAATGAAAAAAATCTAAACATCTAAGATAAAAATAGTAATTACAATTAAAATCATTTTTTGTTTATTTCTTGTACTATAAAAATTTAAAAACTATCATAACCACATTTTAATGAATGCATTAATTATTGCTGAAACAAATTTTTTTTTAATTATATTCGTACCTCATTAAAAATTTGATGCCAAGTGCTTTGAATTAGAGTAGGAAAATTTTAATGAAATTGTTAATAGATTTTTCTACACATGAAATTAATTTTACGATTCGTTCAACTATAAGAACTACTTTTTATGTGATTTAGTGCACGCAGCAAATTTCGAAACATTTTATTTGTATTGGCCTCGAGGAACTTGTATATCTTTTGTGTATCAGAATGCACTTTCGCATTCAATATATATACTTGATTCGTGTCTACAATATTCTTTAAGTGCAGTACACTAACTATGCGACGAGAGAGGAACACTTTTATTTCAAAATCCAAACTTTGAAAAAAAAAAAAAATCATTTTAATTACGTATCAAAGGGAGCAAGGCTACGTTCTTGTAATCAAGTTGAAATAAATTTTCTTTCACGTACTCAATTTGCACGAAACAAGTCCCGCAAATATTGGAAAAAACATTTAAAATTATTTAAATTAATTTTTTTCTCTACAAATTTAAAACGTATACAATGTAACTCGGTTAATTAATTTGCATAAATTAATTACCGGTCATAAATTTCCATTTTTTTTTCATGAAAACAGATCTGAATACATTTTATTTGATTTGGAAATCAATTTCATTTAACTAATTTAATTGAAATTATTTTTATTCATCTATTTTGATCATTAATTCATATAATTAGATTTAAAAAAAAAATTTTTACATTCAAGGAAAGTAATTGTTGATTATGCAAAATAAATATAGAAATGTCATATGAGAAGTTATCATTGACTTTAATATGTAAATATAGAAAATAAATTTTGTTCCTCTTATAAAAATGAAAAGAAATCAGGACAACGACGACTAGTCGCTGTGGACTTTAATATTACTTTTTATTAAAATTCTTTTTTTTTTACAATTTATAATTGTTCTTCTCTTTATTTTATTTGCATAAAAAAAAATTGATCATCATAATTTAACGATTTGAATATTCAAATGATTTTTATATAAAATTAATTAAGTTCAATTTAAAAAATTTTTAAATAATATTAATGAAAAATATAAATTTTAACATGTTAAAAGTTTTAGATAGGGCTTTTAGATAATAAAAAAGTTTTATGTAAACATGGTCCATTTGTAGGTCACGAAGCCTATAAAAATGAAATGTGTGAAAATAAATTTATTTATCTTTTTTGGTCTAAAACGTATATTTATAATACGAGGTGAAAAAATTTCTATTGGTTAAATAGTGTTAAAATTCTCTCATAATAATTGATGCAAGAAAATTAAAATACATTACATTTACTCGCCTAATTAAGGCTTTGAAAAGTCGTTTACCTTTTAAATAAATATCACATTCTATTTAACAACAAAACCTTATTTCATATTAGAAATGCAAAAAATAATTTAATTATGAAATTGTCAATTACAATTTATTTTTTTATAAATTAATATTTAATTTCTATAGAAACAAAATGATTATAGTGTTTTTTTATGAATTTAAAAATAGGAAGTGAATTGGAGGGTCAATAATTAGAATCATTAAAATCTATTTGAAAAAATAATAATTTGAACAGAGGAGAATTTCTTTTTATTTTCCAACATTAATATCAATTTCTTTGGAAGGCATTTATCAAAAGATTTCTATTAAACATTCTCATCATAATGCAACTGTATGAAGGATATTACATCTTTCACTGTCACTTTTTTTTTTATTCATCAAGAGCTCGTAATGTATGTTTGAGATCATAAAAAATTATTCACTTTTTGTTTCTTTATAATTAGTAAAGAAATTTCTAAGTGTTTATAATTTTTTCAGTTAGAAAATTTTTTTTTTTATTTTGTCTAGATTTATATTTTTTTGTAATGTAAATATTTTTTTTAAATATTTAATAATAATTAATTGAGAGAATCATCATCATTCGAAATAACTTTCTCTTTTTTTTTTGTACGAAATCTGAACAACTTTTCTAAAATATCGTTTATATAATATTTTTTTTTCTCCAATTTTCGAAAACTCAAGTTTTGTTTGTTAAATGCAAATTGAAAGATAAAAAAAAATTTAACTCATCATTATTATTTTTAATTAGTTAAAAGAAAAAAAATGGTTAAAAAAAGTAAATCAATGAAGAATTTAATTTTTTTATTTTTTTAATTACATAGCCGCAAACAAAATTATTATATGAATATTTATATAAGATTGATAATTTCCGTAAAAATTATATTTACAGTTTTGTTGTTTTTTATGTTTGTTAAATTGTTTATAAAATGACGACATAATAATTATGTGAATTCCTATTTTATAGACACCTTTTGACATTAATTGCATATCCGCTTCAAAAGGGGGGTAAGGGGGGTAGGTGGGGACTTTACTCAGACGAATGGATGAAACAATATTGAATCATCATTGATTTCATTAGTTTCCGAAACGAAAGGTGGCTTGGCAAAATATTTTTTTTTTTTTCGAGAAGGCCTTGAGGGTTTATAAACGATTTCACATTGAACTAAGGTCTCTTGGGCACTTCTTTCACCCTTTTTTTTATTCTTGAAAAATTATAGCTTGCACTCTCTGTTTTTTTTTCGTTTAAAATAATTTTAGTTAAATAAAAATTGTCTTATTAAAATTTAATTTGAAAAATATTTTATATATTTCATTGAAATTTATTGTACACAAAATTTTTTAATTTATTTTATTGATAATGAATTTTTTTTTTTTTGCAGATTGAATAATGGAACCAACAATACCAGAATGGTTCCGAGATAGAAATGTTTTGGTGACAGGTGCCACGGGATTTGTGGGGAAAGTTTTAGTAGCCAAATTACTTCTCACTTGTCAGGAAATTGGAAATATTTATATTTTGATACGAGAAAAAAAGGATGTCAGTCCTCAGAATAGACTAAAACATCTTTTACAGGTGAGAAAATTAATGAAAAACGATTAAGAAATTATGAAACCGTTTTTTTTCGCTTTCTTAGCGCAAAAAAAAAAAATGTGCGTACTTAAAAGAATTTAAATTGTTTATTTATAATTTTTGTTTTGATATTACCTAATGTTGGGCTTTGAGAAATAAAATATTGATAGTCTTGAAAAATTGATGAGTCAAATGAAGAGGAAAATTTTTTCTCATTAAAAATGATTAATGAAACAGGTTTTCAATTTTGTAAAAATATGTATATTTTTTTTTTTCATTAATATTTTTGCATTTTATAAAAATATTTAACAATGTTTTCTTCTAGCTCAAAAAAATTCTCGCCTTATTCCGGTTTATATTTTACATAATATCTTATTCTATAACCAAGTTTTCGTTTATAAATAAAAATTCAAGGCTGAATTAGCAGGAACTACTTTTTTTTTAAAATCTTTAACCAGTTTTTGTTTAATTTAAATTGTAGAGAATGAACTGTGAACGTTAATTTTCTTATCAATATTTTATCTTTTTTAAAAAACATTTCGAAAACTGGAAAAATTACTTCTTACTACGCTACAATGTATAAAAGAATTAATTATACTTTTATATAAGAAAATAGTAATATAATTTTTAACTATCATAAACATTTTTTTTTTAGTAGGTATTAAAAAGTTTTTTGAAAAATTACATCATTGTGAAAATGAATTTTATGGATATTTAAGTGATAATTAACTATCAACAAATTTTAATATTTTTACCAAAAATGATTTTCTTGTAAGAAAATTATTTCTTATATGAATATCAATTATACCATTTTTGATGCGATTGGCAATTTTTTTTATAGTTGTAACATATTTAGTTATTATAGAATGTGAAATGTTTTCCTTAATATTATTAATGAAAAGTGAAAGCTGGAGAAAATTATATACATATAAATTGTATTGTTCATATTTTTTTAAGGAAAAAATATTTTTCATATTTTTTTTTAATATTAAATAGCTGAGAGCTCTTTCTTTACATTTTATTTGATTTACTTTTTTTTTTTTAATTCGAATATAAATGAGATATTTGCTACTGATTCTTGAGGAGTTTGTTTTGATATATTTTTTTTCTCCCCTTGCACTACATATTTGCATCGGTCTCTTTAACGCACAAGAGAAAGGAACTTACTGCGCGTAACTGAGTTATTTTATTTTGGTGTGATTTAAATTATCTCAACATAAAAAATGAAAAATAATTGCAAGCCTTGAAGTTTTATAAAATAAGAAAAGTTATATAAATTATGTCTTTGCGTACAAAGAGTCATAAAGTCAGGTACTCCAAAAGAAAACAAAATAATCTCCTGTGATCTCCTGGAATTAATTTGTAGCACAAAAAAAAAAGAAGTGATCTACGATAATGATAATTATTTTTAATTTTATATGTAAAATAATATTTTTCTCATTTAATTTTTCTTTTTTTTATCTGAAAAAATTTTGATAATTATTTTTTTCTTTTTCCAGCAAGAACCATTTAGAATATTGTCAGAGAATAATCCTGAGAGACTGAAAAAAATTGTTGTCATTAATGGTGATACAACAATTGAAGGACTTGGATTATCGCTTACAGATAAAAATCGTTTAATCGAAGATACCTCGGTAGTTTTTCATATGGCTGCAAATGTTAGATTTGATCTTTCATTAAAAACTGCTATTAATTTAAATACAAGAGGAACGGCTAATGTTTTGTCAGTTATAAAGCAGGTAATTAATTAATTATTTTATTTATTTAAATAGAGAAAAAAAATCTAATTTTGTTAAGAAAATTAAAATATTTTTCAGTTTAAAAAATTAAAATCATTTATTCATGTATCAACTGCATATTGTCAATGTGGAGAAGAAATTTTAGAAGAACGTGCTTATCCAACGCCAATTTTACCAGAAAAAATGTTCACTCTTATTGATACAATGAATGATAATATTTTAGAAGCATTGACACCAAAATTATTGGGTGATCAACCAAATACATATGCCTTTAGTAAGGCATTGAGCGAAGCTGTTGTGTCAAAATCTGGCATACCTACAGGCGTTGCTCGACCCTCGATCGGTAATTTGATTTTCTGTACTTTTTATTCTTTTTGCTAATGGCAAATATATTTCAAATTTATAATTTTAAACAAAAGAGAAAATATAGAAATCAAACGATAGTTAATTTTTAATATACTTAATTAATTTTGTAATATATTTGCGAATTATTTATATTAACTAATTTTGATTGGTAAATTCTATTTCAATTCTATTTTCTCCTAAGGATATTTTTAATTTATTTTTATTATGCTAAATATTTCAAATTTTTAGTTCTTATTCGATTAATTTATTATCTATTATATAATTTTTTTTAAAATGATGATTAATTTTTTTTTCATTCAAATCATTATTTATTGTAAATTTTTGGAATAAATTATCTTACATTGTTTAGAATGTGCAATTGGTAATCATCAATTTATTCACACATTATAGTAACTGATTGCGCTTATAAAGTATATTTGATTGCATCTTAATAAATATTCATTTACTTGATATTCTGTAAATCTTTCATAAATGACGTACTGTGCATTTCTTTTTTTCTTCAATATTGAAATTTTTTTTCAATACGTAGAAAAAAGTGTTCCATTTATTTTTTTTTTATAGAAATAATTCAATTTTTAATTCTTAGCTTATGTAATATTATTTATTAGTAATAAAATAAATTATAATTTAATAAATAAACTTCAGAAAGCTTACTAATTTTTATATTAAATATAAAAATTAATTAGTAATCTTTCTGAAGTTTATTTATTAAATTATAATTTATTCTATATATAATTTATTATTATTAATTATAATTTATAAATAAATTTTATTTATTTACATTTTTAAGCGGGCTATTTATTATATATTTTTTAATAAAATTTTGTTATTTAATAAAAAGAATGAATTTAAAAAAAAAAAATTGCATAAAATTTCAATATTTAATTAAAATGATGTATTTCAGTGACTGCATCTTGGAAGGAACCAGCTCCAGGCTGGGTTGATAATATGAATGGACCAACTGGTTTAATGATAGGAGCTGGCAAAGGTGTAATTCGTTCGATGCTCTGCAATCCCGACTATCTCACCGATATTATACCTTGTGATCTTGTGGTTAATGCCACAATTACACTCTCATGGAAAGTTGGCATTGAACAACCAACTGAACCAATTTTCATGAATGTTACTGAAAGTGGAAAAAATCCAATTTCCTGGAGGTACGCGCTCGACAGTGGCAGAAAACACGCTCTCGAAAATCCATTTTCAGGTGTGGTTTTTAATTATCATTATTATCTTATATTACAAAATTATAAGAAAAAAAAAAAAAGTTCCTGAAAAAATTTAAATATAAATGGAATTTTTAAATAATTTATTTAAACCAATAATCCCAGAAAATTGTTAATAATTTTTTTTTTTTTCATTGAATGAATTCTTCCTTTAATCAAATAACCAGCAATTTACTAAAGAAGTAATTTCTACTTTAAATGTACTTGACATTTATGTAATATTTCGCAGTGTTTTCAAAATGACAAGAGACTTTTTTTTTGTACTGGAAAATGAAAAATAGAATAAATAAATCCTATAGTAACAATTTATTTATATTATTAATTATTAATTTTTTTTTAAAATCATTTTCTAGGACCTTTGTGGTATCCTGGAGGTGGATTCACAACTTCGAAAATTGTTCATTGGTTCTCTGTATTATTTCTTCATATTATCCCGGCTTATTTATTGGACACATTATTATATGTCACTGGGAATAAACCATTTCTTGTAAAAATTCAAAATCGAGTTACAACGGGTCTCGATTTACTGCAATATTATACGACGAAGCAATGGAATTTTCGGTAAAATTATCAATTTTCAATTTTAATTGTACTTGTTAGTTTTAAAAAAAAAATAACAAAGAAGTGAAAATTAATTCATACTTGAAATTCGGATTTTAAATTTTAATTAATTTTTCTATTTTTAAATCGTTAAAGACAAAATATTTTATTAAGTTTACTTTCGATGATGAAAATTATTTTTATTACGTTAGAAAAATTTGCAAAGAAATTACCCATAGCGGATGTTTGTCATCCTTCTTAGAAATCTCTCTTTTTTTATTAAAAAAAAAAAAAGATAATTTTTTTTTTCCAAACTCTCGCAAAGTTTATTATTCTTGTCATAGTTTTCTAATAATAGATTCATATTCATAATTTCTAAGACTTGAGTAAATTGAACGATTCTAATCTGCAGGAAATATAATTTATGTTGGTGTCTTTTACATTTACGTAAATGTTTGTTTCGTCAAGTGTGGTAGGTCAACGGGTTAATGACGGAGAAACATTTACATTTAAGCTATTTTATGATCAAGACACTTGTTGCACTTTAAAATAAATTGCATTCAATTTGAATTCTTTATAATCAAAACAAGCTCGAGATATTTTTTTTTCTCGTGTGAAAATTTTTTTATTTATTTTCGTTGATTAAAATTTAAAATTATTAAATTATTAAATTAATAAATTAATGATTTATGTTTACAGAAATGACACGATGAAAAATTTGGAGAACAGTTTATGTACATCTGACAGAGAAACGTTTTTTATGAATACCAAGGCTATTTGTTGGAATGAATACATATTAGATTATATATTGGGTACTAGAAAGTATTGTTTAAAAGATGATCCTTCAACTTTGCCACGTGCAAGACGTGTTTTTGCATTTTTATATGTTGCAGACTTGTGTCTTAGGATAATATTTGGAATTTTAATTGCTTGGTTCATTTATTCTTGGATGGTGCCATTTAAAACTTTAATGGAAGTCAGAGAAATTTGAATTGTTTAAAAACTTTTTGAAAAATTTCCTTTTTTTATCATCTTAATTTATGACTAAATTATTTTTTTTATGGCAAAATTAATTAATATAAATAAAAAAAAAAATGTTTTGACAAAAATGTAATAAAATAATTTCTAGTTAAAAACATTAGTAAAATTGGATTAAAATTAGAAAAAAATGTGAATGTTAAAAAGTAACTAATTAGTGTTATTAGCTTTGTTGATTAATAATTATTAAAACGAAAATTTATGTCTGGTGGTTTTTTTTCGTTAATAAACTAGATAAATACAATAATCAAATATACAAATAAAAACAATAAATAAGTGCAAAAAAAAAAAATGAATAAAAATGATATTCAAGCGTTTTATGAAACTGTTTTCCAGTATTTTTTATCCTTTTCCAACATACGCACATATAAAAATGAAGTAATACTTTTAGAAAGTTATTTTATTTTCAAAGATATTACTTAATAAAAATTTGACTGATGTTAGAAATATTATAAAATTATAAAGTTGGTGTAAGAAGAACAAAATTCAAAAGTATTACAACACAATATTATCAATGAACACAAATCATTCGAGAAACTATGAGATAAATGATAATAATTTTTTCTTAATGAAAAATAATTTGAAAATATAAAAATATATTAACAATATAAATAAATTATATATAATGGAGAATAATTGTAAAACAATTTTAATATTATTTATCTAATTATTCGAATAAAGTATTAGTAAAAAAATAAAAAAAATAATTAATTAATTATTATTAGTAAAATTATTCGTAATAATTAATAAAAAATAATTTGATAAATATAAAAAATGTATAAAAATATTGTAGGGGGAATTAAAAAAAAAAAAAAAAAAGTGAATTGCAGGCATCCTGAAATGTTGAAATTTTAGTGACTAACTTTAAAACTTCGTCTAGTGTATACACTTATTCGATAGTATCTGTCCAGTTTACTTACTCTTACTCTCACCTCTTTGCTCGACTCGAATGGTTTAAGTCGTAGCAGCAGCAGCGCACGAAAGTTTTCTTGCATCATCGATATATAGAGGTCGAAGTGTTTCGCTCTAAGGATATAGTAAAAATGTAATTTACAATGTTCTGCCATGAGAAATGGCACCTGCAAAATGTTATTCATATAAAACTACTGCCAATTGAACTCGTTCTTTTTTTCCTTTCTCCTTGCGATAAACTATAAAAAAAAAAATTTCATTTACAAACATTTGAACTCATCTTGAAAATTGTACCTGTTCTTCTCATAATTATTTTATACCAGAGATTTTTTTTATCTTTTCATTTAAATTATAATAAAAAAAATTTATACCTCAATAATTAGCTAATTTAATTATTTGAAACTAGATAATTTTCCTCTAAACTATAATTTTTCTCTAAGTGATTGTTAAATTATTTGTCTATCGTAAAACAAACTTATTATTACTTAACTCTAATTTTTTCTAATATTTGTCCTTATAATTATATAATATTTTATTTTTACTGGTATAAACAAAGTCAATAAACGGATAATTATTCAAAAAAAAAAAAGGATAAACAAAAACAAAATGTAATAAAATTATCTAAATTATTTATTAAAAAAAATTTATTGTTGATTTTACTAACAGTAAATAAATGAAATAAATATGCAAAAAACCAGTTTAAGTGAGGAGGGTACGTTACAAGTCAGACAAGTGAAAAGAGACATTTACTGAAAGACAAGTAGAAACGGAAATTTATTGAAAGACAAGCAAGGGTCAAGTGCCTGATGTTTTTCAAGAATGAAATGAATTACATTGAAACGATAATAATTCTCTCTTTTTTTTTTATTTAATTCAATCAATTGCTATATAATTTTGTCATTTATTAGAAACTCCCTCTCTCTTTTTTTTACTTTTGCAAATAATTAATAATAAAAGTACAATTTAATGGCAACCCAATTAAAAATAAATTTAAAATAGAACATTCTTTTTTTTTACACATATTTCATAATCATAAGCCATTCTAATGTTATATAAATGATCAAACGTAAAATTAACTAAGACCCAAAATAGAAGAAAATGATTTAATAATATGTATATATATATATATATATATATAAAAGTGTGATTGCTGAAATTTCGAACGTGATTTCATTAATTCACTTTTAAATCCTTTTTTTAATACATGAAATTTATTATACAAAAATTTTGAAATAATTAAAAATTTCACAATTTAATTTTTCTTTGTTCTCATTTTTTTTTTTTTTTTGTCGAAATTTCTCTTACGAATTTGTGAATAAAAAACTTAGAAAAAAAGATAGAAACTAAAAACTGTTCTTTGTCAAACGAAAAATTTATTTTCCATATATTTGGATATGGAAAATAAATGTATATTTTCTGTAATTTAATTAGATGTTTTATTTTATTTCTTGTACTTTTCCCACTGTAAATAATATTTTTTTCCCTGTATATTTATTTGCCATTTTTAAAAATAATATTTGCTATTATTATTTCTATTATTTCAAAGAATTTCAAATTTTTGTTCTAGGAATTTTAAAAAATTATATTAATTTATTTAAAAACTAAAATTACGAAAAAATAATTTAAATCAGAAAATTGATTATAATTAATTAATTATTAATTGGAAAATTAATTAGAACATTTTTATTTGTAAAAATAAAAAAAAAGATGAAACAAACAATGATTAATCTTTCAATAAATTTCACGGATCTCTTAATATTCTTTATATAAATAATTACCATTGTTAATGAAGTTTCAATTCATTTGTGAATCCCCGAATTTTTTGGGTCCGTAATAAACGGCCATACGGTCCTGAATCAGTAAACCGATAAATGACCGGTAGACGTTGGGCCATATTATGTCGGTCATGTTACCTCAGTCTGCAACGGACTCACCAACCTAACGTGTCGAGTTGAGCTGGCTGCAAATTATAGTGTTTAACGCCTAACGAAAAAAAAAGAAAAAAAACAATCGTATACGGTCGCTTGGACGCGTCACATTTTTTTCGGCCAGTGTTCCAAGGGAGGATCCAATATTCTCCTTGTAAGTGATTTAAAATTAAACAATTTATAATTGTTAATTTATTTTACTTTGCCTCCTTTTTGACTTCAAATATCGCGGGGCTGCAAATCCCTTTCTATTCTTCAAGACCTCAACACGTGGAAAACCTGAAAAAGTTTATGTAATTAACAAACTATTTAACTTTGTAACAGTGATCGTGTTCAATAGAAAATATATTTTATTATTTTCAGTGAATAAAAAAAAAAATTACTGATATTAGTATTTTTTAATAATTAGTCAATATAATTTTTTTTTTTATTGATTTCTTATGATTTTTAATTAATTATTGTTTTTTGCTTAAAAATTAAATTCTCTAATTATTTTTTTTCAATTATTCATAAGTTGACTCAATTTTTTCTAATTTTTATACTATCTCAAATCATCAATTTATTGAAAGGAAATTTTTTTTCTTTGACGACAAAATTATTTAAATTTTATTTGAAAAGAATAATTTTATGAAAACAAAAAAAAAAAATTGATGTTCTGTGTATAATGTATTCTAATCACGAAAAACATTTCATTTCCTTTTGTACTTTATGCAACAAAAGCAACTATTTTAAAATGATCGTATCATCAGAAGAAAATTATATCCAAGAGTTATACGAATGCGTTTAAGAATAAAACGTTTGACTTTTACTCGCGACATTATTAAAATGCACAATAAATAAATTTTATTTGCACATATCATTTCACTTTTAGAAATTCAAGGAACAATGTTTTTTTTTTTTTTTTTTTTTTATTTTAAAAGTAACTATTTTTTAAATTACATTTTTGAATAAAATTAAATACTCCATGAAAATTTTTAATTATAATTAAAAAAACATTTTTTTTTTCAATAAGGACTGAAAAAAATAATTCACGAATTCAGGCAGAGGGGGAGAAAAATATATTTTCTTTAGGAAAGTTTGTTCGGTTAAAATTTCTCAAAGTCAAGGATAGTGCGGTTGATTCTTATAATGACAGTAATCTCTTCAGGAGAGGAAAGCATTGTTTTATTTCTATAATACGTGAACAAACGTGAGATCATAATAACGGAATAATTATTTTGATTTAAAGGAGGAAAAAAAAAGTTAGCGACTGACGAACTGCGAAATCGACAATTACAAGGGTGATTAGCTTCATTGTTCATTTGTCACTTCTATAAAAAAAATAATAAAACAAAAAAAAAACTATACGCATATATTTGCATCGTTAAAAAAAAATTTTTTTTTCTCTTAAGCTATTTACAAATTAAAACAATAAATAAATTTTTTAAACAAAAATTCAGAATAAAAGCACCTACTAAAAGTTATTTATAAAATTAATTTTTTTAAATATAATTTTAAAAAATTATTTATTCCTTTCAGTTTCTAATTTCTCGATTATTTTTTTCTATATTCTCCGTTATTACAAGATCAAGTTTCAAACAAATTATAAAAGATGAAAAAAAAATTGCATAAATATATAATAGGTAAATTATAAAAATGTTATTTCAAGTACAAATTGTTTTTGTTTAATAGTGCACTTCCTTAACGTGAAATTCATATTTTGCCACACTTTAAAAGAAATAATATTTAACGAAAAGTATGCAATTTCTTGTTATTGCCAATCGTGCTTACTACCAATTACTTCCAATCACGTGATTATATTTCACAGCAAATGCAATGCTGTTATAGGTGAAATACATATTCATGATTAAAACACGATTTCGCATATGTATGTTGAAAAATTTCGCTACATATTCAAAATGCACCTTTCCTAATACCCGACATTTGATAATAGTAATATTCTCATTTATTGATAATTATAATATTGAAAAAAAAAATAATAATAACTATTTTGTTTTACATTATTATTTTTTCTAATAATAATTAAATAAATAATAATAAAAATAGTATTATTTTTCTTTTTTATTATTATTACTAAAATAATAAATCTTGTTAATAATTATGGAAAAAATAATATTGTTATAAATATTAAATTACAATAATATAACAAGTCTATATTTCTATAATTTGATTTAGAAAGTCAGTGACTCTTCCTTGTTCTAAAAATAAACTTCATTAGAAGTCAATTGACATGAGATTTATAACTACATGTTACATAAACAATCCTATTTTTTTATCTTTTTTATCCAGGATTGTAACAATCAATTATGTTAATTTGGAAAATTAATGTTTTTTTTTACATTATTATTTTCAATTTAAATAAAGGTGTGATTTGCATTTTTAAATAAAAACTTTACTCTACTTTTATGTTTTACATAATCGTATTCATTTTAAGAATTTGCACTTGAGTTTAAAACTGGTTTCTAAAAGAATTCCAAATTATGCTATATTTATGATCAACGACAAAGTCAATATTGTTAAAAATTTCTGGATGAAGCGCAGAATTTTTGTATTATTTGACGAAAATTTCATAATGAAATTAGATTTCAGAAAATTGTCAATACTTTTTTTTCAAATGATGAAAATATGAAAGACGAAGATTAAAAATAACTTGTTGCATTATGTATTTATAATTGTGAACATGTAATTATTTCCTAATGATCTTTTTTACTATTATCATTTTTAACTGATTTTTTATTTAGTATTCAAAACTTGTTTATTTATTGTTTTAAGCTTCAGATTGTGTTTTAAAATTTATAATAAAATTTCTTTCAATATTTTCAAAATTAAATATTAAAATATTAAATAATATTCAGTAACAATATAAAATATTAAGTATTTTAAATTCTTTCGTGAAAATTATTTGTATTATTTAATCATTTAACCTTTTACACAAAATATAATTTATCTTTAGAAATTTATCATTAGAATGTCAACTTGAATTAAACAGAAAAGATAAAATTTTACGTAATATATAAGAAAATAGAAAATCAAAAGTTCAAAATGATTACACTATTGGATAAATTTGTTATCATATATGAAAGATCAGGAATTTTTTTTTCATTTTATATAATAATAAATTAAAAATAATTGTTTGAATAGAAATGAAAAATTTTATATTTAACTGATAATGTTACCTATGTTTCTTTGCAGAAAATTAATCCAGATCAGCAATTCGTTTGAAAATCATGACGGAAGTGAAAATAGAGGAGTGGCCAGATAGAATAGCTGAAGTATTCAAAGGTCGTGAAATTTTACTCACAGGAGGCACTGGATTTTTAGGAAAAGTTATAATTGAGAAATTTTTGAGATGCCTGCCAGAAATTGAACAAATTTATCTTCTTGTCAGGCCAAAAAAGGGAAAAGATCCAAAACATCGACTGGATGATATATTTAATTCTGCTGTAAGAAAAAAAAATAAATTTTTTTAATTAGCTATTCTTAATTACAAACTAATTTATTTTTTCAATTTCGAGAAGATAGTCAAAGACAAATAAAAATTCAAAATAATTAATAATTTAGACATAAAAATAAAAAAAAAAATAAACTAAAGCGAAGATGTTAAGAACAACGAGTGTTAAATTCTGATCTCACAATATTACGTATTATTACAAAATCAACCTGCAAAAGTAAAAGTGTATTGCACGGAGAGAAAGTCTATATACCTATACAACAAGATACATCGTTGCTTGTGTTCGGAAGCTGTATAATTGTGCAATGACTCATTGGCGTGCAAACGTTTATTCTATTAGTTGCAAAGAATTTGCGTACGAATGATATTTGTTTAAACGAGGCCAAGAAAAAAAAAAATAAACGAATAAAAAAGAAATCAAGTGAAATAAAATACTCTAAAAGCAAACTAAATTAAAACCTACGATTTTTTTTACATTTTCCATGTAATAAGCACTTTCTCAAATCAAATTTCCAGTTTAAACATGAAATCAAAACAAGATCTGAATTTTTTTTTTTTTTTTAATTACTCAAATAACTATTATTTTTGTTTCTTTAAAAAAAAATTATTTCTTTCCCTGAGGATAAAAGTTGTTAACTTACAAGTTAATATTTAAATATTTTTCTTTAAGTTTCGAAGGTTTTTTTTCTTTTTCAAAAAATAATTTTACCTCTTGGTGAAATAAAGAGAATTTTTTCGAAATAACAATAATTTCATTTTAAACATGGAAAATAAACTTCATGAAAAATATGTCATTTAATGATTCAGGACACTATTCTGGAAATTATATAAGAGAACTCGATTCTCCTGAATTCTGCACAAAAAAAAAAAATTGCAAAGTCATGTCATTACTTGCAGGAATAATTTAAATTCAATAGTAAACCTAGTTCTCAAGCAGGTTTTCATATTTTTCGTTTTATAAATTTTACATGTATATGTATATTATTTACAGAGTAAAAAAAAAAAATTAAAGTTTGTTTTTGTGGGAAGTAAATTCGTCAGGGAAAGCGTCTTGGGCCTGGTTATAATACTTATTGCAGAAACAGAGTCAAGGCCTCGTTCAAACATATAACCGAACGAATATTATCGCATGGTGAAAGTATTAAAGCTAATATATGTTATGTCATTATATCTTAACTGAACATTCTAACGCAATATCAGACGTACATCATCGTATGACGAGAGTTACGTCAACGAGGTTCAATAAAACAAGGCCAGGGTACTGGAATTTACTTCCAATTGATTATACCCCCCAAAAAAAGAAAATTCAAGTCAAGAGCAAATCATTAACTTTCGTATTTTCAATGAGAAAATTAAGAATTTCGAAAATTGCCATCAATTTCAAAATGAAATTACAATAATTGTTTAAATTCAATTTCAATTTTAAGACAATTTTTTAAAATTAAATTAAAATTGAAGCTGATCCTTGAATTTTTTTAAATGAAAAACTTTTTATCTAACAAAATCATCTTTTACAATATCGAACTTTTTTTTATTCATGAATGATTTGAATATTTTTGCATACGTTGAATTAATTTAAAGGATGTCGACGTGACTTTTATCGAAAAAAGAATATTAAAATAAAACAAAATCCTGAAAGGCCAACGACACTTCTCTGACTCAAACGGGAATTCCTGCAACTCAAGGCAGAATGCAAAATGAGGAAAAAAAAAGAATGAAGGTTGAATTTGAATCATTGTAAATATAAAAAATTATTTCGAAAAAATTCTCTTTTGTTAAATTTTCAAGACAATTGGAAAAAAAAAATTACTGTCAAAATGTATTTTTTTCAATTATGTTGCATTTTTAATAAAAAAAATTTTCTCAATTGTAGTTTTCGACCTTTAAAATATTCAAGGATACTTGAAACAAAATGTTCATAACATGCAAATTCAAGGCAATCATGTAAATCATTTGATTATGTGATAGGAAATCAACTACACATAATGACGCGAATGGCAAGATAGAAAAAAAAATGATTACCATGTTAAAAAAAAAAAAATTGCAAAACTTTCTAAAACCAAAAAAAAAGGGGAATTATAGTTTATTACTCTAAACAGGTCAAAGTCACGTTACGAAACGTTGCAATAGTAAAATTTATCACTTTAGGAAGTTTGAATTTTTTTTCTTAACGAATTATTTACAAATCGAATTTTATTTATTAACTTGTATATGAAAATTATTATTTGTAATTAAATAATTTCAAATTAAATTACTTATTTTTAATATTGAACTATTTACTTTTAATTAAATAAAATAATTGTAAATTTTCGATTTGCTTACCTAATTTTAAAATTATTTTTCAGCTTTTTGAAAAAGTCAAAGCACAACGAGGAATTGAATCTCTGAAAAAGTCCGTAACCGTAATTAGCGGTGATGTATCGTTACCAGGATTGGGAATATCAGCAGAGGACAGAAAATTGATATGTGAAAATGTCAGCATTGTTTATCATGGAGCGGCCACAGTCAGGTGTTATAATATCTGAAAAAAAGAAATTAGTTTTTTAAAAAAAGAAACTTATAATTTTTAAATTATTATTTTTTTTTTAGATCTTTTTATGACTGATATAATTGTAAATGATTGTCTAAATTAATTTTTAATTAGGTTTGATGAACTACTTAAAAGAGCTGTTTTGCTCAATACTCGTGGGACAAAACAAATGTTAGACCTGGCTAAAGAAATGAAAAATTTAATTTATTTTGCACACATCAGCACTGCCTATTGTCATCTCGAAGAGAAGGTATAATTTTTTTATTAATTAACGATTAAATTATATTTTAATAAATAAATATTTAATACCTAACTTTCCATAGCTTCTTGGCGAAAAACCATATCCACCACCTTCGAATCCACATAAAATTATCAAATGTGTAGAATGGATGGACGATGATGTTGTAGAGGCAATGACTGATAAAATTTTGGGAAATTTACCAAATACTTATGCATTCACAAAAGCCTTGTCCGAAGGTCTTGTCGAAGAAGCAATGCCACATATTCCAGCAGTTATTTTGCGGTACACAAAATTTGATTGTTCCAGAAAAAAAGAAAAATTAATTTAAAAAAAGTTCTTTAAAATTCTATACAATTGTGCATTATTTTCTTTTTTTTTCTAGACCAAGTATAGTGATTCCAGTTTGGAAGGAGCCTGTGCCAGGTTGGACGGATAATATTAATGGACCAACAGGACTTTTAATAGGAGCTGGAAAGGGAGTTATCAGAACGATGTATTGTAATGAAAATGGTTACGCTGATTATTTACCAGTTGATATTGCAGTTAATGCAATATTAACAGCTTCTTGGAATTATATTTACTGCAAAGAACATCATAAAAGAGTTTATAATCTCACTAGTAGCAGTGATTTTAAGGTTGATGATTACTATTTAGATAATTTTTTTTTTGTAAATTATAATTTTTTATTTGAATTTTCTTCGCAGGTAACATGGGCGGAAATTATAGAACGAGGTCGTCGAATTACGGAAAAAGTTCCTCTCAATGGCGTTGTCTGGTATCCTGGTGGTAGTATGAAAAAAAGCCGTCTCATGCACAATATTAGTGTTCTTTTCTTTCACATGATTCCTGCCTACATAATTGATGCCCTTATATTTCTCGCCGGACACAAACCAATGTAAGATTATTCTAAAAAAAAAAACGCGATTCCTTTTTTTCATATAAAAAACGGAATCACAATCTTATAAAATTTTTTTTTTTTTAATAGAATGTGCAGAGTACATCGACGCATTCAAAAAGGTTTTGAAGTTTTTGAATATTACGCCAATAATCAATGGGATTTTGTAAATACAAATATTGCAGAAATTAGAGATAAATTAAATCCACGTGAAAAAATGTTGTATCAAATTCACGGTGATGATTTGGATTTGGATGCTTATTTTGAAGCTTGCATAAGAGCTGCAAGAGTTTATATTCTAAATGAACCGCCAGAAACACTGCCTTCTGCTCGTAGACATATGAAAGTGTAAGAAAATTTTATTTGCAAATAAGTTTTAATTTTTAAAAATATTTTCTCCAAATTTAAAAAAAAAAAAATTGTCCAAACAATTTTAGCGCGGTTTTTAAAACTAGCCAATCACAAGTCATTTACAGCATAGTGATTGGTTAGTTTTAAATCTCGCGCATAATTCTGGACAAATTTTTTGTATGTTTATAAATTTTCTTTTATATTAATTTTTCAAAAAAAATTTTTTTTTTAATATTCAGAATGTACTGGGTGGACGTGATCACGAAAATCCTCTTCTTCGTCTTGCTCATTTACATGTTCGCATGTTGGAGCGAAAGTTTTCGAGAATTACTAGCTCGAGGCTGGGAATTAGTCACTCGACAACTAACATCTTAATTTATAATTTTTTTTTTTTTTTAGACCATAACTTATATACTTTTGTACTTTCGACCAATTTTTAGGTCATTGAAAATCGACTGCAAAACATTTCACAGATACATAAAAAGTTATTTACATTTCATTATAAAAATAATTTTTTTTTATACTTATTAAAAATCATGCATACTTTTATTTAAATTCTAGAAGATAAAGACAAAAATTATTTAACAAAAAAAAATTAGCTAATACGAAAATATGTACTCTACTTTGTAATAAAATTTTTTTTAACAAAAAAAATGGAACTACAAAAATGGAAAATTTAACCTTCGAGAATTTAAAATTGTAATTGATAATAAAGGGACTATAAATTTCAATATTTTTTTTGTCGATTTATTTTAAAATATTGAAAATAAATTTTTTTTTAAATATATATATTTTATATATATATTAATAGTGATTTAAGAAATGTATACAACATACCGAGTAACTGCTTGTGTGGTTAAAAGGAATAAAAAAAGAAAAGGAATTCAAAACATGTTCACCGTTTCGTGGTTTTTATTTTTAAAAATTAGAAATAACACCACTTCAGACGGATTCTTGAACTGGTGGTTCGTAGCCTTCTGGTCTATCAACTTTCGAACCAGCTTCACCACCCTCACCACCTTTACTTCCACCTCCATCCCCGTGTAATTCCAACAATTTGCTCAATTCAAAACGGGGTTTCTTTAATACCTTAACCTGTAAACAAAATTGAAAATTTATTTCCAGTTAATCATATTAACAATATATTTATAAAAAATCAATTTTGTTTTTTCAAGAAATAAAAATAGCTTTTTATATTACACACCTTACGAATATAGACATCATGAAGTGGGTAAATTCCCTGACAAGCTTTCTCAATATCCTTGGCAATAGCATCGGGTAAAAGTTTACTAACAACGCCCTTGAGGTCACTTTTAGAGATGTCCTCGTTGATGATTTCTACCATCTTCTTGCGAATGTTGCGCACCTAAAATGATAAAATCTCAATAATTACACAATTCTTCAATTACTAATTTAAATAAAGTACAATTTTTAAATATTTTCAATTTAAAAAATTGTTGCGACTACAAATAACACTGTAGCCATTCAATAACAACAGTGTGGTAAGAGAGTCCATTTAATCTACGCAAAACTTAATACCACTGAAATATTACAAATTACAACAGATCAAAGATTGCGTTTGTTACAAAATTCTAAAAACAAAAAAAAAATTCCATCTCTTACTTGAGAATGTTGAGCGTAACACGTTTTTCTTGTGCTCTGTTGATCTTTGTTCGTGAAACCAATACAGAATACTCTCAAAAGATATCCGTCTGTGGTTTTAACATCAACGTGTGCCTCAATTAAAGTTTGCCATTTTTTCACCATTGATCGAAGTTTGTCAGTGGTGAGATCCATACCATGGAAATTGGTCAAGACATTACGTCCTTGAACATCTTCGGCGATGAGTCTAAATTTTCTGAAGGATCTCTCGGCATCGTTATCACTTTGAAGATCAGCAAGTGAAACTTCAAATACTCGGAATTTCAAACCTTCGGAGGCGATTTCTAAAGAAATGATAAAAAAAAAATTTAATATTCTTTCTAAATCAATAAGAATCATAAAAAGAAAATATTCTACTATTCTATTATATATAATATCTAATATTCTATTATTTATATTAAATAAAATAAAATGTCGCAAACACCAAGTTTATCGTTACTGTGAAATAAGTAACAAAATGGTAATGATGTGTACTTTTTTTTAGCAACATAAAACGCCACAAAAGTTTTGAATCACTAAAATGGAGCTGGAGTTGCATTATTTTAATACATTAATCAATAAATTTAATTGTAAAAAATTGAAAATTTAAGAAAATATTGAGACAAAATTACAAAACTTACTTGTTCCTTGAGTCCTGTTAACCAAAGTTTTACCGACCTGGCGGCTGGTAAACATCGATGGTGCTTTAACATCATACCAATCTTTGCGAGTGAATGGGTCGACACTATCAAAATAATAAAATAATTTTAGATACATCTACAAGATGTATTTTAGATTAAAAAAAACAATTAAATCATAATGCTAATACTAAAAAAAACGTGACTAAAATAATTTCACATATTTTTAGGTTAGGTTAAACTCCAAAAAAAAAACACATTTAAAAACCAAAGCAAACGAAATTAAATTAGACCTTACAAAAATTACAAAGTACTCATTAAACAAAAATTTATTAGTTAAATAATAGAAACAAAAAAACAAAGTTCAGTGAAATAAGTAAACAAATTACATTCTAAATAAAATAAAACAAATATTTGTATTCTATTCAGAAAATCACTGTATTGAACAATTATACCAAAATATTTTGTTTTAATACAAAATAGATATTAAAAAATAAGGAAAATATAAGAGGCATGGAAGATTTCAAGTGTCACACGCGTTAAGAAATCCATTATAATCACGAACATCGTCGAGCACAACACAAAACCAAAACATTTTTTATATCCAATAAAGCACAAATTATAATGCACAATAAATATAATTTACTCACATCTTCTTTTTGACGCCTTTTTTGCCTCCTTTTGAAAGTCCCTTATTTTTACCCACCGCCATGTTTGCGGTTTACAACGGAAAGAAGTGTGCGACGTGCACAGAAGAAAAAGGCGGAAGTGAAACGAAACTACTGCGACCTATCAGCGACATTTGTAACTATCACAATTCAAATTGCGCATGCTTACAATTACTTTTTAAATTTACTTAAACAAATTTATATTTTTAAAACATTAATTTTTACCACATTGTTATTTTTATTATTAGTTTTTAAAAAAAGATAATTTTTACTAATATACAATGTATTAGGAGTGTTTTACATGTTTAATAATTCAAATAAGCGCGCTCTCACTTACCTCAAGCATGCGCAGATAACTTCACAACAGTTACATGCATTTACGCACTTACGTAGCGACAAGTATTTCACGGGATACTCTGTAAACACCAGGTAAACAGCGTAAACACATAACAATCAGTGCAAAGGTGCAAAAGTAAACATAACCTGATTTTCCCTAGTATTCTTTTTTTTCTAAGTTATATTTATTTATGAATATTAAATAATAGGTTTAAAAATTGTCCTCCAATTGAAAACATAATTGATCATTGTGAAGTTAGTTGTCTCGAATGAAATCGATGTTACAATCATATAAATCGATATAAAAGGTGTTCAAGTCATTAACGGACGTTGGGAAAAGTTTATTAATCAGTGAGACAAAAACAAGGAGAGTGGCTGTTCCAAATGATTAGAAAATCGGAGTGAAGGCAACTCGCATGCGCGTGTATGAGTGAAAAGCAGGAAGATGAAAAGAGAGATAGAGGTAAGTGTTAGTCAATAAGAGAATGGAATGATTGAGAGAGACAGAAGTGTAGATCGAATGGCGGGGGTACTGTAGATGACACCTGTAGCTCGAGCTGATCAGTTTCGCCGCGACTGTCATCGTTGATACATTATTGTTTTTGTGTACAGATGTTCATTATTTTATGTGACGTGCACGTGACAAATTATTGCATACTGAATAATCATTAAGTGCGACAGGTGGGTGTTATTTCTCAACGTGTTTATTGTCATTAGTTTTATCGCGACTAATTTATTCTATTTACTGTTTTTCGTCTTATCCGCAACCGTTTAATTTTTCCCTTATTCCCCTTCCCCCTCTCCCTACAATTTAAACAAGTTTGATTAGCTCCTTGTAAACAGAAGACATAAATGTTTAATATTCCAGTGAATCGTAGATAATAGCATTTTTTTACTTTTCATATAATTATTTAGTTTCTCGAATTATGAACGTTAATTTTAGCTAGTTGATGTGGTAAAAGAATGTCAAATTGAAAATAGAACTTTCCTAGTGAAGGTTAATCCACCTACGCCATCTGTGTTAGTTTTTCGCGGACCGTTATATTTTGAAAATTTTTGTGTTATAATCGGATCGTGGATAGTTATTGTAATGTTGATTTTTTTTCGGTAAAATTAATAGCATGTTTCATGTTTATTACATATTGAAAGTTAAAAACATGGAGTGTAGACGTGGAGCCGAACAGGTTTTATTCTTTAAGATGAAGCATGGATTCTTACGTTCTTAACTGAAAATAGAAAGGTAACTACTGTTCACCATCAGGCTTTAAAAGAAGATAATTTTCTTGGAAGTGATTAACGCGCAATTAACATTTGAAATGGATTTATATCGTGTTTTCGTGTTTATTTTGTAAATCAAGTGATTAATTTTTGATATATAAAAAAATTATAGGTTAAGTTTGTCAAAAGTGATAATATTGACGAGTTTGCTCTATTTTGCGAACGTCGCCATTTATTGGCAATACGTCAATGATGTAAATATTAAATGACAACAATATTCGAGAGGTATTTATATACAATTTTTTTTTCCTTTTCTTTTTATCTTTTTCATATATTAAAACGAGAGTAGATACAACAAGAAATAGGTTAGGTGTTACAAAATTTTTTCTAACTTTTATACCTCTTTGCATCAATGTTTTTATATTACATAGTTTAAAAACTTATAATTGATCGACCTAGAATGAGAAGTAAATGATGAAATAATGATGCAATTATTATATACAGATAATTGCGGAATTCTTGAGGTTTTTCAAGTTTGTTATTATTTTAATAACGTATTAATCTTTCCTTTGTTGGAACGTTTGTTTTCGTAACTTAACCTAAGATTATGTGTCTGAAATTTCAATTCCGATTCTAAAATGGTGATTGTTTTTTTCATTAAAATTAAATATTTAGAGGTTAGAAATTTTTAAATTGAAAATAAATCGGTTGTAGTTTTTTTTAGAATATTTTAATTGTAGATATTTTATTTTAGTACGCAGTAAATTGTTTTTATAGGTGTTTTAATCTTTAAACGTTATTGATTTAAGAATCTTTATTAATTATTTAAAGAATATCTGAAAGTATAACTTCTTAAACGGTTATTGGCGTTGTACGAGTTGTCTTCTTGTTTTCATGTTAATTATACATGTATATCAACATCAGGATCAGATTATTGTTCAGTAGAGCCCAAGGCTGTAATTTGAGATAACGATTTGTATAATATACTCTTTTTCTATTCAAAAGTAATATTTTGAATTTGAAGAATTATTCAAATTAAAATGTTTTGTTTCTATTTTTCAAATACTTTCAAATATGTAAAAATTGAAAACAAATTTCAATTTATTACAATTATAAATTATTCAAAATATTTTAAAATTGTTTTTTTTTTATTTTTACAGACGAACATATACGGCGACATTAAAAAAAATTGAATTTAGAATTTATTAAAATCTTTCTCTTTCTCGTTGATTTGACGACATTATCTTTAAAACATTAAACGACTGCTCCTACCACCTTCGACCTGCTAATCGCTTAGACTTGGACATTTAGCGAGGCGACAGAAATCTTACTGCTTTTTAGCACAGTATGTCGATTATCAAGGCGATACTCTTTCGATATTTTATAGATCATGATAAATCTTCAATTAATTCACAATATCCTGGTTTCATATGGTAACGCTTTTACTATATACTAGTGACGTAAATGTGACACAGAAATCGTGAAATGTGTGAAAAATTGGAGAAAATAATAGACAACAAAAATCAGGTACAATAATTAAATATTTATTATTTTCTCTTTTTTCTTCTCTTGAATTTTTCTATTATTTTTCGATTTAGAATTTATAATAGACATTTCTTATCAAAAAGGATAGAATTATTACCACTCAATTATTATCGCTTGATTGCATTGATAACGGGGTTTAATTTCAAAACCTTCAAGTTAGAAAAAAAAAAAAACAGCTGAAAGTACATTATTGAAGGTTTTGTTGACTTTAAAAATTAGATATTTATTTTTATTATAGTAAATTTTGTAGTTTTGGAAATTTAAAAATTTTTTTTTAATTTGTAATTTCAGTTATATTTCGTTATTTCAACGCACTTTATTCAGAGAGATACATCAGGAAGTTAATGGAAACACTTTCGTTTGTAAAAAAAAATTCCTTCGAGTGAAATCAGAAAGATGGACGAATTTTTGAATTTGTATATATATATAGAGAAAAAGTAGATATATAGCAAAGTGATCGTGCACAAGTCAGTATAGAGAAAGGCAATGGGAAGGGAAGGCGGAGTTGCGAGACGAGGAGGAAGAAACACAGATTGGACAGGTTGAGCTCCGCATCGTCTTGCATTCCAAGAGGCAGCGGATTCCGGAGCGTTTTCATCGGGGAAGTGGAACGCTTACGGTATAACCATTTTCCCCGCAACTCAAGGAGCTTCATCGCTTTTTAGAGAGCAAACCAAATGACATTGAATTGAAAAATCTTGGATATCTCTATAGTTTTTGATGGATGCTTATCGTTGTAATCGTGATTTACGTCCTTGAATCACGTAACGCTTTTACTCTTCTTTGACTTTTCACTTGGTTATAAAACCCCTTCCCCTCCCCTTATTTGCGAGTAGGTTCATATTTTCTCCTCGATCTCAATATTCTTACCAAAAAAATTATTTAAAGCCTTTTCTAAAATTATTTACTGTTATCGGTATTTATTTTCAAATAAATTAAAATTCGAAATTGTCCTTTTCAATTTGGAAGTTTGTAGTAATAAAAAAGAAAATAGTGATATTATTGAAGGCAAACCAGAAGTAGTTGCAGGTAATTAAAATTTCCTCTTTCGACCTGCTTAACAGAGGGGCAACTTCCATAAATTGTCGCACAAAAGTTGTTTTAACGGATTAGAAAGGATCTTTGAAAATTATCCTTGTATACAATAATGTGTAGGAATTTCCCAAAATTTTTTTTTTTTTTGAAAAATAGTTGACAGATGATTTTATAACTGAACATCTTTTCAAGTAAAATAGTCATAAATGTAAGGAACAAAAGAAATGGAAAATATTTGTTACGACCTGCAATTTTGTTAAATATTTTTTTTTCTATTTTATGAAATTGAATATTCTGGTACTCTTATTTATTATTTATTTATTTTTTTTTGTACACTGAATTTAAGACAAAAAGTTACGAAAACAATATTTAATTTTGTTTTTTTTTTCATGAAAACCAGTTGTTTTATCAGATGTTATCAGTTAGTTTTTTACCCGTTATTATAAAATCCAAAGAAACCGGTGTCTTATTACTAAGAACTTTTGATTATGCAATATTATTGATGAATTGTCATTGATATTTCTAATTGATTTCAATAATCAACTTTTTCTCAATGGATTAAAATATATTAAATATTTCTATGATTTTATTCGATTTCAATTAGTTTATTAATTAATTTAATTTAATTTTTTTCTATCGACTTTTTTAATTTAATTTTTGATTTCCATATATGGATGAGTTAATTATTTTGGTTATTCATCAAGTTTACGTATGTTTACATGTAAACTAAATTTTCCGCCTAGTTTTCAGAGACAATATAAACTGAACATAGAACTAGTTGCCCTGTAGAAACCGATTTCTATTGTGATAGCTGGGTGAAACAATGGAACGCCTAGACTTTGTCGGAGAGAGTGTGTGTGGTCATTTATTGTTACACTTGTCTAACCTTATTCAACATTAAACCTCCATTTGTTGTCATTTGTTTTGTACGCGATATGGTGTCCCATTGCGTCTCTTTTTTCCATTGATATTTAGAATTTTGTAGAAAGCTAAAAATCAAAGAGTAGAAAAATCGGCTGAAAGAAATTTTTTTCCATTTGTATTTTCTTTAATTGTTTTGTGATACTAGATAATTAAATTTTTTTTAATGTTTTGATTTTTATAGTATTTTTTGAATTAGATTTTTTTTTTTTTTGGTTTTTATTTCCAATGGGATGTAATATGAATTGGTGAATGCAAGTTTGAAAATGTCAGCAACTTGCCAAGCGGGTCGTTTGCCCTTGTGAGCATGTAATGAAACACTTTCGACTTTCGACTCTGACAGCGACTCCTAGCAATAACAACTGTTAACCAATACAAGTAGAAGGATCTCTTTATAATAACTATATACAACGCCCACAATCGAAAACACCTGCAGTTTTTTTTTTTTCATTTTCCAATTTTTTTTCCCCCGGTTTGTCTCAAATGGCAAATTTTTCGAAATTTTCCTGTTAATTTCTCATTTAATGTTAATTTATTTATGTCTATTTGTTTATGTTCGTTTTGCGGTTGCTTTGTATATATTATATTTATGATTCTCATGACATCTCACTTGAATAGGATTTCGAAACATGTTATTTCTCAAATGTATTTGCAAAAAAAATTTTTTTCTTATTTAGAATTTTTTTGATAAAATTTGAGATTTTTTATTAAAAAATTGTTGATTGACAAAAACAATTAGGGAATAAATAATAATTTGCATAAAAGGGTTTTGCAGGTTGATAAATTCAATTGCTGATAAATAGAAACAATTTTCTTTGTCTGGCAGGTTATACATATATCTATAGGTGTGCGCGCCATTGTAAACTCCAATTGCCAATCATTTGCTCGGCTGGAGAGCACGTGGCTAGTGGTTTTGCAAGGCGCGTAAAACACTCACAATGATAAAACATAGTTAGGAACATTCGCTTTGCTTCCTGATTTCTCTTCGCACATAAGTAAATATACGCGAGTTGAATATTTTCGCAAAAAAAAAAAAAAAAAAAAAGTTTTCCTTTACGCGGGAAATTATTTTTCCTTTCGCCATTCGAAAATTGAGCATCAATTTATTTTCATTTTATTATATTCTATTCTCAATTTTCATTATTTAATTTTAATTCGAAAATCAATTTTATTTGAAATTCGTTTTTTTCCTATTAAATTATTATTTATCCCTTTGGTTATTTTAGACGATTATTTTCTATTTTGGTACAGAGGAAAGCGATTTTGAATCTTTTTATATTTTACCAGAAGTATTTTTATTTTTTTCTCGTTTTTGAGAGAAAAAGGGACATTAAATACGATCTGAAAAAATATATACTTGAAAATTAAATCTAAAATCAATTTATTGTAGAATTATATAATTTTATAAAATTACTGATAATCAAATTTTAATTTGCTGGCAAAAATTAATTGTAACTTTTGACTAATAATTAACTATAATAATTCTCCAATTGTCACTTGAAAATTTGATTATCAATTTTTGAAAATAATTTTTGCAATTCGATTCATTTCTTTATTAATTTAAATCGTAATTAATTTTTCCTTCTCTTCATTCTTGTATGAAACGTGATGAATATTCGAAATACTTAAAAATATTTTGAATTCTTATAAATCAACAGAAACATTTCTCGTTCTTTCTTTACCAATTTTATTTTTTTCTCATTATATAATTTATGCCAAAAACTATTTTCAAAATCAATTTTCAAAATCAATTTTCAAAATATTGATTAAAAAAAAAATGATTTACTATTGTATGAACAGGCTACGATTATTTATTTTGAGAAATCATTCGCGATTAATAAATGGCTAATGAATTTTTCTTTTATTTTCAGATTGGAGTGCCATCTTGGTTATAGAGGAAGCTGAGGAAGATAAAAGTCCGTGTCATCGTCGTGGACTTAAAAGCCGCATAAGTGGTTTCGTGGAGTAGCGATTATAGTCGTCGTGCTTCAGTAATTCGTGTTCAACTCGCTGTTCGCTTTGGACTTGGATTTAATCCTCCTGACTGTCCAGCAGGTCGTGCCGGATCTATCATGCGAGAATCGAGTTCAACTGAAATACTCTAGTGAAAGAGTGAGAAAAAAAGAAAAGAAGAATGTAAATGTGCGTATAAAAAAAAACAAAAATGTGTATAAATATTTTCATTCGGAAGTGAATATTGTGTTTAAAAGTGAAAAACCGCGTAAATATAGTATATATATATATATTGGTAATAAATAAATACGCAGTCCACATGGTGAATGGAAAGTCAGAGGATCACGCCAGTGATGCAGTGGTGTCGTGTTTGTGTTAAGTGCCCCGTGCTCATTGTTTGGATTACCTAAAGAGATGTCTTCCTCCGTGGGATACTATGACGATAGAAATCCCCTCCTTAAGGGCACTTTATCCAGGTACTGTTTATACTTTTTAAACTTTTCAATTTAATTTATTTGAAAAATATTTTTTAAAGTTGCGCAGGGTTACATTTTTTAAATAAAAGTACAATCGGTCCAAATAGATTTTTTCGAAGAATCATGAAAATCCTTTTTTTCGAAAAGGGAAAAATAATTTTCCATTTCAAGGTTCGTGATGATCATCATTTTATCAGCATTGTCCCATATGTTTAAATATTTATCCACCTGAAATATTAATGTTCCAATGCAAATAAACAAGATATTGTATATATTTTTCTCGGAAAAAAAAGACGATTTTGCGAAAAATTATATTTCAATTTGTAATATCGAAAAGAGGAATTAAATGTCCCCAAATGAATGGGACGCATGATTATGTTTTAAAAATCATTAGTCATAATTTACATTTTATCGAATTTTATTTGTCCTAATTAGTTTTGAGCCGAATTTTAATTTGTTCGAAATAGCATTTGGCATATAATTTTCATCAATCTGATTTTCTATATGGCAGAATTTTTATATAACGGAAAATTCAACTCACAGAATTTTTATTTCTTCGAATTTTTATTTGTCAGAATTTTTATTTACTCGAATTTTCATTTAACATAATCGTCATTTTAAAGAATTTTTATTGGGTAGAATTTCATTGAATAGAATTTTCATTTGTCCGAATTTTCAAATGGCCGAACAAACAATCGACAGAAAGATTTCGGCGCGATTTTTAAAATCAACCAATCACAATTTTATGAATAATTTTTGATTGGTTGATTTTAAAAATCGTGCCGAAATCTTTCTGTCGATTGTTTGTTCGGCCATTTGAAAATTCGGACAAATGAAAATTCTATCAATTAGAAATTCTATTAAATGATTTGTCGGTTAAGTAAAAATTCTGTAGTATGAAAAATCGATTATATGGAAATTCTATCAAATAATAATTCGAACAAATGAAAATTCATCTAAATGAAAATTCTATTCAATGAAATTCTACCCAATAAAAATTCTTTAAAATGACGATTATGTTAAATGAAAATTCGAGCAAATAAAAATTCTGACAAATAAAAATTCAGCCATATAGAAAATCGGATTGATGAAAATTATGCCAAATGCTATTTCGAACAAATTAAAATTCGGCTCAAAACTAATTAGGACAAATAAAATTCGATAAAATGTAAATTATGACTAATGATTTTTAGAACATAATCATGCGTCCCAAATGAATTAAGAATTAATTCTTGTTTTTTTAATACTAGGTCGATGGTTGACCTCCGTTTGCCAGACTCTCTTTGGGAGAGAAAATCACGGACGCGTTGCTTGCTGGCAATTCGGTGAACGTATGTAACACGTGCGTCTGCTTTTCTGCACGTAGGCTACTTGTCGATCGAACTACCACTTTATAAAATAGCAATTTAATAAAGAGGGGGTAGGGGATATAGGACAGGGTCGGCATTGTATACAAAAATTATGCGTCATTTCACGTAATTATCGCACATCGTCAAATGTTGGGGGAAAACAAACTACAAAGATTTTTCACAAAAATTTCCATTTTATTCCTTATTGGTTTTTTGTTTAAAAAGATTCTATAGGTTTTCATTTTCTAATTCTCGTTTTTGTGTTTGATAATTGACGCGTAGCTCAGAATTTTAAACCCCTTGCGACAATACCCTGGGGGTTAACGAGCTTTGGGGTCCGTCAAATTTTTGCACGTGTACAATTGCTGATCTTTTGCCAGATTTGAGAAAAAACCATTTCTCGTTCTCGTTAACGATAAAACTCAACTGCTTTTTTTTTAAAAAAAAAAAAAAGTTTCTGACCCAGGTATATACACCTTATATTCACCTTTGCTCTATTTTACACTTTATCTGCAGTATACACTCAACTCTCACACATTTATCATTCTCCCGAACGATTTTTAAGATAATATAAATTTTTAAAATAAATGTATATACTCTTTCTTTCTTTTACGTTCTCTTGCTTTGAGATTATCATCAAAGAAAATCGTACTTTTTTTCAAAAGTAATTTTTGATGGTTATTTTTTTATATTCTAAATATAAATTTTTTTATTTTTGTCAATTTTCTATTTACCGTTTTTAGTGAAGATTATAATATAGAAGTTTTAGTGCTGATAATATTGTATTAAATTTAGTCTTGACTTAAGGTTGTGGATATTACGAACGTTGCTAATAATTTCCGGTTTTATTCAAAGTCGAGATCTTACAAACTGCGGGGACACAAGAGAGCTCTCTCATCAGGGTCGTATATATATCTCTGTAAATGTTTTTTGTACTCAAATCGAGAGTCAGGAAGAATCCCATCGTCCTTGTTTGATATGAAGGATATATTTGTTTTCCAATTCTTATTTATTTTCTATTTCCTTTTTTTTCCTAGTTTTCATTTGTTTCAAAAATAATTGTTGAAAAACAATTTTTTATATTCTAAAAAAAATTCTTTAAATAAGAATATTTCGAATTATTTTCTTCAATTACGTTTTGTTTCCTTTTTTCTGTAAGAATTTGTATTAGAAAAAATAAAAAGATTAAAAAACGAATAAAGTAACTTTTAAAACTACTTTAAAAGTAACACCTGAACTGTCCGCAGTTTCTGGCAAAATTTTAACTCCGAAAATAGTAAAATTTACTTCTGAAATAGTAAAAATTATTCCGGAAATAGTATATTTTACTATATTTCTGGAGTAAAAAAATGTGGACAATTTCGATGTTATTTTTAAAGTAGCAATAGTTACTTTATTCGTTTTTCCATTTTTTGTAAGTGTAACTATGACAATAGTTACTTACTATGGCAAAAGTTACTAGGGCAACAATTACTATGACAAAAGTAACTAGGGCAGCAGTTACTATGGCAAAAGTTAGTTACTAGGGCAAAAGTTACTAGGGCAGCAGTTACTTACTATGACAATAGTTACTATGGCAAAAGTTACTAGGGCAACAGTTACTATGGCAAAAATTACTAGGGCAACAGTTACTTACTATTGCAAAAGTTACTAGGGCAATAGTTACTAGGGCAGCAGTTACTATGGCAAAAGTTAGTTACTAGGGCAACAGTTTCTATGGCAAAAGTTACTAGGGCAGCAGTTACTTACTATGGCAACAGTTACTATGGCAATAGTTACTATGGCAAAAGTTACTATGGCAAAAGTTACTAGGGCAGCAGTTACTTACTATGGCAATAGTTACTATGGCAAAAGTTACTAGGGCAACAGTTACTATGGCAAAAGTTACTAGGGCAACAGTTACTTACTATTGCAAAAGTTACTAGGGCAGCAGTTACTATGGCAAAAGTTAGTTACTAGGGCAACAGTTTCTATGGCAAAAGTTACTAGGGCAGCAGTTACTTACTATGGCAACAGTTACTATGGCAAAAGTTACTATGGCAAAAGTTACTAGGGCAGCAGTTACTTACTATGGCAACAGTTACTATGGCAATAGTTACTATGGCAAAAGTTAGTTACTAGGGCAACAGTTACTATGGCAAAAGTTACTAGGGCAACAGTTACTTACTATTGCAAAAGTTACTAGGGCAGCAGTTACTATGGCAAAAGTTAGTTACTAGGGCAACAGTTTCTATGGCAAAAGTTACTAGGGCAGCAGTTACTTACTATGGCAACAGTTACTATGGCAAAAGTTACTATGGCAAAAGTTACTAGGGCAGCAGTTACTTACTATGGCAACAGTTACTATGGCAATAGTTACTATGGCAAAAGTTAGTTACTAGGGCAACAGTTACTATGGCAAAAGTTACTAGGGCAACAGTTACTTACTATTGCAAAAGTTACTAGGGCAGCAGTTACTATGGCAAAAGTTAGTTACTAGGGCAACAGTTTCTATGGCAAAAGTTACTAGGGCAGCAGTTACTTACTATGGCAACAGTTACTATGGCAAAAGTTACTATGGCAAAAGTTACTAGGGCAGCAGTTACTTACTATGGCAACAGTTACTATGGCAATAGTTACTATGGCAAAAGTTAGTTACTAGGGCAACAGTTACTATGGCAAAAGTTACTAGGGCAGCAGTTTCTTACTATGGCAAAAGTTACTAGGGCAACAGTTACTATGGCAACCCTTACTATGGAAATAGTTACTATGCCAAAGGTACTATTACTTTTTTTCCTGATTTTTTTCTTTTTTGATAGAAATTTTCCGTTTACAATTAAATATTTGGATTAGGTTATAAAATTGTTTTTTTTTTTAATGCGAAATGTAATAATGATCAAGATGTTACACATTGAATTATATAGGGACTTCTTACACTTAAGAGCATTATAATGTACATTATATATATGTTCTATGAATCTATGCAGTGGACTTGTTTAGCACACGATGCTGTCAAGCCTGCAGCTAAACACTTTCACCGACGGATTTCTAACGCCATACTCTTCGAATCTTCGAGACGTTTTCTGTTATGTATATATAGGGTAAGTGTATCAATTACTGTTAAGGTCCCAATTACTGCGATTTTTATAAAATTAGTAAAACTTAGTAATTGAGAACATAAAACAGTTTTAAAATGACTTTAAAACTTATTCCTAATGATAATTGATATTATATCCACTAAAAATGCATATTTCGACTATTATCAAATTAGTTATTTATTTTTCAATTGAACCTATCACAGTAATTAGAGCATGTGTATATTTTTCTCATGCTGCTATTACTGTGATCTATCCAGTCAACCTAACCTCTAAATCAACGCTTTTTGCGTTACAGTAATTGGTGCACATGATTCACAGTAATTCATGCAAATTTGCAGTAATACCAGCATATGCCATTTTTTAAAAAGTTAATATTTTTAATAATATATATTAGTTTTTTTCAAGTTTAAAGTATCATTTCTATTTTAATAGACACTAATAGTGATTTAACAAAAAGAAATAAATCATTATTTTATTTACACTTCTATTATTTTATCATTAAAGTCGGTCTTGGGTTGTACATCACAGTAGTTGGGACATTTACCCTATGTTTGTGTCAAAAAATCACTGACGC